TGCCAGAATATGAAGTGTTCTCTGATGATGGTCTTTACTGCATCGTTACTCCACACATCTCTGTTCAGGCACTGGCAGGCGAAGTCCTGAACATTTTGAATGTTGATCATTAGCCACTTGTTCTCCAGCTGTCCACATTCTTTAGCCTATAAGGACAAAAAAAAAAAAAGAAAAAAGAAATGTAGAAGTAAACTTAGGAGTTGGATTGAATCCTTTACTGTAGGACGAAATTGTTCAGCTGCCGATTCTGGATTTAAAACACATCTACAGCTTGATGGATGGCAAATAATAAATTGGAAAGCAGCAACAGCCACCTACATCAGTGGTGTGTGATCACATGTCGTGGTTGTCAGCAGGTTTTCATCTTGTTTCCTACCTGTTATCTACTCAGTCATCATTCTGAAATTTCACTGAAAGTTCACACAAAGTGAATGAAGGTGTTTTGTAAAGTGTCCGGTGAGTGACTCCTCACCGTCTCAAAGCTGCCTTTGTGCATGAGCTCAATGGGAGGACGGAAAAGGTCTGCCAGGGTGCTCAGTTTCTTATCCACTGTTCCACCATTACGCAGCTCCTGTTCCTGGCGGACTAGGAGAAACAAAACAGTCGTGGTCATTATAGGACAGACTGTCTTCTCGGCTGTTGTACCCACTGACACATACTTGAGTACACTTACTTGTTTCTGTTTGGAAGTCTCGGAAACCATCAAATATCGATCGTGCAGGCCTTCTTCGCTTTGGCACTAAATAAATAAACGACAAAGAAAAGGTATTTTTTATTAGATGATTAAAACTGTTTTTTGTTGGTTTTTTTTGTTGTTGCATGAAACAGAATAAGAGAAGAAGGAGAATGATACCTCCAAAAAGTGGTTCTGGCTCCACCAATATGTCCTGCTTCTGGGGAATCGGTGCTCGTACTTCACTGAGACATCAGGAAACATATGTAGGATTATTGTAAGAGGAAACCAATCTAGTGCAAAACAACTAGCATCAATCACGCTATAAAAATACACCTCTGATTTTCTCACATCACCCAACAGCAAACCAGAGCCATGGAATAAACACAAAATATTTCTCCAAGCTCACTGTTAACTCAAACTAGGAAAAAAAGTAAAAGTATTTAAAAAACTCTTTGAGTGTATCTTTATGGTTCTAAAACATGACAAAAAAGGTCTGAAGGTTTGGTTTTACTTTTGTCTGACACAAGTTTGTGGAGACAAATACGAGCTTACTCTGTAGGAGGAGCTCTGCTGCTTGATGCCGCTGAACTGGAGCTGGTGCTGGGCTCCTCTGCTATTCCGCCTCCATCCAGAAACATAGTGACGGCCATTTCCAGGTTATTGTTGCATGCTTCCAGCATATGTTTTCCTACACTCTCTGTGGCCCCTGTAAGAGTTTCAGGCATAGATGTATTAATCTTGACAAATGTTTACAGATAAAAACACTGATATCAACACACATTACAGCATTTAAGTTGATGGAAAATGTAACCTGAACAATCTACGGAATTAAACAGCTGACAAGCAAGGATCTAAATTACACTGACATGAAATTTCATATTAATATCCAATATAGTCATGAAGTGGACCTGTGCATTTATTTGCAACACTGCTTACAATGATCTAACACACTGTAAGATATTTAAAGAAAATTAATCCTATTCTGTATTTTCCAATATTTGTTTTTAATACAAACACAAATATTTGATAAAAAAAAACAACTTTGTCACTTGATTATTAAAGGATCACAACCACCATACACATCAGGCTGAAAAATGTTCAGATAAAAATGAACAGCTCTCTGAGGGACAAACTTTGTACCATAATCAGGGACATTGTTCCTCAAATATTAAAATATACATTCAGCAAGTCTGTTATTGCCATCAGGAGTTTCTTGAAATTTATGTGACAGCATCTGTGGCACTAACAAGCAAAATTGGCATTGTCAGTTTATTGGTTAAGGTCTTGTGGAAATGTGTGTGACATTATGAGTACAATGGCAACACATTTGAACTGCGCCAAAAAGTAGTTTTGATTAATCTGATGTTTGCAGCTTCTCTGCGGTATGCTGACTATTCTGTTTGAAGTCCTGCGTTATGCGTGTCGAAACCAGTTTACCTCACATGAGGGCTGAAATATTGTGAAGTCTGATGTAATGTGAGGCAAATTCACTCAAATGCCACAACTTCTTTTTTGCTGCTTGATACAAAAAGAAAACTTGCACGGCTCTCATTGACTAATCTACAAGAATAGTCTGTCTTACAAAACACCATTTAAGGGTTCTTGGATATACATATTGCTTTTATTTACAAGATAAGTAGTTTGCTGACATGCTGGCTGCACATGTGGAGAATAAAATGAGCAAGAAACACAGAAAAGAAAGATTTTGTTGTAAAAAGAAACAGATTACCAGTTGTTTGTCATTTAAATCAACACCATAAAGCTTTATATAATGAATACAAAGCCAAACCTGAATGCCATTAAAGGTAAAACAACAATTCTGGATGCTTTTGCAAGTTTTACAGCAGCTTTTTAAGTTGTTTTTTTTAAATCCCAATTATTCTATAACAATCAAGTCATCCCAGATATTATTATCCAAGCCATCTGGTGGACCAACAGTTATTATTCGACACTTTGCATCTTTTAGAGGACGCTTTTCATTCATTTTTAGTACTTTATAACCGCCATAAAACTATAAAAGGCGTTGATGGTGTTTACTGTGGATGGATTATGATACTTCCGACAAGTCTTTGCAAGCTGACTGCAACACTATGCTGAAATCAGATGGAGCCGAACAACTGGCTGACAGTTCACGTAGTAAAAATGCATTTAGTTTGAAAAGGTTATAGTTTAGTCGGCGGCAATGCACCGTACACGCAACGTGATCTGTATAGAGGGTAAACTATGTTAAAAAAACAAAACAAAAAACACCACAACAGTCGAAAATGCCTGCAGATCACGAATCCCTAAATGTATGAAAATGTTTTGTATGTGAGAAAACACAACGTGAGGGTCAGGTTGTGGATTTTTTTTAGGTGTTTTAGTACCTCGTTGCTACAATGATCTTTTCGGCCGTACTGCGCATGTCCGTTTCACTTTCCAAGTCTGGCAGCCCCTGAACTGAGTCTCCTCTCCTCTCCGTTAAATAACTTCAAACTTGAACCCTGTCCATCGTGTCAAAGCCCTTCTAAACTATCCAGAACCTCTGTGCCAACAGTTAGAGACGGAAAGTGTGCTCATTTGCGCGTGGTTAACATCGCATCGTCACAGCGGAGATGACAGGAACACAACATGAAGTCAGGCTGATGATGAAGAAGGGAAATGTTGAACAGCCGACGTCCATTCCACATTATCAAACAACAAGCCATGCAAAAAGAGCAGAAAAGCCACTCTAGCCTAGCGAGATAGAGTCTGTAATGAGCACCACAGAGAAAATAAGATGTTTTTAAGTGACTGTGGAAGATAATATTCAAAGCCGGTGCCTCAACGACCCCTTTTCGGAGTCTTTCACTTGAGTTTAGCTGATAACTGGCTGTGCTTTCCCCCTCTGCAAAGCATTGACAGCGCAGGGGCAAGAGCAAGACTTATCGCCCGTTTTCTTATGTGCGCACTGATTTCGTGTTTTTTTGGCCAAGGGAGCTGTTCCTGTATGAGCACACAAATCGACCTGATAGACCAAGCGCTAAATAAAATGTTATTTTTACCTGTTATTGCTGTGAATTGTTGTATTAACCCATTCACCCCCGGAGCTGAGGTGTCTCCGAGCGCCGCCATCTTACCGCCACAAACAACAACATAGATGTGGCGCATGCGCTACGCCGTCCTTTTTCCCCTGCCTGGCGCGGCGCGAGCCTCATGCGTTACCATAGGCTGGCGCTGCATTATGGGTAATGTGGTTCAAAAACTAAACTAGCGTCTTGGTGAAATTTCCACTATTCCCTCAAAAATGTGTGCATTTAATTGGCTTTTCTTTGCATTTTCTTCAGGTTCTCATCAGTTTTAAAGAATTCTAGATGCCTTTGTTTGTCTTGGTGATACTGATACTGAATGAACCGTGTAGTAAACACTGACATGTACATTATTTTGCTATTCTGTGCTTGCACATCCTTTCATATTTGATTTCAAAATTTCCCTAGGGAATTTTTAAGACAAGTGATTAATAGTGAAACACTTTTTCACTTGGCTTTCTTTTTTAGATTTACATTTTTATCGATAGGGAAGTGGATCTTGTGATTAGTAAAGTGGAATTTTACATCATTCAGTAGCTCATCATTGTTGGCAAATTCCACATCCACACATCTGCATCAACTCAAAGACAAAGAAAAACTAAAAAAGACCAACAACACGTTAAACAACTTTAATAAATCTGACATAATTCAAACTTCTTAAAGTTACTTGAAATGAGATTCAGTTTTTGAATAAAGAAATTAAAATATATTATGTGTCTATCCCTGAGGATAAATCCTTTAAGACCCAGCTACGTAATTACTAATGATGCACGATATTAAAATTTCTGGCCGATACCGATATCTGATATTAAGATTTCTGATATCGCAGACAACCAATATTACCGATGTCGGTATTCAATTTTTGTTCACACCAAAAAATGAGTATAAGTAAGCTATGTGAGAATGTGAAAACTTTTCAAAAGAAGCCCAAATTAGACCACATAGACTTCTTCATTACATGACAGAAGCAAAACATATTTAAACACATTTTAACATATTTAAAGTTCAAGTCCTGGACCATTTAAATAAAAACATCTATGAAATAGCGGCAATATTAAATGTAGAGACGAAGGCGTTAATGTTGAGACGATCATCGGTTTTTCACATCGGCTGAACTTGTTCATCGGACCGATACATCAGAAAAAACACTAACATCGGCCGATACGGATGTGGTCGCCAATATATCATGCATCCCTACTAATTACTGTATACATGTTTAAAAATAATACTGTATTAGTCATGACAGTGATATCTTACAAAATGAAAACTACAAAGACTTGCTTCTTAAGTAGTGTCATTTTATTGTTATTTGCATAATACATTCAGTTTGAAAACGGCATCAACCAAGTCCCAAACCCAAAGACTCAGTTCTAACAACAAGAAGCTAATAGTAATTTTAGTAACTGCTCCTTCAGCCATTTTATCTTTATTATGATATCTCACACAAATCTGTTGTGCTGCCTGGCATAAACAAAACAAGAGAAAAAAGAAGATCACTTTACAAAGGGAAGATGATGATGGCACTGAATTTCTACATCATGAGATGTCTAAACTATATATACAAATACACAAAGTGACGCTGTCAATCCCACTGGCCAATTGTACAGTCACTTTGGTTAAACTGAAATATAAAACAACATTACATTCATATCAGTAATGCCTAATGCTCTTGCTGATAGTCTGCTATGGGCTCATAAATACATTTGATTTCTGGTCACGATTGCTAACCGTGAACACATGGATTTAAAAGATCTGTAATCATAATTTCCATTTCAAAAACAGCAAATTATCAGCTAAAGACATCTATTCTACGACACACATCAGCGTTTTATGCTCTTATTTTCTTGCCTGCAAAGGGAAATTCAATATTAATCGAGGGCACTTTAACCATTTAAATCTTGTGATAAATACAAATAAAAAGGATTAGATCATAATGATCAGCATTTTATGTTGCACAGAGAGCACCGATTTTAGGAGTGTTCATTTAAACTCACTAATGCAGTAAAATTTGATGCCTCTGTATTAACACATGACCTTTCAACCCTGAGGTGGGGAATGATTTTAATACAAAAAAATGCATCAATTTATAATCGTAATGGAGAGTAAATTTACTCAAGCGTTATTTACATGAGACCACAAGAATAGTTAATTTGCGTTTGGTTCCAGGTGGTCATGTCATTGTTTCTAAGAAATCCTATGGCAAATACGGTCAATAAATACACATGAATTCCTATTTCTAAGCAATCCTGAGGGCCTAATGTATCATTGTGGTGTCTTTGTACATTTGAAATTTTTGAATTCCAAAATGCGATTAGAAAATTGTCTGTGCATTAAGTAGCTTATCTTACATTAGTTAACACTTATGTGAGATCAGTCCAGCCATTATAATGTAAATTCAATTCAAAAAAACATTCTATTTTTCAACTGCTATCTATTCAAATCAAGTATATGAACAATTTTCTCAAAGTCAAAAGAGAGCCAAGGCGGTAATCAGTGATGTAATCAAGCTTAAAAAAAAAACAAACCCAAAACAACTACGAGGTGATGGTGACACTGATTACAAAAACCATCTTTATGGACACGTTTTACATTCTCATGAGTTTTATTTTACTGCAGAGGTCACTCTTGTTAATCAGCAAATGGATCTACGAGCTGTAAAATATTTGGACAAGGAGTAGACAAGGCTGCTGGACATCAAAACTTGCCCTTTGTGAGTAACAACACCAGTTTATTAAAATGATACATCAGTTTAAACTGTAAAGGATATGTTTTCCTTAAAAAGGCTGATGTACGCAAACCGCCACTTCGTTGAGTTGTTTGAAAACGGCGTGGTGTCAATATGGCATCTTAGGCTTCGTTTTAGATGTTTGTCTAACAGTCGAGTTTAGGACAGTTGTGACGCATACGGAAGCCAAATGAGAAGATAGGTAGTATTCTGAAGGTTAAACTATGTAAGTTCTATTTTTATTATGGACTTTCCCTTTAATGTTGAATCCGTATTTTGCACAACTTCAGAAACCTGTACCATTCTGGTCAACCAAAACCGCTCATATATTAAGAATGCCCTCCTTTCTTCCAATATGATAACAGTGCAACTTCCACAATGCGATAAATAAGACAAGATTTTGTGATGGGCACCGCATGATAGAAGACAGATGTCTCCATACTGTATCCCACATGCAAAACAACAAAAGAAAAAAAGGTGCAGAGGAAAAATGAGGAGATGAGTGTGGGGTAATTTTTTTTTCCAATTTCACAGTTCCACCTTAATAAATAAAAGCTTCCACATGACAGCATAGATCAAGGATTGAGTGAGTGCATACATGCATACATGTATGTTGAGTGAGCCGCGGGTGACTTCTGTGTTGGAATGTATACCGTGGATGGAGCGACTATATGATTCAGTGAGGCCGATGTGTGTCAGAAGGTTTTGTTTGTGTAGGCAGGGCAGGCAGGGAGGTGAGGGAGAACACTGTGAAGTTGGCAGGTGAATCGTACGCTGCAGTTTAGAAGCGGATAAAGGTGGCGTCGATCTGACGTACGCTGGGCAACGCCAGCATGATCTTTCGCCGGTACTGTGGATCCTTCTGTAGCGGGTTTCTTTCAAGGTAGACCGTCTCCAGTGACTTGGCGTTCTTCAGCTCATCGAGATCTGACCAGTTATCTATTTGATTATCGTTCATCTGAGGAGAGATTGAAAGACAACACAGCCAGTGAGGATACACCAGTCGTCTTGCCCTGCCATGAATAAGAGCTCGTACAACATATGGAGAATGTGCACACTGAAACTATTAATGGATTCTTAAATGGTATTTAAAAAGAATAATAATAATAAGCGTTTCTAAATAAATGAATCCATCAACTGATTAAATAAAATAATTACTGAGCAAATTATTTTTGAAATGAAAACACCTGCAGCAGCCGACAATAAAACAGGCCTTTCTTCAAATGTTAAAGTACATTTGACTTAATAAACGTAAAAAATACTGTAAAGAAATAAAGAATGATTAAGAGTAGATGTTTGGGCACTGAGTCAAAAGTCCGTGACCACCCATGGTAAACATTATAGCGTGCAGCAATTTTATGGCCAGATAAGATTATTCCCGTTCCTGATTTACACCTTTGTCAGCCACTCCTCTGTTCCTCTGCGCAGATCTCTTCAAGTTCGGAGATAGTTTTTGGCTGTTTTGCACCTAAAGCAAGACATCTACCCACAGATTTTCAGAGATGTTCAAGTCAGGGGACTGTCAAGTCATTCTGGAAGTGTGTCTTGTCATAGTTTAGGTGGATTTTGAGGTCTGGTTGGGATCATTGTCCTGTAGTAGAGGCCAGTCTCTTTTCAATTTCAGTTCATGACTCTATAACATTTGTATCTACTATTTGCTGATATCTACTTCAGTCCATTCTTCCAAGTGTCCGTGCAATGGTTCTTAACATTAACATTTAGTATTTATTTGGCTTAAGCGTGTAGCTTAACATGCAGTTTGTTCTTTTCACCAAATGCTGCTCTTGTTTTTTCTCTCCTTGCTGATCACCACAAAATTTAATTTTACCTTCAGACCTCAGATGCTTTCTTTTTGTATGAGGTTGCACAGCGCTGTAGTGCAACACTACTCCTGTGTCAGCTTAATCTCACTGCAGCTTTTTGCAGTCATATGTGACTTTTGCTTTTCCTTCTGGTCCAGCAGACTTGCAGCTTCATCTGAGAGTTTTTTCCCCCCAAGATCCTTTCATTACAAATTCTATAGTTTCCCATAAATGCTATTCCTTATTGACACTCAAGAAAGTGGAAACCTCAAGCTGGAAGCTGGACTTCAATATCATTTCACATCCTAGTCCTGGTTTGTAGGCATCTCCATGTATAAATGATTTGCTTTGAGGAGCCCTTGGTTGCTGAGTGTTACCACAAACTTTGAAGAATCTAGAATTTATCAGAATCACCATCAGCTATTTCTGACATATGTTTATACATGCTGCAATCATTTTGTAAGTTCGTTAAAATAATAAAAAAAAAGAAGTCCATTTGATTTAAATAAAGGCCTACTTCCGTATTTCAAAATAAGGTCACGTAGAGCAACACAATGGGGGGGATGGGATTGTAAACGAGAACCAAATCGCAACCTTACATCTGATTTACCTTTTGAGAACTTCCTTACATAACGCTGTCCATCCACTTTCACTGTAGTATCAAATATACTAATTCAGCTAATCATGTATTCCTTTGAATTTAATTCAATTAACTAATGTTTTCGCTATCAATCAATTCTGAATTAGTTTCATCTGTTGATCTATTATAAATGATTTCATTCATCACTTTTAATTAAGCAGCCTAATATCAATTACTTGGCTGCATATTAACAGCCATGTCCTGAACCGCACAGGTGGAATTAATAATTTAATAATGATTGAATTCACTTTGCCAGTTCCAGGCTCAGCTATTGTGCATGCTGGCTTAACCTGCATGTCTTATTAGGACCTTAATTGGAACAGAGATATTATCAGTATTATGAGCTGTATCCAGCTTTTTCCTGCCATGTCAGTTCCAAAGGTCTGCTGCGAAAAGTAAGCTCATCTATAATGAAGCCGCACATGAAACAACACGATACAAAGAAGTCCATAAACAATCTGTACCCAGAACTCCTGCAGGTCTGTCAGATGGTTGATGTTTTCAATTTTCTTTACTCGATTGGCTGCGATGTCCAGGGTGGTGAGTTTTTTCTGTGAAGGAAAACAAATGTTTGAGTGTCCAGAATGAACTCGGTTGTTGCATGTTTGCACTACGAGACAGTGTGGCATGAGCCAGTCCTTTCACAAATTAATTTCATTAACTCACGTTGTTTTCCAAGCCCTCAATAACCTCAATGCCATTGTGGCTCAGATAGAGCTCTCTCAGGTTGACAAGGTTCTGTAGGCCCTCAATTTTAGTAATCCGGTTACTCTGTAAATACAAGCACAAATTACAAACCACCGTCTCAGTATATGCACGCATGTCAACTGTATTCTTGTGAGAACTTCCACAAAAGATGAAGAGAATTTGTACCTGAATGCTTAAAACAGTCAGGTTGTGTAAACCCTCCAGATTCTGAAGCTTAGTTATTTTATTAGTACCGAGAAACAAACTTTGCAAAGATGAGAGTGCATCCAGGTTCTCAATAACCTGTGAAAACAACAAAAGAAACACGTTAGACTGCATTAATGGCGATTTCACAGATGTCCTATAGAGGTTTCATACACCAAGCATATACTTAATATAAGCCGCATTTACAGAACGGTTCACCCAAACGTCACTGCAGCAGAGGCCCTCTGTGACTTACCCTAATGCGATTGGAGCCCAGCTCCAGCATCTCCAAAACTGAGAGATGGTCCACGTTGGAAATGCCATTAATTTTATTGTGAAGCAAAAAAAGTTTCTTGATCTGAGTCAACTGCTCCAAACCCTCCACCTTCCTCAAAATGTTGAAGGACACGTCGAGCTGCCTGTGGGTCGGTACCAGAATCATTTGCACACGATCTGAAGGTTCTTTGTTCCGTCATATCAAACATGTGACAGATACAAATCAAGGAATTTTACAAACAAACAAATCTAATGTTTTTTTTTTCAGACTTACTCCAACTCTGTGAGGCTGTGCAGGTTCTCTAGTTTGCGGATCTGATTGTCGTAGAGATCTAGTTCCCGCAGTGAGCTCAAACTGTCGAGATTTTCTATCTTTTTGATGAGGTTCTGTCGTAAGGAGAGTGTCTGTATAAACAGAGATATGAAAAGCAATTAACAGATAAAATCAACAGTTCTATTTTAGTATTATAAAACATCAGTTATGGGTCCTTTTTCGGTTGAGATACAATTCACAAAGAAAGAAAGTAGGAGTGAAACTAAAATGCTGCCAGATCATTCTAATACGAAAAAAAAAGGTTAACCTCAGATGTACTTTCCACACTGCGACCATTACTAATGACTTATAATAAGGTTCCTTACTTTAGCCTTCTGTAGCACCTCCAGTCCTTCAATTTTTCCAATACGACAATGAACAAGATCAACATCCTAGAAAGAAAACAGGCAGCTTAAGTTGACATACTGTCCGTGACTATGAGTAGTTGTTATTATAATTTGCTTTTCATCAATCATGTGCAGCCCACCACCTCACATGAAGGTGTAAATGTGAAACAAAGCTTTTAAATATATATTATTGCAACCAAAGACATATCCACTACACTCCCAAATTCCCCATATAAAATCACTAAAAACTAAAACACAACCAAAGTGAGTCATTAGAGACGAAGGGAATTTTACTAAAAACATCTGCTGACCTCTTCCTCTGGGTCCAAAGTTATGGTGTCCATGTCAACAGGAGACTCTTCTTTACCTTAAATGAGAGCAAGAAGAAATGGGACAAAACTAAATTAACCATTCCAGGTGCTTAAAACATAATACAAAAGGCTTTATCTGTGGAATGATAGTTATGTAATGTAGTTAGGACAATTACTGTGTGGCTCATTTTTTGAATATTCATGGAAAAATGTACACAAAGTCTGATGGTTAAATTAAATCTTTCTCTTTGTGCCTGTTGGAGACGATGATTTACTTGTGGTAGAGGGCTGATTGGGGTCCACGTCGCCATTGATGCTCTTCCTCCTGGTCTCATCATCACCAGACTCCTCAGACTCACCCCTTCGGTCCACTGCAATCAGCAGACACAGAGAAGCTTCATTTGACCATGAAGATGCACAGCTTTCTCTATGGTTATGTATCAGTGACACATTTTTGGATGATGCACGTGTAATCTGATGCAAAGACCAGGCCCAGCTGCATCTCATCTGCTGAGGAGGCAGGAAGTGTCATGCACAGCATCCAGCCTCTTTCTGGCTGTCTAAGGGTTACCCTGGCCGTTAACTACATCGTGATGGTGCATATTTCTGCACTCTGCAACGTGCACAAATTGCGTGTGAAAAATCGAGATTACGCATCAAATATATTCAAACATGTTAGTAGTACTTGCTGAGGATGGGATCCTGTCTGTACTTGTAGTTCGGAGAAAGCTGAGGTTGACATACTTACATTAACACACAGGCTACATACTGCTAACTATGTTAGCTAGCTAGTTAGCTGACTTGACCACAGTTAACAGGTTTACGAGCTAAATGTGAACCATGCTCTGTGGGCGAACAAGCGGCCTCACGCAGAAAAAATACACTCTCAGGCCAAAAAACTATACAATACACCAAGAAAACCTGGGGTAGATATCGTTTATCATGATTGTGTGAGTTGACGTTCAATGAATAACGTCAGCTAACGTCTTGTTGTTAGCTTGTGAGCTAGCAAAGCAAGAATGAAGGTTTGGTTATTCACGGCAAGAACCGGCCGCCGCGCGTGCTCAGAAAAACCACACACCTCTTTGTCTACATGGTTTCCACTTGACCAAGCTACCACAATCATTTCACGGCTGCATCCTTTGATATTTAGCTACTCACCTTCCATTTCTTGAAGCTCTCCAACAGCCAAGGAAGCCATGTTTCCTGTAAACACTCCTGACAACCGCTCAGCCAATCCGCTGGAGGCGCGTCCTTCTACCGACCACCAGGGGTCGCTGCTGCTGCATAGCTGGAAACTGCTGGAAACCAGCTGGTACACAGTGTCCACAGTAAAAACAGCAAATTATAGCATAGATCGAGCAGTGGGGGGAATAAGTGAGCATCCTTACTCACATACAGTACTTATTTTACTAATGCAAAAATACAGTAATTCCATTCAGTGCCACTTTGTCCCTCTGATTTCCAACATTTCAAAGGAACATGCTGTACTTTTGACTCCTGAATATTTACCTGACGACCAGTAGGTCTGTATTAGTTCTACTGCAGATTGGAGCGATGCAACATGCTGCACTGTGACAGTGGAATGCACAGTAATATAACCATGCAAGGATGCATACTTCAAAATAGCTTGTCTTCATTTGCTGATTAAATACTTTTTAAAATAAAAATTCTAAATGTATATCTTAAATATTTGATGAGCCAATACATTTTTATAAGATAATATACAACTTTATTAATCAAGAGGGATTTTTTATTTATTTATTTTTTGCCAGATATTGCTCAGAAAAAAAATACAACAAGATTAGAATAAATGATAGATATTAGGAAAAAAAATTAGTAAAAGTAAAACTTGTGATGGTAATGATACTGAAGTAGTAAAAACAAAAGACACTTAGTAATAATAATAATAATAATAATAATAATAATAGGTAATATTCAGGTAAGTTATTTAAATGTCAAATGTTTCACCTGGGGAAGAGTTAAATTGTTATTATTGTAGTTTTTCCTTAAGTAGCTAATGGCTGTAAGTAATTACAACAATAGAAATCTTAAAAGTCCTTCCTAACATTTTTATTTTATTTTATTTTATTTTATTTTTATGGGTACAGACTGTTTTACTGTTTTTATCTCAGCACTTTAAATGCGCCCCCGTTTAATTCCTGGTGCAGGATTATCTAGTGTCATTGATGACTATATGACTTTCAGAACTGTATAAAAAAGAACTAGATACATGAAGGTTACCTAAAGACACACACACACGAAACATCATTTAAAATTAGAACAACAATAAGCTTGTTAATGCACAGTCTGCAAAAGTGTTGTTTAAATCATTCTTTCATATGTCACTGCAAGGCGAGTCGTATTGAATTACCTAAAGCACAAAAGAGCCTGACTTCTAAAGCCTCTCGCTCTGTGAAGTCCCTGCCCTTGCACAGCAGACTGTTTATGCAATCACTTCCCATCAAGTCTTGCATAGTTTCCATTTTAAGAACACGGCTGCACAAGACCGAGGTACTTTCTCTGTCGTCCAAAAACCTGATGACCATCAGTATCCAAATAGTTATCCTTTATAATAACATGACATAACATAACATAACATAACATAACATAACATAACATAGCATAACATAACATAACATAACATAACATAGCATAACATAACATAACATAACATAGCTCAGAATGTCTAATCTCTTCTCTGCCATTTGTTTCTGACAACTTTCACTTTTTATGTGAAACATCAGACGTGATTAAAAATGATGATAAGAAAAGAACATACAGTATAGTTTCTTCTTGGCCTGTCATTTGGATAAACAGACAGGAAGAACAACAAAATGTTCCTCATTATCAGGCTGATAAAAACAACATTCAGTGCTAGCTCATGAGGAAGATAAAGTTTGACCACAGCATCTTGCTTAACTGGGTTAAACTGACTGAATACTTTTGGAAGCTGCACATCCCTGAATCATTGACAGGCCACACAGCAGTGAAATGTGCTTAGTAACAGCAAACACCAGAATGTTGTCGTGTGTGAATACGACAGTTTGGATATCTGTACTAAAACTATGGTGCTGTTAAAACATGGATAGTACGAAGCATAATCTGGCAAATGCACAGAAACTCTTGCGTATACTGTAGATTCTTTACTTTTTGCAAGTAAAATCTGATAACTTGGGAACTTTTAGAGTGTTTTTAAGTGTTTTGTAATTTTGTCCAACAGTATCAGAGACGGTTTACTGACCCAGACTTGATGGAAAGAGTTTTTTGTTCTAGACACAGAGATGGCTTTATCTTATGCTGTAAACTCCTCTCCTGAAGGCATTTCTCTGAGACATTACAAAAGCTGAAGTCAAAAGGACAAGCACTGTCCTACATACATGTATCTGTGCCGAGCTAAATAGTCGCACAGTGTAGCAGCACTTGAAAATGAATAATGAAAACCTGAGTTCCCTTTCACAAAGTCTCTGATGACCCCCGACCCCAAGCATCCAGCAGCGTATTGTAACTGACTGACTGCAGGATTAAGCATTAGAAGACCATCAGCATGCTGAAGGTCCGTTCCTATTTTGACTTCACTGAGTTTAAGGAGACGACCTGCTCCACAGAAACACAAAAAGATATAAAGCTTTAACTGGGATCCAAATAGCAATAAAACTCTATAAACACATTCAAATCAGTGGTTCTGGCTCCTGTCTCCACAAAGCTCAGTGTTTCTAAGATGAAAAGCTCAAAGCACAACCCTGTTAGTCTTATAGTCATGAGGCTCAGCTCCACAAACAATACCCACTCACAGACTGCCCTCACGCAAACATTCAGACCAGCCCACTGATAGTCAAAGAGGGAGACATCTACCATAAAAAGGACAGAGCAAACTGAAAAGAAAAGTGATCTGAGCGACATTAGCTTCCACAGACTGAGAACGACATGAAGGAAATACAGACGGAGCGACGCGTCTGTTTAGTCTGCAAACAGCCCAACATTAGAATCAAAAGTGAAACCATATCTCTACTTAAAACATAGGTTCTTTTTTTAGTTAAGTTGATTAATTATTGTTAAGATTTGCCATGTCATTGTCAGGGGTAGGAATACTCAGATCATTTGGTTCAGTGAAAACATACCACAACGTAAAAGTCAGAAATAAGTAAGATATGCATTGTGTCATCCAAGTTTACCTGAACTCACAAAAGAAAGGTAGCTATTTATGTATTATGTTATAAGATTGTTATTAGAATAGAATAGAATAGAATAGAATAGAATAGAATAGAATAGAATAGAATAGAATAGAATAGAATAGAATACTTTATTGATCCGAGAGCGACGTATGATTAAAGTCTCCTGAGATGACGATCAGAGACTGAGGGTGTGATGTGATGTGTGATGTATTAGTGGCACAATGTGTAAGGAATATTTTATTGTTTTGGCTGGTTGTGGTGGAACTTATTTCAACAATTATACCAATCAAATAAGTGTAGCAGAAAAAAAACAAGCATGAAATCACTTATAATTGAAATACTTACAATTACATTTATACAGTTTTTCTATTCATCGCTCTGTAAATGGAAACACTACGCAAGCTTGTGTCACTATAATGAAGCTTCTTTGTAATATCCTTTATTATTATTTTTTTTAAATACAAAGAGAAAACATAATAAAATGATAAAGATTTCAACAAGATAAACAGTAACACAAGACGTTTTACATTTACAAATGCGCTGTGCACCTGTTCCACACCGAAACAACAATAATAAGATAAATAAGAATAAGGAATAAAATGAAATGAATGAAAAAAAAATACTTTATTTATCCCAGAAGGGAAATTCAATATTGTAAAAGCTCACATTTTAAAAAAAATCAATATAACATATATTTTATACAAAATGCACAAGAAATAAAAAAATATAGATATGAATGCATATATATATTTTAGGGATAACAATCAATCAATTTGGATTGGTGGATAGGATGTTTTGCCAAGAAAATTATTAAATTGATAACATATATATAACCTTTTTTTTTTTTTAAACCAATACGCAGCATCCTCCAGGCAACCACTCTGTCATTACCTGTTACCATGGTGACTGGTTATTGTCGCCGTGGCTACTGAACGCGGTACCGATTGAAAGCGGTGTTAACGCTTGTTTTCGGGTTATTGACCCGGTGCAGCTGTCTGTGTTTTGTACTGTTTTGTAGTTTCCCTTTCGAGTTGAGAAGTTTGTGCAGCTGAACACTTTACAGTGTGTGTGTGTGTGTGTGTGCGGGAGTCCCCTGGTCACGTGTCGTCATTAACCAATCAGCGGCGACGCGGATGTACATTTAAAGTCGCATCCGACCGTGAGCGTCTATTTGCTCTTCAAGGTTTTCTTTTCTGTTGATGTTCTTCGTTGACATTCTTCGCCAACTGGAAGCGCTTAAATAGCTTAAAACAATCCTGACTATTTATAACTCCGGAGCGGTTTCGTCCTTCTCTGACGGCTTAGTTTGAAACTGACGACAAGTGAACGCCAGAGATGGATTTTCTTGGCTTTCTTGTGCTGATGTTTTGCCACTTGTCACAGGCTTTCCCTGCTCCAGTAGGTAAGAAGCTCGTCTCTCTGCATTGCATTTGCTTTTCGTTGCTGCTAATATATTGCAAGTTTAAAAAAAATAAAAAATGCACACAAGTCGTTTAAGAGAAGTGCTGTTAAGTTACTCAGAGTAACTGTTAGTTTAGTTTATTAGTATAAACTGCTGTTTGTATGATCTAGTCAGTCGTTTGATAAGATTTGTTCTCCTTTTTTTTTTTTTTTTGACAGTAGTTTGCTGAACAGCTGATCCAATAAACCATACCACAATGTAGTAAATCCTGTTTGGTTTATGTTGGCACTATCAGAGAGGCGTGAGTTCAGCTCAGGTTATTTATGAGGACAGGCTGGTGGATGGTGGTGCTGTGGTTGTTGTACTGGGCTGCAGACACTGAAAGCGAAATAACGCTCTAATCCCCAGCAGATCTGACATCTGTGCAACTTATTTTTATGAGGATATTTAAATACCGTCCCCATGCAAACAGTTAATGATTTCCCTGAAGTTTTACACTGAAGGGAGCAATAAAGTTCTATTCTATTCTATTCTATTCTATTCTATTCTATTCTATTCTATTCTATTCTACATGCCTGTAATCTGGAACAGTAAGGGAGCAGATTATAGTAAACACCTATAGGCCTGCACCATCTGTGTGGACAGTATCAACATAACTGTAAAAAAAAAAGAGAAAAAAAAAGTGTTGTGGGTTTATTATGTTGCAGTACATGATGTTGATGCACAGCTGATAACACAGCGTAGGGTTGTTTTTATTGCACTACATTTATTTATTTATTTTTTACAACTGCATCCATCCCTTCTTTAATACATTCAAAAATTGAAATCGCAAAACTCATCTTGATAGTTCAAGCTACCAAGCATTTTAAAGAGCTGTACACCACATTAACATCACTTCTGTGGAAACATTCATGATTTCATGGAAGCAGAAGAAAACTTTGATAAGAACGAGACCTTTCACTTTTGGTTTGGCATTCGTTAATGTGTAAAAATGCAGGACTTTTAAATCTGTGCTGCAATTTAATTTGTTTCAGAGCTCGCGCTTCTTTCATTCAAGGATTTGTATATGTTCTGCACACGTAACATTTTCGCCTGTATTTCATCTCCTGTGACATTACGTAAAACATTTCCATAGGAGCAAATTGTAATGTCTGGAGTATCTCTTTTTTTTTTTCTTTTTCTATCTGTCTCCTGTTAGACACCGTCATCGTTCAGTTCCAGCAGTGGGGAGTGGTGGGAGATCAGCGGTTCACAGGCCAGGTCCTTCTCAATGGAGTCTCTCTCTCTGGCACGAGTCAGGGTGTCAGCAGCCTTATCCAAACCATGTCAGCTGATGCACTCCTTCCGGCTCTTCTTAGCGTCAACAAGACTTCAGCAATGGGTAAAAAAAAAAAGATTTTGTAATGAATGTGAAATCACTGAAACCACAACTGAGGAATGCATTTGTTAATAGACTTCACCGTACTCACTAGGCAACCACACCGTCCTTCATTCTCGAGAATGCGTACTGGAGGGGTCTCAGCTGCACTGGGTGGACCGTGTGTTCTATGATGGCAAGGTCTATCTGACTCTGGACCACAATGACATGTGGACAGTGCACGAGCCCCAAGCGCTGACCCTCAAAGTGCTGTTGGAGCAGGAAATGCGGCGCACAAAGGCTGAGAGGATCCACCTACAGGAGAGCTGCGTTAAGCTGATGAGAGAATTGAGGCTCTCTGAGGAACGGTCAGGTATGTATTTGTTTCCTTTAGGCTTTTAGGAACACATTTTGTAACATTTTTTTTTTCATGCCACACACTGAATGCACAGACAGGATACTATTTAGTTCCTAGTGCAGCTGGTTTTTGTTTTTGCACATCACATGCCAGCTGTTGTTACTGCAGGGTTGTACTGTAGACACCAGCTGACAGTATTCACAGTCAAATGAACTTATTACACCATTTCTAACAATGCTTTCAATTCGGTATAGGTGCAAACATTATCAATAAGAAATGCATACTGTAGTCTCCTCATTAATGTCTGTTGCTTGGGAGTTTTTTGACTGTTAAGTTGAAAATCAGGACAGAAATGCTCCAAAGCTGCTGCTGGCTGTGGATTGTAGAGGAAGCATGTGAAGCAGTGCATGCTAAAAGAAAACAAAGGGTTTTATTAAAATACAAGATAAGATTAGCTCATGTGACTACAGGAGTCCACCTCCACATACAGTCCCTGCGAGTTTTACAATGACCTGTTGACTTGCTATTCACTCAGCATCCAAATTTGGAATGTTTTCTTAGCTCCAGGGGTTCCCTTGCCTCAGTTTCTGATCCCAATCTTGGCTCTTCTGGCATTTACTGGACTAATTGTCATCAGCCTCCTTATCTCCAAGAGGAAGGGTGAGTAAATCTGTTTTTGTTTTCATTTTGAATAATAATGAATCACTACAGTCTCTGATCGCAGCTCAAAAGCATTTGTGATACTGAGGCAACAATTCATTTTTACCTCAGCTTCAGTTTAATACCTCCAAATACAGCACAACTTGGCTTTGTTTTAAGACGTGCCCTGTCATATGATGTGTGGTATGGGCTCTTATACTGAAGGGAAATGTAAAGCGTGGTCATGTGTTTTGTCTTTTGCTCCCTCTGTAGGTTTGAGGCACCCTGGAGGTAAGAAAACAACAACCCTTATGTTTTCACTCTGGTCTTTTCACACTTTTCCACTAACAGTCTCGGGAGAAGATTCATAGAAAGTTAAACATTAAATGAACTAAAAAACAACCCAGCGTTTTCCTCGTCACGGACAGTCATGTGATTTTGTCTATCTTGATATCTCCCAGTGATAATGTGCAATGTGACCTCACTTTTATTGGCATTCGGTATGAAAGGGTCAGCAAATTACACGGGAATAAAACAATTTAAAAAATCTAAACAATACTCTTAAAGCTTAAAAACGTTTGCAGCTCAATTGTGTTGAACTGTTTTTTGTTGTATATTTTGTCTTATTCAGGAATGAATGGGACAATGAGACAAAACTCTTTTGCTGTTTTATTTCTTTGCAGGTGTTGTTGGCTCCATTATACATTATCCCAAGGATATGACTGCAGTGACTCCAGAGAGAAACAGCTGTGGTGGTTACCATACCTTAGTTTCGGCTGAATAACAGGCTCCTTTTTCGAGGACTCTTGTGTGTTTCTACTGTCCATGTCCAGCCAGTGACTTAACCCCTCCCTACTGGACGGTGTTGCTCCGTGAATGTAACCACATCTTTGCTGTCTTACCAAAATCCCACTGAAGTGAAACTTACAGTGTGAAAATACTTGTGCTCTGAATTTCAGGCCATACTGTTGTAGACACATGTATCACACTGGTGCTTTTATTGCATATTTTAAAAAAAATATGGATGCATATACGCATGTACACACATACACGGAGATGTAAATAGTTTCACTGCCTGCTGTAATGTAAAAACTGCTTCTTGGCCAAGTTGTGACAATGCAACAAGCTATTTCACAGTAATCAGGCAGTGTTTGTTTTGATGAGCCAATCACAGTAAAACTCTGCGCACTTAATCTTACTTGCAGAGAAATGTATATTTTCTTCTGTCTGTACATTCTTGTAATTATCTTTATCCAGTTCTTCTCTGTTCCGTCCATGTAATGTTTGTAGAGATACGAAGATATTTTTATGACAGAGTTTAGAAAAAGAAATCAACAGTATTTTTCTCCCTTTTTCTGGGAGACAGGATGATTGTGTGAACTTCTCACTCAGCTACTGAAAATAAATGCCTTATGTACTTTTTTTTTTTTTTTTTTTTCCCAGCTTTTAGTATAAACTGGAGCACTTAATGCAAACTCTCCCTGTAGCCCACATATTTAATTTTGTTTGTACATTATCTTATGAAAAGTGGTGAATTTGCAATGCATTAAAGATCAGATGTAATATGTATTTGATACAGTTCAATCAGAGACAAAGTGTTTCCTTTTAAATGCTTAGTGGGCCTGTATCGCATTCATCCCATTATGATGCGTTGAAGAAAGCTGTGCTGGATTACACTTATGTCAGGGCTGAGTTGACAATAAAGTACACAGTTAAAGTGACTGAGTTTTTCCTTTATTTTTAAAATCTCATTTGTAGAATGACAGTTTTGTTAAATCTGACTAAGAGTTAGTGTTGTTGAACTCGTTTTATTTCAAGTAACATTTTTTTTTTTCATTTTGTTTTCTTAAAGTGATTTGTTTATTCACACATGTCCACGCCCTTCACAGCCTTGAGAGTGATTTGATTTTCAACATTCAAACACAACACCTATATTATGGACGAGGAGAGAATTTCACCGATTTGATCAGTCACTTAATCTTTTCAGTCTAATTAGTGCATACAAGCTTAATCCAAAGGGCAAAGAAACAAAGGATTTGATGTGATTATGGGAGAATAATTTGTCTCAATCAGCTATTCTTAAATGATGTCATGTAAAAGACAGCAGAGACGATAACTGGAATTGGTAAGTATCTCTCTGTGGCCCTTACAGTTTTTTTTTTATTTTTTAAATAAAACAGTTTTTTTTATTAGCAAGGAGTGACTTCACCATTCCTTGTTTTACTTTTTGTGTAACAAGGCCAAATGTATTTTCCATATTCCATCGGAAATCCATTTCCAACTGAACCTACGCAAGTCCTCCTTTTGAACTTTAGATGTCTACAGTTTCTCTTGATTATTATTAATTTTTATCTTGATTATTATTATTATTATTATTATTATTATTATAACTGTATATGCAGTAGCTCTTTTAAATCTCTTCTTAAAGCATACTTTAATTGGACAGCCTTTCCAGATTGTATTTTATTTCTGGTTCTTTGTTATACACTAATTTCAGTTTTTATTTGTCCTTTAAAATATGATGGATTTTTTTTTTAACTTGTTTGTTTTATTTTGTTGAGCTTGTGAGACAGTCTGTGTCTTGGATTTTGAAAAGTGCTCTGTAAATACAGATCATTATTATTACTATTATTATTATTATTATTATTAGTAGTAGTTGTTGTTATTGCTGTTGAAGTAATCGTAGTAGTAGTTGTGTATTAGTTTTAGTATTATTTTATTTCACTCAACTAATATCTCTGCTCCAGTCTTTGGCCAACAGATGGCGGTAGATTTTCAGGGCGGAAGTATCATCCTCCAATCACATTAGCGCACTCGTTGGCGTTGCCATGGTAATGCAATGCACCAACGGCCGCTCCTTGAACGGACCAATCGCTGCGGCGCTTTGCGGCATTTAAACCGTGTGGCGTCATCGGCTCTAAATTCAAATTTCAGAAAGAGACGAAACAGACCAGCGAGTGTTGCTCTCCTGTACTCCACGTTTTGTTGAAGAGGTGAGAGCGTTGTATTGATTTTGCACCGCGGAACTGCCCCGTAAGGTTGTTTAGAGGAATTTAATTTTGCTTTTCGACGCAACAGCAAATACTCATGCTATCAAGTGTTTATGCTAACTTGTGTTCGTTTTCTACAGCGTAATGCTAAACGTTCAATGTTTACTTTAGCTCAGCTGAGTTCACTGAATTCTTTAAAACCAACAATAACAACGTGTCAGGGGTAGTGCAAAAATGTTTTCAGCTGACTTGAGACTTATTCTTGTTTATATTATTGGATTAAATGAAGTTTAATAGCTCGCAGGCTGCTAAATCTATGCTAACACGAACACCTGTGAGCCCAGCGTTAGCATGTGTCGCTTAGCTAACAACCTCCTCTTCACTTCTTTTAAAATTGTTCTGACGCCAAGGTCTATGAAAACGTGGATAAGATGGCGCAGTTTGGGTTTGAGAACGACATTCACAGTATCTTGAAGCTGGATATGCCCATCACCAATGCTCCCATGGCGAGGTGGCAGAGAAAGGCCAGCTCATCAAACACCTCCGCCCTAAACGGTCTGTCTCCAGGAAAGTCTGCTAATGTGTCGCTCAGTTCATCAAAAACACCGAGCAAAACACCCGGTAATGTGACCGTTCCTGCAGTAGTATCTGCTCTGTAGTTAGATCCACAAATATTAACGCTGGCTTCTTCTTTTTCTTCTTCTTCTTCTTCTTGGTGTCTAGGCAAAAATAAAAAACAAACCCCGTCTAAGATGGGGGGTGATCGCTTCATTCCCACCAGAAACAGCAAACAAATGGATGTTGCCAGTTTCCTCCTCACCAAGGAGAATGAGCCCGGGGACACAAGCAACACAGCAGGCGCATCAGTAAGTTATTTATTACATTTGATTATGATTCCTTTTTGTTAAATAAGGGTTTCATTGATTGTGTCCATCTGCATTTAAAGGAGAACCAGAAAGCTTGGTCTATGTCACTAAACGGATACAACATTGAAGAAGCAAAGATCCTCCACCTTGGAGGGAAACCACTGAATGCACCAGAGGGTCAGAATGTTGGCATGCTCAGATTTTGCTGTATGGAGAGAGTGGATTTGTTTTCTCAATGTATTTTTTCCAATCTTTATCTCCTCATTCAGGCTATCAAAACAACTTGAAAGTCCTCTACAGTCAGGCTACAACTCCTGCCTCTGTCAAAAAGACCAGATACATATCTTCAACTCCAGACAGAATCCTGGATGCTCCTGATCTTCGTAACGATTTCTGTAGGTTTGATACTTTTTTTTTCTTTTTTTTTTCAAACCCAATAACATCTATACATTAATATTTTAGTCTAACGCATGTAGTGTATGAATAACTTATTGCATCTTGGATTTGCAGTAATCTACCATCAATGGATATTGATCAATACATTCTTTATTCTGCATTCTTCCTTTTTTTTTTTTTTTTTTTTTAAATGTGATATTTATTTTAAAAAATCACCCTCGTGTACCTAGAAAATATTGACGTTGTCCCTTCTTTTCTCTCAGATTTGAATCTGCTCGACTGGAGCAGTCGAAATGTTCTCGCTGTAGCTCTTCATAACAGTGTTTACCTGTGGGATGCTACTCAAGGAGACATTATTCTTCTCATGAAGCTGGAGCGTGAGGAGGACTACATCTGCTCACTGGCCTGGACCAAAGAGGGAAGCTACCTGGCTATTGGAACCAGTGACTGCAAAGTTCAGGTCAGTGTGGTGATAAACTGGTTAATTAATTTAGTTGACAAGTACGTAGAGCACTCAAACAACTGAATATTTTGTATTTAATGGAATATTTTTGTTTCCTTTTTAGTTGTGGGATGTTGACAATCAAAAGCGTTTACGCAGCATGGCCAGCCACACTGCTCGAGTAGGCAGTCTGAGCTGGAACGATCATATTCTTTCCAGGTATAGTTGTTCATCTCTCATACAAAAAAAGCACAACCAGCAAATCTGATGGTATTTGTCTTGCTGTATGTAACTAAAGCATCCCCCCCACCACCACCCACCCACAGTGGCTCCAGATCCGGACACATCCACCACCATGATGTGAGGGTGGCAGAGCATCACATATCCACACTGACTGGTCACTCACAGGAGGTGTGTGGACTGAAGTGGTCCCCTGATGGTCGATACCTGGCCAGCGGAGGAAACGACAACTTGGTGTACGTGTGGCCCCGTGTGCAGGACGGCAGCGCCAGCAACGACGGCCAGTCTGTCCGCTGCTGGAGCGAACACCAGGGAGCTGTCAAGGTGAGTAGTTTTTATACAGTAAACATTTGTTTATTTTGCCTGATCATGATGCATATTAAATGTACAGTGTTTTTAAACTGTCAGAACAAAGTCTTAAAACCCCTGTCATTCATCATTCTTAATCTTGTGCCACTGTAGTTTTTTGACTTTTTTTCCTTTTTTTGTGTGTGTTTGTCGGTATTCATTGTCGTAGGCCTTAGCCTGGTGTCCGTGGCAGTCAAACATTCTTGCATCTGGAGGCGGTACGAGTGATCGCCACATCCGCATCTGGAATGTAAACAGTGGTTCCTGCATCAGTTCACTTGACACTCAGTCCCAGGTAACTGCAGACTTCTACATTCTTGAGTTTCAGCAGTGATTCTCAGTCCAATAATTGTCTTTTAGTTTGTGCATTTATTTATTTTTTGTACAATCACACATGACTTTTCAGATCTCATCGCTGGTGTTTGCACCCAACTACAAGGAGTTGGTCTCTGCCCACGGATATGCCCACAATAATGTTGCTATCTGGAAGTACCCCTCCCTCACCAGAGTCGCAGAGCTCAATGGTAAGTAACTGTTTAGACTGGATCCCCTCTGTACGTCACACACTGTTTAAAGGAATTTCCAGTGAACTGTTCTTCAGCCTTTCAGTTGGTATAAACACATTTTTATTTTAGGCCACGAGGACAGGGTTCTCAGTTTGACTCTGAGCCCAGACTGTTCGACCGTCGCGACCATCGCTGGAGATGAGACAATTCGTCTGTGGAAGAGCTTTGAAGTGGATCCCGTTAAGAAGAAGGCTAAAGAGAGGATGGTCAAATCAACAAGCAGTGTCATTCATCAGTCAATCAGATGATTTGGTTTGTGTTGACCTTTGAGGTTTTTAGTCTGTTCTGATTGCGTTATGTGCAAATGTTTTATTTAATCCACAATAAAGATTACCACCCAGTTCTTGCCTTGTACTGCTTAAATTGGTTCTGTAATGGATTCTTCTGTTGTTTAAACAAGCCTGCTAATGTGGTAAAGTACAAGTGTTTAGAGTTTTTAAAGCAGTTTCAGATGTATTTATAACCTGCAGTTGTCTTTTATTGTAATCTCAATGCATTGTATACATTGGACTGGGTTGTAAATAAATGGTTTAGGTACCACATCTGCCTCAGTCTGGTAACTGACATCTGCCAAACCAACAAATTCCATGTTTATTCTCTCCAGAAGTGCCATCTACTTTACACAAGGCCTGTTTACTTGTGTTGGGCTTATATGGGATCCAAAACCCCTCATAGATCACTCCCTGTCTTCTGTAGTATTACAGTCAAACTTCGTTACCAAAAAGTCACACTACTGTCCACCTGTCAACATTTTGGGTTTACTGAGACAGACGTGCTGTATGATACAAAGTTTTGAGCATCTACTTCTAGTTTGTTGGACCTGAAACACACAAACCATGAGACTGAATCCACTGTAGGTTTCACGTCAGCCACACATGAGCAGCTGACATTGCTGATTCGCTCACAAACTACAGGACAAATTCATGAATCAAATAATTAACTGCTGTGTTTGGAACAGATACATTTCTAGATGTAACTTTTAGGACCACTGGGTTGGACATTATATATTACTCAAAGATAAACATACTAAGATATTATTTTTGTTGCTTGACAATCATGTTTTTCATCAGTGTCCTTTTACTGTTGGACTAATGGTGTGTGGACAAGTCTGTTATCCTACTGGCTTGAACTGGACCTACATGGTGTAGATGATGTTTCTCTTGCCTGGGAAATGGGAGAAAAAAAATCACAACATATTTAGAGATTTCATCTCTGTTTATGTTCAGTTATGGACATATACAACCTAGACCTGTTTCTTTGTGTTATTTGTGGCAAATGTCAAACAGTTTTTTAAAAAAAAGAGATCAACAACAACAACAGCAAACACTGATAGATTTATGAATCAACATATTCATACTTCTTTAGTGATATTGAGAAACAGCCATCTGTACAAACCTTTATTCAAGTCTGATGTCATAGAAAGTTTTTTCTGTTCACTTCATGCAGAGTGTGCTGAGAGAAGTAAACCAAACAGTGTTGCTGCACTCAGAAGGGATTAACATGGATGAACACGCACAGCAGGGTATGCGTCACTACCTAATAATGCGACAACGCAAAATGCATCAATACTGTAATATACAGCACAACACTTCCTTCCCACAATTCTTAAAATTGAAAATTTTAGGTGTTTCTCTCAAAGTGCACACCAAAACTGCTTTCCAAATGACACAGACCTTTATCTAAACGTTGGTTTTATTTCAAAAGATAAATAAAATCTGAAAAAAAGACTAAATAGTTGACATTTACGATGAAAATCTTGCTTTGGTTTATAGCAGTTATTTACATGTACTAGTCTTCAGTGGAAACTGTGCCATACTCCCATGCAACAAAGGCCATGCCAGCCCAAGAGCAGTGCAGATCAAGCCTGTGTGGGTCAAGCCTGAGTTGAAGAATACTATAAGTGATAAAATGAGCACCAATCTTCATGCAGTGTTCATCACAGTTAATAGTTTTTGCAACAACTTACACAACACAACGTGGAGATCACTGGCAAAACGCACCATGCCATTCGAATTCTGATACGTGTGCATATATTTTCACAAAAGACTAGACTTACATAAAAATTTTGCAGGTTTGAAGCAGCATATTGAAACCTGTGTCTCTCCAATATGCTGCTAGATATGAATGATGAATGACATATTCAAGGTAGTAGTATTAGTCTATGCCTCCTTCTCTTTCCAGAGTCACCAAGTTAGACTTCTTTTACTTTGCCCATTGGGATTTTGCCGTTGGTGCAGTGGTGAGCGTTCCCGTTCTCAACGTGTTTTCCGTTCGCCACCACACCGATCGCTTCGCTGGTTGAGCCGTTCTGTTTCGTCTTGTTGTCTGCGGCGGGAAGACGTTTGCCCTTTATGTATGCCTGCACCCAAAAGTTGGAGAAGAGGAGGAAGAAGAAGACGCCGTACATCCAGATCAGGTGGATCCACAAGGGGATCTGGTAGTCACACTTTTCCATGAAGTAGTACTGGCTGATGTGAATGGAGACCAGAACAAACTGCGTCTGCAAAGCAAGAGTGAAAACACAGGTGGTTGTTCAGCATCCCATCACAAACTTATGTTGTTTGTTTTAATAAAAATACACTGTTGTAAAAAAAAGAGAGAGAGAAAAGGAGCATACAAGCTGGATAGCGGTCATGTACTTCTTCCACCACAGGTATTTGTGGAAGCGAGGCCCGGCAGCAGAGAGGCCGTAGTAGGTGTACATGATAACGTGGACTGTAGCATTCACCAAGGCGTGGAAAGAGCCCATTCCTCCAACTTCAGATGGAAAAAAAACACACAGAAAATGATGTATTAGATATTTAGTAGCTTTTATTTTATTGCCTTTATTTAGAAACAAGCAGTGATGACGGACAGAAATTATAAAAGGGAGCAGGGAAGGGTTGGCAGGTTGAGAATCAAACAGAGGATTCACCAGTTGACAGCATCTACCATCAGTTTTCCCCATTTTTTTCTTAGATTTTGAAATGATTTACGTCTTAAGGATGTATATCGTAGATTTGCTGGGTAACACTCACCAGGCGTCAGGGTGATGCCCCACCACCACGTCCAGGGCATGAAGGAGTGATGGAAGACGTGGAGAAATGTGATCTGACTTTGCTTCTTTCTCAGCACGAAGAATGCCTGAAATAAACGCAAGCACGGTTAGCATTCAGATCCGTCACAAACAACAGGTCCAAACAACGCGTGAAGAGAGGCATCCTTACCGTGTCGAGGAGTTCGATGTATTTTGAAAAATAAAACAACCAAGCAACTCGGATCATCTGTGAGAAAGAAAGAAAAAAAAGAGCTGTAATGTCAAATAGCTAACAGGGAACAATCATCAAAGGACTCTCATGTTTATTTCTTAAAGTTTGCTTTTTGGGCCACGACAGATGGAGGAGAATGAATCAGAAAGCGAATGACTTACCCTGAGAGCCTCCGGGCTGCTGGAGGTGTCAATCAGATCACATCTCCATGTGTAGGTGGTGCCCCATCCAGACATCATGAACTAGGCGTCAAAAGCATCACAAGCCGTTACCATTACTTCTGCAAGCACTTTGAATCAGACGGATTGTGAGTCACCAAATATCTCAAATGCTCTTACCTCATACACTATGTAGGCATTCAGTAAAACCATACTAAGGTTGTAGACAATCATGGCCGTTTTGAGGCCGAAAGGTTTGCGGTTTGCCATCAGGCGAGGCCCAACATATACCGACAAGAAGACGTACGCCAGCAGGATGCTGGTCATTTGGATGGGGCTCTGCATCAGAGGGTAGTCTTTGACTCTGGCATCTAGAACACACACACAGCAACGGTCAAACAGGGATGTCTGTGTGGATCTGGGGTGATACATAACTTTGGGTGAAGCCAAATAAAGCAAAAGAGCAATTTTCAAATGTTTTAATGTACACTTCATGTCATTTTTTTTTGCCCTTGTGTGACACGATGATACACAGAACATCGAGGTTTAAGGATTTCATACGTGTACATCTGCATTACGTAGAGGAGACGACACTTACCAGTTCTTGATTGTAGATAACTGTGGAATTTTACAAGCTCTGATATGACGTCTCGCAGCATGGTGACTGCCTGCTTTTGGTTCTATTAAACTCCTGAAAAAAGAAATATATATATATATCAGAGAGCAGCAGATGAAACGGAGCTAAAAGTGAGGCTGGTTTGGCAGGTGAGCAACAAAGCGACCTATCCACCTCCTTTCCCACTGACTGAACAAACAGGAGACAGCTGCACAGGCTCATCAAACACCCCCAGCTCACTGCCCCTGGCTACAACCCTTCAAACAAATATACAGGCAGGACGTACGCTAGAGGCTCAAACCATGTTTCCCTATTAAAATACAAAACAATCCATATATGTCTCATGAAGAGTTGTGAAACGTTGTCAGTTTAAAAACAATGAAATAGTCACTCTCATGCTGACTAACTGAGCAAGTCAAACAGGTGAGGCAAAGAACTTGGCCCATATGGCGAGCCGACTGAGCCACTAAGATGTGAGCTGATCGTGGATTTCCAGGTAGCAAAACAACACAACAAGCAAAAGAGGTACATTTTTTTTGTTGTCCTGATCAGGATCAAGCTTATTCTGACACTAAACTGAAGGAGTGGCTGAACAGAGTCTAACCCCAGAGCAATTACACGAGACATTTCACAACATTTGAAACACAAGCAGCGACACAAATACAGGTGAAAATACTGTTTGTAACAAGTGACTCACCTGCTGAGCTCAAGTCACTCAGCACCTCCGGTTTGTGAAGCAAGCAGCTGCACAGCCAAAGCGGGCAGCACCCAATCCAGAGAACAGATCAGCGACACCCCTGAATGAGAGTGATCAGCTGAAAATCAGGTACATGCAACGCTACTGTGTGGGTGGTAGCCTCCAGCTATTCTCAGATGTTTACTGTTTTCTGTTACTAAAAATCCTCCAGGAGCTAAAAGTTCTTTCATGTACGACTGAAGGGGTGAAAAGACTGAGAGAAAAACCAAGACGGAGACAGACGAGATAAAGTGACTGCTGTGATAACTGTAGGACTGAGCCCATTCAATTCAATTTAAACCCCAAGGCACTACTACAGCCCTTTCTAGTTTCAGGACCACACCCTGTTTCAGTGCTTAGCTCCACCTTTCTGTCCTCACTGAGCCTGTTTGTGATTGGATTGTCTCATCAATGGTGGTGAAAGGGGAAGGGGTCAGCGAGTTGTTGAAACACAGAGGCCCAGTGGTGAAAAGACCCATTAATGAGCAAAAAGAAAAGAAAACTTTATGAGAGAGATGAAACTACAATTAAAAAAACAAATAGGCTGAAATATAAACAATATGTGGTTTGAGTTAAAGTAACATAGCTCCTCTAAAAGGTGCTTCCTGTCACATAATTTAGGCTAAAGGTAAAATCAGATATGATACGGTTGACGAACCCAGCGTCACACTTTGGCGTCGCCCATCCCTTGCTGCATTGTAGCGACGAGGGTTCCAGTCCAACCCTCGTAGCTATTTGATGAGCTCTCCTGCGCCTCTGGTTTTACCTGTTCCCCCAGCACCGGGGACGATGGGCGTGAGGCTTGGACGCAGTTTGAAACGCACTCCTACGTTAGACTGAAAATGTTGGCTGGAATGAAAGGCATGTGGGCACGGGAGAGAGGGGAGGGAGGCAGGAAGGAAGGAAGGAAGGAGAACCCGCTGCAGAGTGTTTACATATTGTTTGACAGTTTGGCACATGGTGCATCGATATGCCACCAATTAAAGGCATGAAAGTCACTAAATGTGTGATTAGTGTGCAGAGTTCACACTGAAATCATGACGTGGTGAATTTACAATTAAAAGCAGTCTCTCAGAAATAACCACTAAAGATGTGTGTGCTTTTAAGTTCATTATCAATCAGATCACATTCCTGCTTCAGACAGCTGTCGTGCTGTAAATGCTGCAGAGACGTTTCCATACTGTCAGTGCAGGTTCTTTCCCAGAAGTGTTTCAGGCGACACCTTAAACTTGACCAGCTGCTACTTAACGACTACCTGAGGGGGCAACTTCTCCCCCTTAGGCCACAGTTTCAAACAAAGGGTTTCCCCTTTCTGAGCTTGTTAGCATATTTAGCAGCTCGGTTTCACTCAAGCATCTTCACCAAGGGCCATCTACACAACAAGTGAATCATTTCTTCCAAAAACCTGCTACCTTCATGTGCATTGTACACTTAAATGTTAGCTCATTGATAAAAACCTTGATGTGATGGATTTTATTGAGTGGCTTAGTTAGTTGAACCACCAAAAATGTGCAGGAAAGCAACAGCACCAGAACAATATGTCGTCTTGCAGTCCACACGGACCAGATTTTTGACTGATGGAGGGTCGACACACAAACTGAATAGAAATGTGAGACTTGCTGGTCAGCTGTTTTTCATAGCTGCCACACAAATGCACACCACAACATGCTGCCTGTTCTTCTCAGTCTCATGACCGTTTAACACTGACTTAAGTCAAGGTTGTGCCCAATAGCAAGAATTCATCCCACAGAAACTAATAAATAACCTTCAGCTCAACAGCCCAACTCAGATAATAGACAACGTCCTCGAGACACACCGGTTGTCCTCAATTACCCGATTGTGAAAAACTAGACGGGATGGATGCCTGGTGTGGATGGGAAGCAGTGAGCACAGCTGGTGGAAATGAGGAGACTCGCAAAACATGAATGTGAACATACAGTTCTTGATGATTGTCGAAGTTATGGTTGCTTAACACGAGCATCACGTGGTCGCCAAAGCTCATAAACAGACTTTTCAGCAACACTGACATTTTTGGGAGCTCCATCACTCTTTGCAATGAGACAAAACTAGATTCCAGGTGTCATTGGCAGTGACTAAGAGGGCCGAGCACCATGTTACCTATTAGCGTTTTCATACTTTTAAATGTTCATTCATTGCATGTCAACATGTCGTCCGACCACAAATGTGTAAACATGTCCCTTTTATTGACACACTGGAGACAACATGTCAGAAAAAGAGACTGTTTGTGCTGAAGTGAACACATGTAAAAGTTTGAACAATGTGAATACTGACTCATGAATGCCAGAGGGGCGAGGTTTTCTTTCTTGCCCGTTTTCATTTTAAGAGGATCACTTAGAAACTCACCCTGTGACTAATGTGCTAATTAGAGAAACAGCAGCAGCCTCAAGACGGAAAAAAACTGGAGGTAGCAAAAAACTTGCATCACGTGGTGAGTTTTATATCTTAAGATAGATTAAGATATAAAAAAATTAAGTAATTTAGAGACGAAGCCTCCTGATGTGAAAGTGTGAAAGCTCAATATTTCCCCAATTTGCATTGATTAAATTTGAACAAAAACCTAAATTGATCTCATTAAAGGGACGGTTTCAAGGTTTATTTGCTCTTCTTATTGAATTTAACCATCATTGCTTTAACATTCTTTAATTGGTCTTGTGATAATTACCATATTTATTTAAAAAAAGAACATTTAATTTAATTTTTTATCTGATACAGCCATGTATTCTTTTATTTCTATTTCATGTGTCTGCATTTGTCTGTGACTCGGCGCCATTCAAAATATGGGTTGTCCCTTAATATGTGGGGGGGAAAAATCATCTAATTTATTTATTTTCCTTATTTTTATTTTACCAGGTAAAGCACTGTCAGATGTCTCCTTCAGATGAGTCTGGATGAGAAGCTATGCTGAAGTTACTAATGTCAACAACGGCACAACTTCATGTTTTCTGAAGCAGTTATTTAAATGAAGCGTAGCTCCAGAAGAAATAAACATCCTTACCACTATATCAACAAACCTCCGGTTAAAACGCTTAAAAAATACTGAGCAGAGCACAACGGCTACAAGGTCGAACGTCAAGTCTGCTGGTGGTGTTTCAGATTAAAACAGATTATCAGTTTCTTTTTAATCAGGAGAGATTAACTTTTCATCCACGAGATGGAAAAAAAAGACCATCCAGGAATAAGTTTGAACAAAAACTTAAGTTAATGTTATTCAGATGGTTCCAAGCTTTTAAAATTGCTCATTGATTTAAAATTTTGTTTTTGTTTTTTCTGGTTTCTGGTTATTATTTTTTTTGTTAACCAAATAACTTCTCAAGATTGAAAAACAAAAAGCAAAAAACAGGAGATTTAAAGTCAACTTTTTGACTTTAAATTTTGAATTTCTTACAAAAACACAACAAGAATTTCAATAAATGAATCAATAAATGAACTTAAATCTGCAGCTGCAGAATAAATGATCATAAAAAAAAGCTGTTTCCATCTTAAAAACATCCATGCGTTCATACTTTAATAGTAAAAATGAATCACTTTATTAATTAGTTTGTTTTATAACATGTGTGAATCCTGTCATTTTATTATGAAAAGCATCAGAGGAAATTATTGACCACATCCTACTCTCTGGACTGTGTTCATATTTATATGGACTTAAAGAAGTGGGCTCTGATGTCTTTTTCTTTTCTTTTTTTTGCATGACCTCTCAGATGCTCATCAGGATGAACCAAAACAGCGACACCTAGCGGCCAAACATCTAAATAAGAAATATTCGTTTTTAGCAGTAATAATAAAGTTAAAGCAAAAGATGTAAACATAATTACTATGATAGGTTTGGCACTATTATTGCACTCAGTTTGAAAAGTAATAAATGTGGACACATATATACAGTCATATATGTCACAATTGTCATACATATTGCAGGTAACATACAGAGGGACCAAAACATCAGATTTCTGAGCTTTTTTTAAATTTATTTTTTAAAACTTTTTTTAAACACGATAAAAAAAGAAAGCAGAACCACTTTTAAAGAGGAATTTATCCTTAAAAATGGAACAGAAAAGGATTATGGGGCAACATTGTTTTTGATTTGACAAATATAATTTATAAATAAACTAAGTTTTACAGTTATTTATCACTGAGGCCTTGATAGCATCTGAAAATGTTGGTTTGAGAAGATTCCTCCTTTATTATTATTACAGAACTTGGTCTGTGTTCCTGAGAACATCTTCTAAATGTTGATATGTTGGTATTAAATTAAATTATTAGTTTATTTATTTAGTATAATTTTATTTATGGTAGGATAACATCACCACACAGTGGGTCTGAGCCCAGTGCGCTCGGCCTCCCTCGCAGCTGAAGATGCAGAGCAGGACGTCTATATTTATCTGCTCTGGCGGATTAAAAGTGCGACACTTTTGGCTCCAGGAACACTTACATAAAACCTGAGCAGGAGATCATCTCCTGAGCCTCACCTGCACTCAAAGCCCAGTTTTATTTACCCACATATGTGGTTTAAATCTGTATGTTTAAAAAAAAACAACAACAACAAAAAGCTGTCAGAGATAGAAGCTGAAAACACACTGATCCTCCTTGAAGCCTCGGAGCTTCATCCCGTCTTTGTTGGCGACCAGATAATCATCTGCCCAGACTTGTGAATGAAAACTAGGAGCGGTTGATTTGTCTCCCTCTGTCCGCCGGAGGGAGGAGCTGCTCTTGCGCGCACGGGAGGCGGGCTGTTGCGCTCTGAGTCCGGGATTCTCCTGCTTGTAGGACTAATACACCCTCCCAGCGCCAATGGGAAGGTGGAACAACAGGTAGGCGTCCTCCAACTGCGTCCCTCGGCTCAGTCGTGGACTGACCGCACCATGCGCCCTCCTGGAAACCAGAGCTGAACCACAACTTGGCTGCGCGATTGTCTTTTGAGGAGTAGACGCGCTTTATTTTCTCTTTCTGTGACAGTCGAGTGTTGCTGGCTGGGAGTGAACTACAGAGAGCTGCTGTGGAAGATTTTCTGATCGATAAATCGGAGCTTGTTTATTGGACAAATTGTGATATCATCAGCGGGGCCATCTCACTGTGGACAAGATGTTGCTGGTAAGCGTGGCTTTTTTTCTCCTCTCATACAGCCATACATTGGAATTATTTCCTTAATGTGTTTTTGATCTCAAATCAAGATAGGGTTAAATATGATTTCCCTTTTTGTCATCTTGTCCTATCAGAGCTTGTTGTTGCATAATCCAAGAAGTGTAGCAATATCTTGACTATTCCACCATGTGACTCACAACAATAACGCCTCCATCATATTCTTATGTAAGTTTCTGGTCAGTTTTAGCTTCTGAATGTCTTTTTTACACCCACTTTTCTTCCAAAGTGTGCAGTAACAGCATGGGGTTGTTATTTAATCACACACAGGGCTTGTTATTTTTGGCCTTCCGGTGAGAAAGAGAGATTTGTGAGCCAGGATTCATTTATTTATCTGTACCTTGCATGTTTCCCTCCCCTCACAGCTGCCATATTACCGCTGAACTCTGTCCCTCTGTGAGACGGCGAAGACACGCCGAGACACAGCTGATCCCCCCCGAGGTCAGGCTGCTCTCTGACCCACATCCCCCTGCAGGAGGACATGGAGGTCCTGCGACGGTCCTCTGTGTTTGCTGCAGAGGTCCTGGATGTGTTCGACCGATCGCTGACTGAGAAGGAGCTGGTGTCCCAGTCCAAGGCGCTGTGCAGAGACTACATCCTGTCCAGGCTCAACCAGAACGGGCTGGGGTGGTCCAAAACCGAGATCAACTTCGGTCCCTCCAACGCGGCGCTGGCTGAGGTGTCTCTGGTGCTCCTCTGTCTCGGTAAGAGAACAGCTCATGTTTAAACCTGGCTGTGTTGACTGACTTGTCCAAACAGGAAAAGTATAAATCAGGAACCATGGTGTGGTTGCATTGCAGCTGAATTAGTTTTTAGCGTATTTGAAATGTCCAGTGTCTTATTTGGAGTTGCCACAGGTGCACAATCATCACCAGTTCAGTCTCAATCTTTAACATAAAGCTCAACATATGCTCAGTTTAAACATCCAGTAGGGTCTGTGTGGGCTGCAAGGTGGATCGGTGGGTAGCACTGTTGCCTCGCAGCGGTGAGGACACCTGGGATCTTTCTGCGTGGAGTTTGCATGTTCTCCCCGTGCAGCGTGGGTTCTCTCCGGGTTCTCTGGCTTCCTCCCACACAGTCCAGAAACATGTTGAGGTTAATTGGTGATTCTAAATTGTCCGTAGGTGTGAATGTGAGTGTGCTTGGTTGTCTGTCTCTAAGTGTAGCCCTGTGATAGACTGGCGATCATGGATGTATGGATAGGTTCTGTGTCCTCATCTCAATCCAGTCTGCAACAGAAACTTTGTGCCAGATTTTAGAATAATGATTTTATTTTTAGATATCCTCTCGACTATCAAACATCCTTGACAACACGCTCTCCTCAGTGGAGGAGGCAACGTCAGCCACAGTGAACAGAAGTTTTATATTTGAGACATGCACAAAGTTTCTTTGGCTGGTTTTGGGAAAATCTGTGCAACAGTACATTGTGTGTGTGTGTGTGTGTTTGGGCAGGTTAAGGCTACGTTTTCTAGCAGGAATCATTGTGATTATGCAGTGTGACAGGGATGTAATTGCTCCTCTTCGGTCTAAAAAGCGCATAATTTATTTGTTTTAATCAAATTCTTTGAGGACAGAACATTCAAGAAATGAGATAATCAAATATAAGAAACTAGACTGAGAAGCTTTTTAGGCCTGACTCTCAGATTGAATGATTTCCCCAGACGACACTCTCTACACTGAGTCTATAAAGCTATGATAAGCTCAAGATGAGGTAAGGATTATGTCTGAGATCAGCTTGAAACCGACTGCAGACAGCAGCTGGATTGTCGAATCCCGACATCTGAGCTGCAGAACACACTGAATATCCGAACTCGTTAAGCTGTGTGAGATAGTCTGCAGGTGGTTTGAATAATCGGTTCAAGCTGCTTCACTTTGATCTGTTTAGTCTCATTCATTCAGATGAACTGCGCTCTTCTTCCTAACAGACTTCTCTCTTCTTCTTCTTCTTTTTTTTTTTTTTTAATTTTGTCCCTGCTCGTCCTCTGTTACCAAGGCGATGAGCTGGAGTGTATACAGCCCAGTCTGTACAGGAACGTGGCGCGGCAGCTCAACATTTCTGTTGCCATGGAGAACATGGTTTCGGATGCCTTCATCGGCGTGGCAACGGAGATCTTCTCTGCAGGTACAGGGCCGCTGCTGACGATGATGATGATGATAATGATGATAATGCATCACGCTGGAAATGACACGTGTGGTCTGGAGCCAAAGGGAGATCTGTCAGCACAGGATGTGACTTACGGAGGCAGTTAGTGTGATTTAACAGGTGTGCCTTTGGCTGAGAGGGGCTTTCAGGGAGAGTGAGTGGGTGCGGACCAGACGTAGGCGGAGTGAGACATCGTTAGTCCTGCATTGAAGTTTCTAAGTTTAGAAGCTGCTTTCCAAAACGAGCATCGATTCGTTTACACTTCTAGGTTGTCATTTCTGTACGTAAAAGGTGTTTGCTTTGTCCGCAGCGTTCTCCTGTCATTGTGGTTTGTCAGATAAAGGCTTCGTATGGAAGAAGCCAGTGTTTGATTGCTTAGATAGAAAATACTTCATACTATAGGGATTTCAGGGGTTCACTCTTCTGTTTTTTTCAGGGCTGACAACAATTGTTAATAATCAAGGATACCAATAAGCAACAATTATATCTCATACACATTTGCAGCAAAACTTCTACTTGAAACATCTTTATTTTTAATTTGAAGGAACGTTTTTGCTCATCAGTTTGACGAGCGAGATACGTAGAAGAGGGACGAGTAATTCCAAAAGTCAGGCGAAAGTCTGTGCTAAGATGCTTTTGTTTATTTCTGTTTTTCATGTGTTTATTTCAAAGAGAACTTTCCATCATGACATGTCACCCATCACATCATCCTATGTGTGTGTGACATTGCTCAAATCTGCAGCGTGGCTCAGTTAATTCATTTTATCTTGTGAAAAAATAAGCATACTGGTGATTGAAAAAAAAAAATGCTGTTATTGAATCAGCTCATCATTCATTCTTGCAGCTCTCTATTAAATGATCCAAATGAAGCAGTCAAAGACAGGAAATCAGTCCAGGAAGGAAACAATTTTACAAAGATTGTACAATACGAGGTTTAAACGCAGTCAGCAGTTCGTTACAAATCATGTGATATTATGTCATTCCTCTATTGTACTCGCAGAATGTTGGTAACAGTCTGATAACTGAACTGTCCTGATTTATAATTGATTGAATTATAAATTAGATGTGCTGCTGTTGTAAAGACAATCATGAGATCGGGCTGAGTGTCCTTTGAGTCCGGTTAAACTTTATCGGGGCTTTTATGTCTTTCTCTGAGTTCAGGTGTTGTTTTTGTCAAACTGTTGAGACTAGAGCACCAAGAGCTTTACCTTAATGGCTTATAAAAGTTTGACATGAGCATGAAATGTGGAGTGATATCACGTGTGCGGTAATATTTTGGACTCAAGGTTATTTCCTTGAGGTTCGTCATCAGGCAAATGTGTCTCCCACACCCACGACCAAGGTTTTAATTATAATGCAACAGTTCGGTAGACTTTTTGGCCATGCCTTTTATTAGAGGAAGAGACATAGCAGGAGAAAAGCAACAGATGGACCCGAGCTTTCCTGAATCCGATTCTTGATTCATGTTTAGGTTGCAGGTTTGCCCTCAGCGCACACGATGCCCCTCACGTCTACACAAACAACTTAAGTGCTTATTCCTGTTCCTGTGCAGATTAAATGCCGCGCTTGGTCCTCTGAGAATCTTGAAAGGAAAACGTAGCAGACGAAACTGCTCTAAATGGCAGTTGGTTAACTTGAGCTTTTTTTTTGTTGGTCTGGAACTTGTTCGTGCTGGCCTTGGACTTGTGTTGGGCTCTTTTTTTTTTTCTCAAGTTGTCTTGACAACAGATGTGCTGTGTACACAAAGCAGCGATGGCATTTTAAAGCGCCACAATAAAGAGAGTGGCTTTATGCCCTCTGTATAAGCCTTTGGGGTGAGATTAGAGAGTCCTGCCACTGTGCGATGAGCAAGTAAAACTTGGCGCGTTGCCAGGAAACATCAGAACCAGACTTGCTCAATATAATTTTCATGCTTGCGCTCTGGCTCAGAGTCTGCTCGATTTGACGTCATGAGGGTGTAATCTCTGGAAACAGCGTGGGATTCCTTCTGAAGAATAACAAACTGGTGAACCCAGGCTGCTCCAGCCTTCTGGGACGGGCGGGCAGAAACCTGGGTATAAATAGAAAAAGAAGAATCATGCATGTTTATTTTTCCTGCCCTGTGGAATTTGTTTTAAATTTAGCCTCGTAGCTTGTTCGGTATTCGTTATCATTCCTCCACCGCGGCGGACTCGGTGAATCTATTTCCACATGTGTTGCTTTGAAAGCAGGTTGCTAGTCATCTGTACAGCGGTTTTCCCCCCAGTTAAATCAACATGGCTCGTCTGTCCTCCATCCATCTCCTCCTGCCTTCTGTTCCCACTCTTTCCGCCCTCCTCTCCTCCGGCTTTATCCCTGACGATCTTGTCTCTATTCTTGGCCTGCTTCTCAGTAGGGAGTGAGACATGACGTGCTCCGACAGCTTCCATGGACACTTATCTCATTTAAGCTCACCCAGAGCTCTATCCTCATATAGCCACGGTCAGACGCTGCAGGTCAGCTCGCAGCTACGATCATACGGCTTGGGTTAAGGAGGCCAATGCCATTAGGCTCTGCTCTGCATCACTGACCGCTATTATAACAATCCTCGCTGCTCTGGAAACCGCGCCTGAAATGGCTCGATGCCCTCAATTATCAGACCGAGTGTTGCCGAGATCCGTTTAAACAGAAAAAAGAAGACAAAGAACTCGGCATTCCGTCAGCTTGATTGCCTCTGAGGATCGACTACAAAGTCATTCTTGAACTTGTTGACCTTCTCATATCTAAAACTGCGTCAGCGTTTCACCCTCCAGACAATGGCAGCATAGTTTCACCCTGTTTAATTTACATCTGGCATAGTTTTATAAAAACCTCTTATCAGCTACATCAACAGTGTTCAGTTGGTATTTACAGTTTGTTTCTGCACACCGACTGCCCCACATGTCGCACTGCAGGTCACAGAATATGTTCAGGAAAGAGAAACCTCAGAGGAGATGGGTGTTGTTGTTTGGCATGGGAGGAACCGGCACCCATGAGAACAGGAAAGGAGTGTTTATGGTGGGGTGAAGACGGCAGTTTATCGATTTCTGTCAAGACATTCTGCCACTGCGGAGGATTAAAGCTTATGTCTTCCAGGAGAAGTGTGATATTTTTGCTTGACACCCATCAGAAACTACCCCGTCACTGTGAGACAGAATCGATTTTGGTTTGCAGCTTAAAGTTCCCCACCAGACCTGTTTGAAACATAAAAATACCCTGCTGTGAATATGACACTCAGTCACCTCGTTGAGCATCCAGGATATATGAATGTAAGCACTGTTCTTTTCAAAAGTTTAACTGCTGGACACAACGATGCATTTGTGCAGTTAAAGTGTTGACTCACCTTTCTAAGCTGCACATCGGACTGTTTTAGTTGGCTCATAAAATCAGACCTGTTCATATCTTAAACTCTGATTGAGGTGAGAGCAGTTTAATGTCTAAAAGATTTCACAGCTACATAAAAATAATTAAAGGTGTGTTCTTCCTGCAGGTATAACGTGGGGGAAGGTGGTATCCATGTATGCAGTAGCCGGAGCCCTGGCTGTGGACTGCGTCAGACAAGGCCATCCAACCACAGTGCACATCTTAGTGGACAGTCTGGGGCAGTTCGTCCGCAAATTCCTGGTTCCCTGGCTGAAGAGACGAGGAGGATGGGTAAGTGTCTGCTTTCTGATAATGGCTCCCAGCTGAGGCCGTGATGCATTAGCAGCGCTGTGCTGTTCTCACCCTAATCGATGACGATCTGGTATTTCTGTATCAGTAATCTGTTGTCCTGCTATGTGACTAAAATGAAAAAAGCTGACGTTTGAGATAAGACGGAAAAGGCGCCGCTTGCCTCTCGTGCTTGTGAGTTTAAGACAGACTGCATTGGGTTGTTCCGCGCTGCTGTTTTTGTGGCGACACGACTAATTATGTTATCTTGTTTATAGATCAGAGCTTAGACGGAGTCAGAGGAGTTACATAAAATCTGATGGCTCTGAAAACGGAGCCCTGTTTTTTTTGTTTTTTTTAACTTCCTGTTGGTTGATCTGCAAAGAGCAAAAGTTTCACATGTACGATTTTGTTATGCTTCACTCAAATAAGATGGAATTTGGTCAAGTGCTGTGGGACTAACGACACAGCTAACATGTTCGAGGTCAAAGCCTGAGTTATGCTTTTTCAAGTACCTCATTTTTCCTGAATTTGTTTTGGAGACATGCACTTTGCCCCGTTTGTTTTTACTCCTAAGACACAGCCCCCATCTGAAATTCTTTGCAGGAGAAAGGGACTTTTTGCTTTTATGTTTGAAATGCATTTGACTTAGAGAAGCAAAGAATGACAATAATAATGTGAATTTGAATCCTCTGTACCTGAATGTAATCCCTGCTGAGTTCTTAAATTTAAAATGGCATTAAAATGTTGTACTTCCATCTGTGTCACCTATTTCAGTGAAGTTTTATGGTGAAAAAATGTGATTTTCTTTCGGGTTTACAAATTTAGATGGACAACTGGACCGTTTAATATTCAGAAAATGAAATCTGACTTTGATTAAAACTCCAGAACAAGTCAGTAAATGGACACTGAGGTTAGATTTCATATTTAGTGTGCTCAAACTCAAATGAATGCTTTAAATTTTATGATTAAAGTCAGTTAAAAAAATCATTAGATTGGGGAAATTCAGACACCAAGATATTTGTTTTTAAAATTTTATTCTTCAGCAGCAGTTCAAATACAGAACATGTGCATAAAAACCCAGCATTTTGACTCTTTGATAGTAATCGAATTAAAATATCTCCTTGTTTTTGTTTTTCCAGGCTGAGATAACAAAATGTGTGGTGAAGAAGGATCTCACCCCCGAACAGAACTGGCTCTCCTCCACCGTGGAGTCCCTCAAGTACTTCCTCACCACCATGTACGTCTACATCATGAAGGAGCCGTGAACGGAGAGCGAGAGCAGAGGAGTATGTGGGCTCCAAATCTCAGACTTGTCTATAAAAGCCGGAGATGGTCGCGGCGCTTGATGGGGATTGAGCCTGCCAGCAGATTTTACAGTCTGTCGCTGAATGGCCATCAACAAATGTTTCATCAGCAGCGTGTTCGTGTTTCCTCGGTGTCAGATGAGTCTGTAAGTGATTACCCTTCATCCCAAGAGTAGTCGCTGCGATATTTAAGAGCATACCATGGCAGCGTTGTTATCACTCCACCTCTTCTACGTATTTTTTCTCACTACTTACACCGGTGCAGTAAACCAGGCTTCTCAAAAGTGTTTGTAACGTGTGACGGTGTTTGAATGTGACCTACGAGAGGCTGTTCCTGAGATAAACAGTCTGGTGTTTAAATGTGATGTTTGTCTCAGATTATATACCGAAAGGAGTGATGGAGGTGAAAGCCGTGTTGCTTGAACTGACGCTCAGCTCGGGTGGGTCTTGTGAGGATATCAGAGGCAAAGGAGTTCTGATTGGGAGCGAGTTCACACCTGAAAGCAATATGAGGTGGTATCAACTGTTTACACTTCATGTTGTACTTTACCAAAGTGCAAACAGTGTCTTTTTTTTCCAAATACGATCCAAAACGACCAACTAAACATTCTGCTGCAATTCTAGACACAATTAGCCAAGAAACGTGGGCTCCCAGTGGGCCCGGTTTTTGGCCAAAGAGCTTAAGGACAGAGGAGAGGTACAGACTGAAGGTGCATATTTTGATGGTACTGATTGTCTTTTTATTCTGTAAATACTTTATTTATGATTTTATTTTTTATTTTGACCTTAACAGCTGAAACCACTGCAGTATGAAGAGAGCCGCTGCGACGGCTACAACAGGATGATTGTGTGTGATGCGTGTCACTTTCACAGTGTTGATGTGTAAATGTGTGTGTCGACAAGTTTTTTTCGTTTTTTTTTTAAACCCACAATAAATTGAACAAAATCGATTGCCTTGTGATACTTTATCCCGCTGATCTGACACTTTGGCAGCTTTGTTATCATGCAGTCAGTTGACTTTCCCCTTGAAATGACCTGAATAGTGCAAAGCAAACCGACTGCTGCACCCTCCGTTGTGGGCTACATGAGTTAAAGCGTGGGAGATTAAGCTGCCATTTCATAATCACTGGGGAGGAAAACACAATGTGGGCAGCAAACCAGGCTTGTTACAGCTTGGACGGTTGAGACTTGAGGGAGTCCCAGTTTAGGAGGGGACATTTTTTTGCTTCTTTCTGATGAAGACAAAAAGTTGCTGAAAGATACTTCAAAAATCCAACAAATGCATCTGGTGGCAGTCATTATTAGCTTGGCAGTGTAACGCACAACAGCATTAATAACACCATAAAATCAAATTGGTATTATCCACCTGTCAAAGAGAAAAACATTTCTTTGGATAAAGACAAGAAAGAATGACTGATTCTATAGTTCCTGGTGACTCGTCAGCCTGTTGTTCACAGGTCATCGTGCATAAAGACATTCACCTGCCCCTAGATGAGCTGACAAATGAAGCAGCTACATCTGAGAATAGGATTCTCTCAAATCATTGCATCTAACATAAACTTATTATAAGGGCTACACTTTGTGGCAGCCATTAGCTTTTCAATTTTAACTGCATTTTTTTTTTTCAAACCAAAGGGCCATAAACACACACAAAAAAAATCAAATGAGCAAAAACAAAAGAATTTATTTCAATGTGTCTAACACACAAACATCAACATGTATATCAGTGAAGCTGTCCCCTGAAAGAAATAAACTAAACTTAGACATCTTAAACATATGGAGGCAACAGTGACCTTACATGGACACATCTTCTGTCTTGAACCTTTATACAATATAATAACAATCCCCTGTGACTCGACAGACAGTGCATTGGCTCCGGTGCAGCAGCTGCTTTAGATAATAATCTTATAATAGCACAATGGAAGACAAATAGACAAATAAGGACACTGTATGTTCTTTCCATTAACTCTGCACTAAAGAGCTTTGCAGTTTAAATATCAGTACAATAAATACTAACATTGCTCATGCACCCTTAATCAACCGAGTCCATTAAGTGCAACAATCTAATGGAAGCGCAACATGAGTCTTTATTTTTTAATTTAATGTTTGACTTAGACTCCAAGTGTCTGAAGAATGCTGTGATATGACTGTGTAATGTCATGTAAGACTGACCTGGTTTAGTTTGAGTTATATTTACATGTGGTTTAAAGTTGACAGGTATCTGACACTGTAACTTTTTTTTTTTAACCACATACCATTATTAAAATAACACTGCATAGTTGTAGATTTGTTTATATAATTATTATTATTGATCAGTGCGTTTCTATATGTATAAGAAGCCTGCCTGCCTGTTGGGTCAAGATGCCCGACGATAAGTGATGCGCAAGTGCTGCATCAGTGGCTGGTTGTCTGTTGCCATGGAAACTGTCTGCTCCAGCTTCCCATCAGGTCGTAGCTGAAACACTCTAGAAATCTGAAAGATGGAGAAGACTAGGTGAGGTCACAGGTACACAGCAACAGAGTTACAAATAGTTTATTGGCTGAAATGAGTCCCAGGGAAAAGGTTTGTTGGTGGTTTCACAGATTTGACTATTTTATGTACAGATCAGGTGATTAATGTTGACAGCAGACAGAGGATCAGTTTTACCTGCTGTACATGAGGCTCCCTGGCGAAAGAGACTCTGGCTAGAGACTGGGTGTGCAGGTTTAGCTGCTGCCCCGTCAGCTCGCCCTCCTCAATCTCTACCAGACCTGCACAAGAAGACACAGCATGACTCAATAAATGGTCTGTACTTATACAGCGCTTTCTGCCTTAGTGCTACTCAAAGCGCTTAACGTGTTTCTTTCTCATTCACACATTCATACACCAATGGTGACAGAGCTGCCATGCAAGGTGCTGCCTGCCATTGGGAGCAACCTCGAGTTCAGTGTCTTGCCCAAGGACACTTCGTCTGTGGCAGGGCGGGGGAATCGAACCACCAACCTTGTGATTGGAGGACAACCCGCTCTACCACCTGAGCCACAGCTGCCCTATCATATACATAATGTTACTGGATTAAAATGACTGATTCATTAATGTGTACATCACTTATGTGGCAGCTCAATCTAATTTTAATGACTTTAAATATTGTTTGGAAGCTTAATCTACAATAAAATAGTATGATGTCTTTGTTATTTTTGTATTTACAATAATCTGAATATGCAAAATGACAAGTGATTAAAGTTTTGAAATAAATGTAGTGGAGTACAAAGTACAACATGTGCCTCCAGAATACATCGGAGTAGTTGTAGAAAGCAGCACGACAAGGAAATGCAAGTACGTTAACATATAAAGGGGTTCACTTTTCCAGAAATTATGCGACTAGCGGGGGCAAGACTATAAAGACACGAGTGCATGTAGTGATGTGAATTGTACCTGAGTTCTGTGCGATGATGAACGCCACTCTGTTAGTCCCTGGCTGCATTCGAATGAAACCACACTCTCTGTGCAGAGGCTTTTTGGACTCTGCGTGAAACGCATTGAACCTGTCAAACGCAGCATCAGTGAGAAATCAGCAGCTGAACTTTGGCGACAGAGTTTCTGAACAACAGGAAGGAACAGGACTAATTTACATTGCAGTAATTTAACATTGCAACTCATTAGCAGCTGTATTATTAGAATAGTTTGTCATTTGCTGTTGAACTCTGCTGTGTCTTGTTTTTCTATACCTTTGAACTCAAACATCCTTAATGAGGTTGTCCTCTGATCTTTCCTACTCCAGCTGTCACACAGATAAACCACTTGAGATACACTAATGAAATATTTCTGTTTCTAATAATTATTGAAGTTTAATTTTTTCACTGACAACCTACATGAAGTTGATGACCGGCTGCCCCACATGGCTGAAGTGCAGCGTCTCTGTGTAGCGGAAGGGTTTAATGGTGGGAAAGCAGCCCTCCCCGGGTTCATCGGACTCCCAGGCACCCAGCAGCCAGTCGAGAGGCAGGAGGCCCGGGTTCAGCTCCACTGCTGGTAAAACACACAATGTTTAGGCTGCATGAAATTAATTTTTCATACGAGATGGTTATGTGTGTGCCACAAACTAAATTCACAATTACTGGTACAAACAAATTGATCTTGAATCATGTAACAGAAGAACTTGTGAGTCACCAGATGATACAGGCAACTATCCACTAAATATTCTGTAAAGCAGTTGGTGCCACATTGTAAACACATAAATATAGACTATTATTACTGAATATTTCCTCACGATTAAGTGACTTTCTCTTCGCTGAAACAATGACAGCAACAAAAGATATGGTGAACTGAGTCATGGGAAGATCTTAAATCAAAAGTGACAATATCACTAAAAGGAGGTTTTTGTTTTGGTAGATTTGACATTACTTCAAAACACAGTAATAAATAAAAATGTAGTTTCACTAAGTGATTCTTGTCTCTAATATAAACATGCAGGCTGTGTACAAGCTTGTACTGACGAATTAAAGGAAGAGTTGAAATATGCAAACAAATGGTGTATATGCAGATAGAGCTGTACAGCGTTTTGACGATTTTACAATGAATTAAAGAAACCAATCAAATAAAAAAGTTTTAGTCTGAAGTGACTTATTACATTCAGAAGTAAACAAAAAACAAAAAAACAGAGCAAGGTGGTCATATTCACTGGCAGATTGAGCAGACAAACAAAAGATGGAAAAAAGCAAACATCCATCTTGAACTTAAACAAAACGAGTTAGAAGCTTTGCATGAGGGAAAAAAAATCAATAAAGGCTGAGAACCAGCACAGAGAAAAAGTTGTGATGTGAGAATTGGTAGGAAGCAGGAAAAAGGAAGCAAGAGTGACTGAATTAAAAAAAAAAAAAAAAAAGAGTGACTCTGATTTTAAATAGAAAAAAAAAAAAAAAAAAAAAAGTGACTGATTTTAAATAGAAATTGCGATTTGAAACAGTGCATTTAGCAAAGGCCGCAATTAAATTATGCAACATGCCTGACCCACGATTTACTCGGCTGTTAATGGTTTCACACCATCCTCTTTGTGTGACAGTCACACTTTTGATTCTAACTCATGTGGTAATGTGCTGTCACATTCAAAATCTATTACACAGGAAACACTGAACTGATACTTGACTTTAAAAAAAAAAAAAAAAAAAGGATATTGTTCAGAATCGCTCAGTTTTACTGACTAGATTACTACTACAGACAGTATATGCGGTTTACAATTAGAAATAGGACAAAGCAATCTAAAACACACACTTCAAATTATAGGGACGCATCCAAACAATCTCTAGGAGAATTGTGCAAGATGCAGTAGAACGTGTTAACTGCAGGAAATAGCCATCCATTATCTATACACCCCTTAATCCTCACTAGGGTTACGGGGGTGCTACAGTCTATCCCAGCTGAATCAGGGTGAAGACAGGGGACACCTGGACAGGTCACCAGTTATCACAGGGCTACACTTAGAGACCAAGCACACTCACATTCACACCTATGGACAATTTAGAATCACCAATTAACCTCAACATGTTTTAGGACTGTGGGAGGAAGCCAGAGAACCCGGAGAGAACCCACGCTGCATGGGGGAACATGCAAACTCCACTGGGACGCGAACCAGCGACCTTCTTGCTGCGAGGCAACGGTGCTAAGCCAGTTGCTCACAAAAAACTTCAGCTGGTGACAAATTCTCAACCAGTGCGTTCGTCCACCTCTCATCTGGTGTGGCTTTAAAGGGCAATGACTGGTGCAACCAGAACACAGACACTCATTTGACCAGTGACGATAAAATGCCATCTTAAAATGCAGCTTCATTTAAAGGTGAAAGGTGAGAACAAGCTGGATGTGGACATTGCAATCAGGAACATAGCCGGACACCTGTAAAGTCCAAAACTCCATTATTTGTCATCTATTAGTTCAGACAGCTGTGGATGATAATGTTGTTCTGTCCCCCAATATCTCCACCGACTTCGCCAAAGCCTTCAGGAAGAGTGGGAAAACATTTCACAAGCACCATCCTTTTCAATATCTTGTCTATAAATGCCATCATTGTCCAGTGCAATATTCCTGAGTCATACATCTGCCTACTTTTTTTTGTATATTTATCTGTTTCTTGTTATTCATCTTACATTTTAATACATATGTTGTTTTATGTTAGGCACCATTTCTTGGCATCCACTCGGACACTTTGCATTTTGTACTTTGTATTCCTATTTAACTACTAACCTTTCTGTAATTGTGTATATATCTTTAACCTTTCTTTATTGCACTGATAAAACAATTTCCTTTGAGATGAATGAAGTTAATCTGATCTTTTATCAACAACCTTGTTAACTATGTGTCGTAAATGTGTGTCTCATGACTGACTTGTGATGTCTAGTTTATGATCTAATTCTGCCAACATCTGCCCGTTATCATTTCCAAGATTGTGGTTCTTCTTGACATAGATTCTGTTGTAGAGCTGCTTTGTGATGGGACACTTAAAAAGAATGGATTGCATTCAATAAACGAATACATGCTGCCTTCATATCATAGATGGCGTAAATTAGGACCAGTCAGAGGATGCTTGGCCTGCTAATCTGACACAGAGGACACTGCAGGTGTTAATGAGCTCCAGAAGATGGCACTGATTCAGCCTGAAGATGACAACTGCAGGTGAACCTCGAAGAAGAAGACTTAGCAGAAGACAGTCTCAGTAGCTGTGGCGGTGGTGTTAAGATCACAAAGTGGTAGAAAACCAGAGGAAGATGCAAACCACAGAGAAAGGTGACTGATTTATGCACTCATATGTAAAACCGAACCCTAACAAAACGCAGTTATCGCGGCTGTTTGTGTACGAGGCTAAAGCTAAGCTAGCTTAACATTTAAAAGCTTTAAAACGTTACATTAAAGGTTCGTCGTCTAAAATGAACCAACTATCGGCTTCAGTGGAGGGTGTAAAGGGCTGTAGACGGACTCAAGCGCACATTTTGCACTTTGCTAATTTTCTGTAAGTAGTTAAAATGCCACAAGATCGTTTATAGGTAACATTACGAAAGGTCAAGTGAGTTGAAGATGAAGCTAATGACAGGTCACAGCTGGGGGGAAAAAAAAAGAATCAAAGAAAAGCTGAAATATTGTCATAACATTTGTTCCCCATTTAAAAGTCAACATTTAACCTACCGGTGTGATTCACAGGACACGCCATTAGTACAGCAAATTGCAGTCGGGTCTGTGTTAATGCGTGAAATTGAGCAGAAGTGTCCAATTAAAGTCACAAAGTCAACGGCGCTGCGACAGTGACGCAGTTTAATAGACGGACTGATCACCGCGGGGCATCATGGGAAATGTAGTTCATACTCGCGCGCATGCACATTTAAACCCCCCATTATCTTTGGTGTCAATTAGACCCCATTCAATGTTTAACATCTCTAAATAAGTCATTGAAATAATTATTTCAGTTTTATTTAAAGGGCTTTTTACACAAAAACTTGGGTAGCAATTGTAATTCTGATATTTTCTGGAGGTTTAAATTGCTGGGGTCAAATTGAACCCAAGGATAAACGATGTCAGTAAGATTGCCAGAGAACAATCAACAAAGGTTAGAGAATTATACACAATTACAAAGAGATTAGTAGTTAAATTTGTATAATAACCTTTAAATAATGCCAGTGCAGATAACATTTATTGACTTTTATAGTATTATTTTTTTTTACTATTACCACACATTGAGGCAGGAGAGGTTTGATAAAATAAACTTTATTGACATCTTCGAGGCCATGCGACCACATCTGCTTCTTTAATTCTGCACTTATACGAGACAGATACACAGCCCGTGTTCTAAAATCTCTGCAGTCAATGACACAAAGTGAATCCTCAAAGGTACGCACTGTTCCAGCTGTCCTGCATGTGGTGACACTGGATGTTCCTTTTTTTTAAATTCCCTAATGAATGAGCACAGGGTCAGTGGTGTGGGAATATGGGCTCTTAAGCCTTGCTCTTTTTGCAGTTCTTGAGAGCGTCTGCCAGGGCGTGCAGCGCCAAGTCAGCGTTCCTCTTCTCACAGTTGTATCCCATCAGTCCGATCCTCATCACCTAATTAGAAGAGAGGTGGAAAGTACAGTATAAGAATGCAGTCGCTGCTGACTCAGCAGGATGATTCAGAAAGCTGTTCAGACACCAAACTGATGACGTTGCTTGCTATAACTGCTGTAGTTAAAGCTGGCGAACAGTTCAGTCTGGATGTTTGATCAGTCGTGACTCAATCTCAGGCACCTCCCATTCTGTCACTTTTTTTTTTTTCAATGTGTCAGCCATTGCTGAGACTGAAAATCACATGTAAACCATCTACTGCAGGGGTCTCGAACTCCGGTCCTCGAGGTCCGCAATCCTGCATGTTTTAGATGTTTCCTTCTTCCAACACACCTGATTCAAATGATCAGCTCATCATCAAGCTCTGCAGAAGCCTGATAACGATCCTGATCATGTGAATCAGGTGTGTTGGAAGAAGGACACATCTAAAACTTGCAGGATTGCGGCCCTCGAGGACCGGAGTTCGAGACCCCTGATCTACCATAAATGCAGTCTGATGCTTACGGGGGCAATGTTGAGGCATTAATGTGTCCACTGTACAGGGATGATAAATCAGCATCGACTCACCATGCCGATGGAAGGGCCCAGTCCTCCCGTCATCTCAATCTGGTGGTGTTTCATCATGTAGGCCAGCATCTCTCTCCAGTCGTAGCCTTCAGGGATGGCAATGGTGGTGACTGAGGGAAGCCTCAAGTCCTGCAGGACAAGTGGCAAAAAACGACTGTGGTCACAACAAGGCAACACAAGTGAGGAAGGATGAAACCCTGGTGAGTTTTAGTGCAATAAAAACGCTGTCACATCTAAAGGATGCCATGCATAGTATAGACTCTGATATTTTTTAATTTGTTTTGTTCCTTGCAAACAGCTTCTTTATTGCCCTTCTCCATAAAGTCTGCTATGATTTTGTTGTATATCCGTCTCACTCTTTCAGGGACGAAGAGCTTGAGGCCCAGATCCTCCAGTCCTCTGTACAGGTAGGCTGCCACCTCCTTGTGTTTCCTCCAGGACTCCTCCAGCCCCTAGAGGGAGACAAAGATTGATTAAGTTCAGAGAAAATTAGCCCAAAATCTTTGAGAGGCTTGTTCTCTTCAGAACTGTAGCTGCCAATAATTACCAGGTGGCAAAAGAGGATAACAGGAGCGCTTTGAGACTAAAACTAATTATCACTCTGGACTTTGAGAGGCAAGAGTGAATGGCTTCGTTAAATCTGAAGATTCAGGAGTACACTGCACATCAAATCTGGGCGTATAAGAGAGGTTAGTTCCTTGATGGCATAAAAAATAATTTATGCTTTAATTGCAGCAGATGGTGGGAACATACTCATTAATTTTTATGGGTTTTTTTTTTTAAATGCATCAGCTCCAAAACAAGGATCATATGAATAACATGATGAAACATTTGCCAAAATGATTGCAGGGGGAATTTATCTTAAAAGACAATGAATTGTAGAAATTCCTTTTCAGCAAAATTACTTAAAATAAATAAATAAATAAATAAATAAAAAAGTGGTGGAATGTCTCTTTACCCTCTCAGCCAGAATCGCCAGACTCTCTCTCAGGGCAAAGAATCCAGACACTGGACCAGTGTGATGATATCTAAAACAAAAAGCCATTATGATTAAAACCTATCATATACATTCACTCTATTATCTGTATATCAAACACATGTGTTATTGTGCCTTTTCAATACAATAGCATTAAAAATTTCAACCTTATTACCTTCATTATTTTTTTTTTTAAACTAAGGAAAGTTGCTTTTTGTGTCATTTTAACAGTTTGAACAGCTCCTAAGCAGTTGTCTGCCGTGGACTTACACTCTGGCTGGTTGGCCGTCACAACCCCAGTAGTTGGACAGATGTGTCATATCGAAGAGGTAGGATACTGGCTTTGTTTTCCTGTTAAACATCTTGTGACTGTGTGGGAGAGATTGTGGGACTTCAGTTGTGACAATTTAGGACACATATTTGGGAACACTCGTGCAGAAACCCTGCTGCTTACCATGCTCTGTCATTAAAAGAGATGGGTGCTGTGCCAGGAGGTGCATTCAGTGCTTTCTGAGAACCAGTGTAGAGGATGTCAATATCTGCGGACAGAGTGGGAGACAAATCAAATCACATGCAGGCACTAACAGTGGTAGCATGCACAGGAAGGTAATCTCTCATCATTGCCTTACTTTGCTTGTCCATAAAAATTGGTGCAGCTCCAAGTGAAGCGACTGTGTCGACCAGGAAGAGGCAGTTGTGTCTGCACAGGATATGACAGTGAGAAATACGGCATTATATTGTGTTACTATGTGTATTGGTTACTCTGATACTCTGTTTGAGATGTGGTGGGAGGCTCACTGTCTGCAGATGTCTCCAATGCCATCTATTGGGTGACAGAGGCCAGCAGAGGACTCTCCATGTGTGAGGAAAAACAAGACCGGCTTGTGTTTTTGCATGGCCTACATGTGCCAAAAAAGAAGAAAAAAAAACAAGTTTAATTACACGTTTTCTTCTTATTGGCAGTGTAGCTGAGACAGACTAGTGGCTGCTTCAGAGACATGGTGCCTACCTGTTCAATTTCCTTATTGGTGAAATATCCTCCAGGCGTTTTTACCATTCTGTGAACGTTGGCACCTGCAGATTAATAAACGCAATCATGATTGGCTACTGTTGAACCATTTCACGAATAAACTGATAGATAAATGCACAGAATACAAAGTCAGTCTCATTGTAATGTTGTTATCCTCTTTGGCGAGCAAGTGCGTGCGCAAAACCGTGCGTAACAATTTACCCATTCTCTCAGCAATTTCTGCAACGCGCTCCCCCCAGATGCCGTTAATGGCTACGAGGACGTTCTCTCCGGGCTCCACCGTGTTGAACACCGCACACTCCATGGCGGCGTGCCCGGAGCCGCTCATAGATATAGTCATGTTGTTCTCTGTCTGAAAGGCGTACTGGATCCCTTTCTTGATGTCATTCATAATCTGTGACACACAGTTAAAAAGTGAAACAGATATTAGTTTAATTTGCCAGTTATGGTCACTAATAAGGCTGAGGTTTAAGTGAGTTCACCTTCGCTTGTGCGTAATTACGCACAAACTTTTGAACTTCTGTTAGTTTCTCTGCCAGCAGGATTATGCAAAAACTGCCAAGTCGATTTTAATGACAACTGGAGCATTAGTGGTAGAACACAGGAAAAGGAAGAATCTTTTTTTGTGAATCGGGTTTGGATGTTTATATTACATAGAAGAATAGACCAGTGGTCTTGGCGGATGTCTGAGTGCACTTCTAGTCATTATTAAGTCAGATTAAAAGGACACTATTGAATTCTAAGCATGAATAATTTACACAACAAACTTTGAGTTGTTGAATCTATAAAAAACGAGTAGTGGCTGGAAATTATTCAGACAACTTTACACAAAGTTAAGATGCAATACTTGGCTACTAACAGTAACACATTCGTATTCAACGTTTTCCGTCAGAATATACCCAAGACACAGAATGCTCCTGTAACTCCAGAGTTCATTTGGCCAACTTGTGTCAAATTTGATTGTTCTTATAAAGTCACTTCAATGTGTAATGTAACTCGTTCTATTTGACTCTGAACTAAGTATTTACCTCATACATTTCTGGGTGCAGGTGACCAATAATCGGCCTGCCCCCTGCAGCTAAGATACGTGGCGGAACGTTTGAGGGTCCTGGTCCAAACAGGTAACGAAGAGGCGCTTCTAGCGGCCGGAGCATGCATGCTGGCGGCGGGATGGTGACGGAGGACATGGAGCGGTCCAGGCGCTGCATCAGTGGCGCGCTCCTGGCGGCCAGCGGACTGTCGAGGGCCGCTGCTGCCTGCTGGGCGAGCAGCGCGCTCCGGCTGAACAAGGCCCGCTGCATCTCGGCTGGTGTCCTGTTCCTGAGAAGCTGCACCGAGCGAGGTCTCCTCTGACAGAGAGACTGAGCCTGACTGTGAGTTTGGGTGAAGATTTTAAACAAACAGGTCTTTGACCTGGTGGCCACAGGGCGGTGTGCGTCACTTGACTCACAGGGCTGCAACAAGGTGCACAGCAGCGTATGACAACGGTACGGGAAAAGACAAATTTGGTTATTTAGACTCTAATTTATATTTTTGATCAACTACTGCAGATAGCACTTATGTTTCTGAACTGTTTGGCCTTTTAAAATATTCATAGCTTTGGACATGCCTTTCTCAAGGCCCCTTCCCAGGTTGGAAGAACTTTGTGTGGAACTTGAAAATCAACATTTGTATAAAAATAATGAGTGGGTCAGTAATTTATTGTCGGAACAGTACAGTGTCTGTATGCCAAAAAGCTCAGGTCAGCACAAATTCTTGAATGTTTTTCAAGCTAATATTTAAATTGAAGAGATGTCTGTTTCCCTCCCTGTTGTAAGGCCTTGTCCTCACCGTGCCCACTGTCCTGACATGACATATTGTGTTGTGCAAGATAAATAAAGTTCATTTGAATTGATCTCCACTGAGATGAACTGCAGTGAACTTATTTGAACTGATTAGAACAACTTGAATATGCATGCTGGTGCTTTTGTCATAGATTAATCCACCAGGATGGATTTCAGTGACTGTTTTCTGAAGATCTGCAGCAACTGACTGTTGAACTCAATGGAAAAGTGAGGTCCTGCGCTTGGCAGCTTGGAACCGGTTGAGGTTAGTTTGCAGGTGGTTTGTTGATTTTGTCTGATCCTATAGTCACAGCAGCATTCGGGTAGTAAAGAGGAGTCTCCTCTCAGAGAGCCAATCTGCTCTCAGAGGAAGAACGGGGGCAGGCAAATACACAGCCACACACACCACGAGAACACACTCCAGGGAACAGCTCGGTTTTATTATGGAGTGTGTGTTAGCAGTGACGCACTGTCATGTTGGGTAATTCTGTGATAAGACAGACAACAACATGAACAGTATTACACATTTTTGTATTCTTATTTTGCAAGCTTTTCATGCAAAAAATGTACCTGTCCTGAGATGACGCTGCTTTTCTTTTTGACAGCAAACTATCAGTGTCATTTCGTTTGTCAATTCTTGTTATGTAGGAAACATGGTTAAATATTGGACGAACCCACTGTAATGGTGTTTTTAAAGATGTTAAAAATTGAACAGGGTCAACTTGTGCTCCAAACTTCAAACCACTAACGGAAAAACACCTAAAAAATACAAAAAACTGATGTTCAGGATATGTCTTGATCAACATGTTTTCTGTTATTATATAGATATTGTTGATTAGAAATCTTCTTTCAGTCTGTAAGCATAGTTTTCTTGTCAGTACTTCTATAGAATACTGTACGTTTACACGGTTATGATAGGACTCGGGAGGACGTGCTGCTCTCTGGCTACGGCTTGGTAAATAATTACACCGCTGATAAATAAGTGGGACTTGGTTTCCCCCTCGCACTGGCCTTTGCCCTGAACTTAGTACTCAAAATGTACCCAAACAGAGCAGGAGGAGGAGCAGGGGACAGAAAGAGAGAGTGTGTGCAATGAAGCTGTCAATCATGGTGCTGTAGAAAAGCAGTTTACCCTTTAACCAGCCTCATCCGAGCTTAAATAGAATTTTTAAGCTGTTGTCTTACATTTAGTGCTCGTTTGTGTCTCTACAGCTGCTTCAGACATGAGCGCTCTGTCTGCAGGAAGATGTTGGATCGTGATGACACTTGTCAGAAGAAAAACATCCATGTTGTTGGGTTTAAAAATTGAACCCATTTAGTAAATGTTTGTTTTGAAATTATATGACAGTACAGCACATGGACAGAGTATACACCAGAACTGCAGAACAACAGCATCAGCCTGTGATATTTTATATTTTATGAAGCAGGATGGGTTGAACTACTGAAACACTGAGAACAGTCACCTGCCAAATGTTCACTGTCTCCCTCATTTGTTGTTCTGCCACACAGTACTCTATAAAAACAGAGACTAACCTCAGATCTCAGAAACAAAGTGCTGCTTCAGATACCTGCTAGAAACATTTAATGTTGGAAATTTAACCCAATGTAACCCCTGTGTGTTGTGAGTTTGGCCAAAATATGGTGTAAATTCACCATAATTCTACATTGAGCTCCTTGTAGCACACTGTAAACATAAACTGAGACTTGCCTGTAAAAGAATCATGAAAATACTGTGAAATTCTGACAGCAAGGCCTCAAAAAATACTTTAAAACAGTACATTAAAAAAAAATGTTAAAGATCAGTTATTATCTGTGCCCCAAATACATGCATACACCAGTTTTTTTTTAAATTAATTTGCTAATTTCTTCATTGTAAATGTAACAAAAAATAAACATAAAAACACCCTTAAATGACATAAATGGCAAATAATAGAAGCTCACAGATTGTCACCTGAGGAATACCAAAAAATAAAATAAATTAATACAGTAAATATATAAAAATGTGTATTAAAATTAGAAAACAATTTAACCTGATAAAGTCTAGTTAGTGTGTAAGTGGTGGTAAGATTTGGAGAAGTCAGTTTTGAATCACAAATTAATTGTGGACATGATTGTTTTGGCCTCTTGTTAAGGTTTAAATGGTAAATGAATATACATATATATTTTAGCAGTTTTTCTAGTTATTATCTGCATTTTTTAAAGAGCAAGGAAAATCTTTAAATTGATTGTAAATTATTCAAAAATTTACAGCTTGATTTTTATTGTTTTTTTTTTTGTTGTTGTTTTTTTTTACAGTAGATGTCAACACATCCCTCCTCTGTCGGACAGGGTCATGAGATTAGCCGATAGTGTAAGACATTTATGTGTTTCTTTAGTTTTTGGCAAACTCCTCAACAGATTCCCTCTTGTTTTGCTCAAGTTCTGTAGTTCTTTTAACTGACTATACAGTAAAAATAATAATTTCAAAAAATGTAATTTTTCAGTTTTATTTTACGTATTTTGTTTTTGGTATTTTTTTTAAATACAAGAAAATATCAATAAAATTCTGTCAGTGTGGATGTCTAATATTAAACACCATTTCCACATTTAACAAAAAAAACATACAATTTCCATTTTTTTTAGACACATTGAAATTTACACTGAAAGACGTTAGCGTGATGTCACAAATATTTAATCTATATTCAACAGCTGAAACTGTTAAAGTCAAGTTTAATACTGTAAATGATATTTCTAAGTATTTTTCAAAAGTTAAGCGAATTAACGACAATATTGGTTTCTGTAATGTTTGTATTTTGAAATTACAGTTAACAATAAAGTTTTCACCCCAAAACTATTATACAGTACATTATAGATTACATGTATTGTTATTATATTATAGGTATAATTTCACGGTTTCTTCACCTGTAAATATCTTTAATAGAAAAAAGCCCAAAAGTACAAACAACGTCATATAAAATTAAAGCTACAAACTGTTTTCTGCTTATGTAAAATGACTGTAAGATGGGGATTTTATCGGCTTTGGTGCTGGAATGTTACAGTGTGTGAGTGTTTTCTTCCTTTCCAATTTTATTATTTTATATTTTGGATTGTATCAGTCCAGCTTTTGCCTTTATGTCTTTCCTCCTGTTAGCTCTCCATATTAGTCTCTAAGCTCCATCCTCTCCTCCTCCTCCTCCTCCTGCTGCTGGTGCTGCATCGCTCTGCCTCATGGCTGCTGCTGCTGATGCTGATGCTGCTGATGATGCTGGTGCTGACGTCATCACCGCCTCCCAGCATCCCTGGCACATCTGCGCCGCCATTTTCCGCCACATTCAGACCGACGGACTGACGGACGGACGGATTGACGGCGGGGCAGCTGGAGCATCCCGCACCCATCCCTCCTGTTTATCGGCTCCTCGCTCCTCCCTCCTCCCTCGTCTTCCACTCCGCTCTATCTGACGCACCGCCGCGTTCAGCACTCAGCCCACTGAAGCTGAAGCTGACTCCCTCCCTCCTCCCTCTCTCTCTCTCTCTCTCTCTCTCTCTCGCTCCCCCGGCGGATTCTCCATGTATGGATGCGCAAAGGGAAATGATGCTGTAGGTTAACCAAAGACAGAGAGAAAGACCCCCATCCAAAAAAAATAACACAGATTGTTGAGGAGATTGCAGAAGGACGCACCGGAGGATCCTGGAGCTGCTTTGAATGGGCAGGGGATTCTGTGGTTGTCGAGTCTGAGGTAAGGTTTCTCCTGACATGTTTTTCACGGCACCAGCATCGGCTCTGACTGGTGTCACGCCTTGGTGAGGACAGCCTGCGTGCCTGCGTGCCTGTGTGTGTTTGTGTGAGTGTGTCGGTGGTTTGGATGGAGGCCTTTGTACATGGAAGAGACGCTGCGTCAGGGTGTTTGCTGCTTCATTCCGCCGCTGTCAACAATTAGTCTCTGAAATATTGGGATTGAAAGAAACGGAATCAGCCAGCAAAACGCATGAGCTCCTAAAAGGTGCAAATGTCATTTAGGCTGCTGGGGATGCGCGCTGACCTCCTTTCTGACGCAGTGGTGGATGGTTTTGGTGTCGGAGCTGTGTGTGTTTACGCGGCCTGTCTTTGAGGTGCGGCAGGCAGAGCAAGATGGAGGAGGCAATATTTACATGGCTTGTGAACAATCGCAGCCTTTACTGTACATGTCTTGTCAGATGTTCAGAGAATCCATCCGTTTCCTGCGTTAATCGTGCGCAAATGATGGTTTGTTGTGTAGATGCGAGGCAGGATATGTGTTTTTTCATCGACCGAGGCTGACAAGATGGATGTGCGCCGCGCTGTCCTCAAGCAAATACACCTTTAACAATCACTCAGATGTATTTGTTCATTAACAGAGGAGATAGAGGAAAGCCAATATTGTTGATTTAAAACAGAACACAGTAGGAGGTAATTATTGGGGAGACACAGGAGGAAAAACGCCTCAGCTCCGTCCAGACGTTTTTATGATTTCCTTTGGTGTGAGGCAGTGAGCAGATACAGTTTCATCACAAGGCCTTGAGCCATGATGGGGATGCTGCCCGGAGAATAAGCAGCCATTTTACTGGAGAATAGCAGGGATGCTGATGATCTTCTTGCCAAATGATGGCCCAGGCATTTAGTCAGCGTGTGCGTGTCTGACTGAAGACCAACTGGCTGTGATTCAAGACCTAATAATGGAGGTTTTGTTTGTCTTTGCTGTTTGTGGCTAACAAGCTTCTATCCTCACTGTTCATTTGAAAAACAAGCCATCAACTCCACACATGCACATATGTACAGGCATTCAGCTATATTGTGTGATATCGAGGTGTATGTTGCTTCACCTTGGTTTTCATATCTGCTATTCCTTCTCATATATTTTTTTTCTTCCATCATCTACCTGTGCAGGTGTGCGTCTGTAGCCACACGGATCTCCAGCTCTTTCGCTCGCTCACACACCCACCTGCAGCATGGCTGGGGCCTCGGTGAAGGTGGCGGTGAGGGTCCGACCCTTCAACTCCAGGGAGATCGGGAAGGAGAGCAAGTGCATCATTCAGATGTCAGGAAACACCACGAGTGAGTGTTCTTGTCAGGTTGACCGGAGTTCACTGTTGTTTGAGATGTTGAAAGTTGAATCAGTGTGTGGCCCAGAACACGTCCACCTCCATGCATTGATTTGTGACTGGATTGGGGACTACGGTTGTTAGGCAGAAGCTTTCCTCACTGAAATTGTTATCAAGATATTCTTCTTCTAATTCAGTTAAAGCCTTCATGTGAAGAACTCTTCTCCACTCACGTTTTTGTGCCTGTTAGGTCAGTCTGTGTCATTTCAGGTAACAGTGCTGCAGCTCTGGCTCAGAATTTGTTCAATTTTTGCAAGTTCTGTAAAATATTTTGGCTGAATTTAGAGAATTTCACATGTTTTCAGATCTGGGATTGATAACTTGGAAGCCATTTTAAGAGTTCAACATCTCCGGACATAAAACTCCCAAAGCTGTGACATTTGGTGAAGACACTGACGAAATTAGTCTGCAGCAGATCCTCATGATTGAATAGCTTCAGTAAAGGCTAAAGTTTTATTTATTGGCCCTTGAAAATGGAAAAAAATGCAACATTTTCAAACAAGGGATGCCCCAGAAAGCTCCTGTAGGCCTCTCTACATACAGGTGTATTCATAATTACGACTGAAAATACAGGTGTGGTTGACATTTTACCAACTTGTGAGTCCTCTAACATCTGTAGGATTTGATATGTGGCAAGCAAACAATCCACTTTTTGCTATTTTGACATGAAAAAATGGTGATATGGACTCTTTGGAAGGACCACAAAAACTGTTTTGCACAGGGGTCTGTACATATTGTCATTTTATGAGCAAAGATAGTTGTTTCTGTGTCGTCTTCATGTTGAAATTTAACAGTATATGAGGATTACTGCCTTACCGAATGCTCCCATAGCAGAGGACTTATTCAGACTTAAACACTGAGAATCTACTTTTCAGTGAAGCAGCAACAACTTGATTCCAGCAGTTAAAGTTAAAAAATAGACAGTAGTTGCATATTCATAATATCAGAATTTTAAAATGTGGGATAAGAAGTAGATTCGATAATAAGGATCTTAAGGTTTTTCGTGGATGAAAACATGTGAGACACTAATTATTATTCATAGCAGAGTATGTTTTGACACATGCCTATAGGCAACTAAAAGGGTTGTTGGGTTTAAAGCAAACAAAACAACATCAAAATGATAAAAGATGCTGCAAAACCCCTAAAAAATTCTACACATAAGGATTTTAAAAGTGAATACACATCTGTAGGACATAACAAGAGATATAATACATTTAATAAGCATACATTACACCATGCATACTGGACATACTTAAAAAAAAAACACACAATCCCATCTCCGTTTTATAGTCTTTCTTTGTTTTTAAACTGACTGCACACATGCTCTAACAAACACCATTAATTATCCCCTTCACTGTAAACAGGTCAATGAGGTCAGGCTACATTTCTACGCTGTCAGTTCTTTAATCTACAGTCAATCAACCATAAATAGGCGGTGTCATCAAAACATGCCTCACATGCAGCCAGCTAATCACGACATGCCGATAAGAACGATGAAGCTGAATGAATGAATTTAACTTAGTGAAGTCCACTGAGGTTAAAAATTGGCTTTGTGTCTTCATAGCGATGCGGTGACGCTCCGGTGCTGTTTTGATCGCGTTTCCGTGACCTACATTGAGCTAAGTTTAGCGCTTCACCTCGCTTGTTTGTCTCGGAGGCAGCTTTGGCCCTGCAGCGACAGAGCAGTGGGCAGGGGGAGGCATGCAGCAGAAAACAAAAGACCTCAGTCATGCCTGAAGCCCGTCAGTGTGTGTAGGATGCAGCGACCGTCGCAGAGCCCTCATCATACGAGCTGCACGGACCAGAAAAAAGGCCTCGTTGTTCTGGTCGAGTCCAGACTGATCAGCTGATGCGAGTGTGTGTGGAGGAGAAAGAGGAGCTGTGTCGACCTGTTGTGCCTGTCGGTGTTTTTAATGACCTCATTAAAGCCGGCAGATTCCGACTTTCATTACTTCAATTCTTGAAACTTGACTGGTTTTGAATGTGAGCACTTGCAGGCCGAGTGCACGTTTTAACGGGCTGCTGCTGCTGCTGTATTGAACTTGTCCACAGGGGGTGATAGAGTGGATTCAGCTTTCAGCCAAACCAGCATACTATACATACCCCTCCCCTCTTTAAAAGAAAAGGACAAGAGGTGCATTTAGAACAGCTGCTATTGATCGGAGCTGTAAATCCTCTCTGGTCAGCATGAAATTATTTCAAAGTGAGTGCCTTTTAACCAGTCGGGTGTTAAGTTGTCACAGTTTATGGGGGTGAATGAGCTTTAAATACAGTCCCAACAAATCATACTGTAGAGGTGGCGATAAGAAGTCATGAATACATCGAGCTTTAAAGCAGAGCTTCGAGGTTGGACTGGATTAGTGGTTAAATTCTCTGTTAAATAGGCGCATAAATAATCATAACGACAAGACATAAGACAAATTGACTGACATGATCATGAAAAAAACCCCAAAAAGCATCATTAGGGAGCATTATTACACTCAACATTTAACTCAAGCGTAATTATAGAAGCTCAGTAAAGGTGCAAGAAGAGCCTGTAGGGAAGAGATTCATAGTTGTGATGAATTTACATGTCTTCACAGATCGACGATTAAAATAAAAGAACATGCACGTTGTTGCAGTGACTCAGCTTTAACTGATCTGTTTCTGTTTCAGCAATCCTGAACCCCAAACAGCCGAAAGAGAACAAAAGCTTCAACTTTGACTTTTCTTATTGGTCACATACCACGGTGAGTCTTACAGCTTCTAAGTATTTTTGCTCTTAAACAAATCACCAGTGATCTAACTTTTTTTCGCCTTCAGTGCCCCGTGTTAGAGTTTCATGCAGTCTTTTTTTTTTATTCCCTCTCTGCTCTCTGCAGCCTGAGGACATCAACTATGCGTCCCAGATGCAGGTGTACAAGGACATCGGTGAGGAGATGCTGCTTCACGCCTTCGAAGGCTACAATGTGTGTATATTTGCATACGGCCAGACGGGAGCGGGCAAAAGCTACACCATGATGGGCCGACAGGAGAAGGACCAGCAGGGAATCATTCCTCTGGTAACAATCAAACAACAACTCCTTGTTAATATTTCCACTGACGGAGCAAATAGTTGATATGTTATTGTTAAGAATTCACTTAGATTTGACTTCAGTGCAGCTATTTAATCGATGCGGTTTTGTCTTGGGAGCTGTAAAAATGACACTCGCTGCTTTGTTTCCCAGCTGTGCGAGGACCTTTTCACCAAGATCAACGACAGCAATAATGACAACAGCATGTCTTACTCTGTAGAGGTGAGTGGTGGCAAACTCCAACGTACTTTTTGTAGATGCTGTTTTCACATTTGGCAGACTTTGCTGAGTTAAATAACAGATAAATTAGACAAAACCACACATTTTTTACAGCAGGGCAACTCTACTGTAATTAGCTCCTGCTGTAATCATTTTATCAGCGAGTCAGACACGAGCTCATTAATTTTTAATCTTTTATTGCTTCAGGAGCACTAATGATAACAGATAAACACCTCCATAAAACTCTCTTTATAACTGCTGCTTCCTCTGCCCACAGGTGAGTTACATGGAGATCTACTGTGAGCGTGTGCGTGACCTGCTCAACCCCAAAAACAAAGGCAACCTGCGCGTCAGAGAGCACCCGCTGATGGGACCCTACGTCGAAGACCTGTCCAAACTAGCCGTCACCTCCTACAACGACATCCAGGACCTGATGGATTCTGGAAACAAGGCCAGGTAGCAGCAGTGAGACAGCTGGTTTACTGAACAGAAAGATGAACCGATCAGCCGCTTGACTGCGTTTTGCTCTTTCAGGACCGTGGCCGCCACCAACATGAACGAGACCAGCAGCCGCTCACACGCCGTCTTCAACATCATCTTCACGCAGAAGAAACACGACATGGAGACGGACAACACGTCAGAAAAGGTTCTGACGCTAAACCCGACTCATTGTTAGGCTTTATAGACACCTAGAATATTTACTCTGTGCAGACAAACGGATCAATAATCAGGTTTGCTGTGAGGCTCAAATGCTTTTATGATCTTTTACGACCCGATAGCGTTGCCGTGTGTGGCGCCGCTATCTGATGAATGTGCTGCTGTATTGATTGATTAACGGTTTTGCTGTCAGATCTCCTCCTGGTGTGGTTTCTTTGTGCTAGCTGTGGTGCGTGTTTATGCTTTTTCATAGCAGTTTAAAAAACATTTCATATGATCACCGCAGGTCAGCAAGATCAGTCTGGTGGACTTGGCTGGCAGCGAGAGAGCCGACTCGACCGGAGCCAAAGGAACCAGGCTGAAGGTGATTCAACAATATTTGTGCATCCAGAGGGGGAACATTTTTTTTTATCATAAATGTTTGATAGCAGTGCTTAAAGTCTAAATCATGGATTTTAATTTGTTTGCATTTGCAGGAAGGAGCAAACATCAACAAATCTCTGACCACGCTGGGGAAAGTTATCTCTGCTCTGGCTGAACTGGTATGAGTTTTACATTTAGATTTACACGTGCTATGTGGTTTGTTCAAATCACTAACATTGGTTTTTTCTTTTACCTCGTAGGACTCAGCCCCAAACAAGGTTAGTGCTACCACTATATACGTGCTAATCACAAATTTACAGCAATTTATATACACAGTGGTTTTTTTTGGGTGAGTAGCAAATAAATTGAGACTCTTTTGTGCACAGAACAAGAAAAAGAAGAAGGTGGAGAGTTTTATTCCCTACAGAGATTCAGTTCTGACTTGGCTACTAAGAGAGAACTTAGGTACGCAACCACACACGTACAGAACTTGAAAAAAAAAAATAATTCTGTTCTCAATAATCCATCGTCTGTCTTTCTGTGGTTTAGGAGGAAACTCTCGCACGGCCATGGTGGCCGCCCTCAGCCCTGCAGATATTAACTATGATGAAACTCTCAGTACCCTCCGGTGAGGAAAATGTCATGAAATCTCCTTTTTAAGATCATTAAATCAGACAGAAATGTAGTTTAATAATCATGCCACACTCTGCACCCTCTGCTCAGTAGATGATTGCATTTTGGATTAGTTTCCTGCATAAATTTGCATTTGAAACTGGACCTGGTGTTTTTCAGGAGTGTTGCATCATTAGTGCACCAAATGTGCGCTGACCTTTTTGTACACCAAAGCTTAATTTCTGTAGTGTTTTCTCCTCCAGTGGACCTTATTATCATTCTGGTTAGTGTAATTCAGTATGCACAGGATGAGGAACGATGATGAATGGTGTGTTGTCTTTCTGACCTCGATGCCCTCGCTCCCTCCAGCTATGCTGATCGCGCCAAACAGATCCGCTGCAACGCTGTGATCAATGAGGACCCCAACAACCGGCTGGTGCGCGAGCTGAAAGAGGAGGTGGCTCGTCTCAAAGACCTGCTGTACGCGCAGGGCCTGGGAGACATCATAGAGAGTGAGTGTCGCACCGGGAAAATCAGCTGTTACGCTTAGAAAATACACATATAGAGACACGCTCAGAAAAGCGGCAGATAGAGCTTTGGTGCAGGTTTTCTCTCTCTGCACATGAAGACAGAGGATTAACGTGGGTGTCTCTCACACACAGTCTCTTCTCTCCTCTGTCCTATCAGCGTATCGCTGCACCGGCCCCGTCATCACCGGTTTGAAATGTGTGTATAATTCTAGCAAGCCTGCGCTTTGCAACTAATAGAAATGAATCCCGAGCCGGCCTTCCTCCTCCACCACACCAGAGACCAAACTAACAATCCCAAGAGACTAAATGTGAACCCAGACAACGCATTGGTTCGACAAAAAGCATCCAAAGCAGACACAGATTAATTTGTCACTCAGGAATTCTGCAAAATGGCCTCCTTTTTCTCTTTCCATTTGTTCAGATCTCCATGGTAATACATGTTTCGCTCTGTTTTTTCTTCTTTTTTTTTGAGAGGAGAACACTTTTATAGACGGCTTTGAATGAAAAGCTCGACACTGTGACCACACAGTGACTCTTTGTTTCTGCTCTCCATTATATATTGTAGTTAAAAGGAGAGCAGAAACAGCCAGAGAAGGGTTTGGCTTAAAGCATGCTGTTTGATCCATTTGTTTTTTTTTTGTACGAGATTAGTCACCATGGTAGAGAGGACTGACTGGGAGGACGCCATTTTAGATTGCTTCCTTTGCATCCTGGTTCTCTGTGTGTGGAGTAATTGAAGCTATGAGTCAGGTGCTTCGAGGGCTGCACTGCCAGGAGCCCTGCCGTTTGAACACATCGGTACACGCTTCACAGAAAAAACACCGTATTTGGTCGACATGCACTGTAGTGATGTATCAGTATTTTCTTTTCTTTACTTTCTCATGACATTGCCTGCGAGCTTGTTGATTGTGTTGATGTGTAGTTTAGTAGAAAACAAAACAACTTCTGGTCTTTAGCTTTCAGTCTATTTGACATTTTGTGCTCCATCAGTTTGAGTTGCTCTTTTCTGTCTGCGATGGCTTTGGTTAGCAAAAGGACCTCTGCTGCTTTGATCTGTTATTTGAGCTTTCTCTTCTTTTTTTTTGTTTTGTTTTGTTTTGTACTCCTCCCTGTTGTTTCCCTGTTTTCTTTCCTTTTTAATCCGTGATCCCTGCGTGTTCCTCTCAATCCTTGATGTCTCTCCTTAAACACCTCGCGTCTGCTCCTACCTTCTGTCCCACCATCCCTCCTTCCTTCCTTCTTTCCTTCCTTCCTTGCTCTCTTCCACGCGACGCCTCTCTCTCTGGCAGATCTGTGCGATTACAAGAACTTTGTGAATAATCGCCAGGCTGTCAATCAAAGGGGTGATCTCTCCACAGTGACAAACGCCATGACGGGAATGAGCCCCTCGCCCTCGCTCTCCGCCCTGTCCAGCCGAGCCGGCTCCATCAGCAACCTCCACGACCGCATTTTCAGCCCGGCCAGCGAAGAGGCAATCGAAAGGCTCAAGGTAGGGGAGGACGAAGAGATGAGAAATGTTGTCTGTAATGAAATTGGAGGTTAGATTTGTGCAAAAAGAAAGAAATAAGGTGAGTGGGAATAAAAAAAAAAAGCAGACAGGAAACCATAAAAGTGCGGTGAAAGGGCTCCTTATTAATAAGAGAATGAGCAAATGTAATATTCTGATTCACTTTGGGCTGTTTTTAGACGTCTTTCGTAACTTCTGTCACAAACAGGAAACTGAGAAAATCATCGCAGAGCTCAACGAGACATGGGAGGAGAAGCTCCGTCGTACCGAGGCGATCCGAATGGAGAGGTTTGTCCAAGATGTTTATGCTGTTTCATGTTCTGGTTGTTGTTCAGATGTGAGACCTCTCCTCAGCTCTTATTCATTCTCATGCTGTTATTCTTCTCTTAATGTTTCAGCTGACATTTGCAGCAAATTTAACCTTTTGATAATTTTCGTGGTGATCTGCCTGCATTTAACCCTTTTGAACCCAAATTTTTACTCACTGAGGCTCATCTTCACTGTAATATAAAGTCCTGCACCTCTGTGGAAAAAGCCAAACCATAGATTTAAAAAATAGTTGAATTTATGATTATTTATTTCACAAAAATTGAAAATCAACATGCACTTTTCCCCCTCAAGTGCCAACAAGTGTTGCTGGGGAAAAAAATTAATGAAAAGTGACTCTGTAGACATATTATAGGTATTATACTAGGTAGATTTTTAATTCTTTTTGCTAAAAAAGTTCTTGAATTTTTTTTTTTGTGTACAGATTCCGGTTTGTGCAAACTGCTTATTTATGATGAATTTTTTTGAAATAAGACATACACTGATTTCAGTCAAATACCATCACATCAAGGACGGTCAGAAAATTAAAAATCAGATGATTCTTTCCATTCATAGAGTTTCTTAATCCTATAGATTGTGTAATTTTAAGGATTTTTTGGAAGAGATAACATGCTTTTTAAACCTGCCAGTGGGTTTTGGTGTCTAGAAGGTTTAAGTGATTCATATAATTTTTGATTGAATATTAAATTTTAAAGGATATTCTACACTGCTGGACTGATTTGAAGGTAGCAGAACACTATATTTTTTGCCAGCGTCGCACTGTCAATTGACATAACAATCCACTTATCAGCCGGTCTGTCCACTGGTTCAGTTCAGACGGATGGATTTTCACGATAAATACTGATGACTTTATTGATCCTCGGGCTTCCTGTAGCGCCGCTGTGAGGTTGACATAAATGTTCAGAGCCATGAAAACTGACGTACATACTCATGTCTCATTTAGGAAGAATTGTAATAATGTTTGGTGCTTTGGTTTATAAGTAGAGAAATACCTCAGTTGTGCTTGTGGCAAATGTGGCTTATTAACACACTGATGATTGTTAACATTTTACCTGCTGAACAGCATTAAAACAAGACTAGACAACCTTATAAAACACATTTCATAGAACACACCAGTCTTATAACAGCTGTAGCCTCACTGCTGTTTGAGAAACGTCTCTGACTGTGTGCCTGCTGTCTGTAGGGAGGCCCTGCTGGCTGAGATGGGCGTTGCTATGAGAGAAGATGGAGGCACTGTGGGCGTCTTCTCCCCCAAAAAGGTCACATGCTTCTCCTAGCTGCATCAAACATGTAAAACACCTTTCAGAAAGCCACTTGCAAACACTAAAAGATGATTTCCCTTCCAGACGCCTCATCTGGTGAACCTCAACGAGGACCCCCTGATGTCCGAGTGTCTGCTCTATTACATCAAAGACGGCACCACAAAGTAAAGTTTCTCGCATTTTTAATCCGCCCAGATGCTGGAGCGTTTCTTTGAATTTGCGTAATTTCGATTACCTTATCTTTCCTGCAGGGTGGGCCGTGAAAATGCCAAGACTCGCCAAGACATTGTTCTCAGCGGCCATTTTATCAGAGATGAACACTGCACGTTCAGCAGCACCACCGGCCCTCAGGGAGAAGGTAAAGGATGCAGATGAACATGTAAAGTGACAGTGTGTGGATAGATACTGAAAGTGAAAACCAGCATGTGTTTACTGTTGTAGAGATATCATGATGTGTGTTTTCTCTCTAACAGGATGTGTCATCCTTGAGCCATGTGAGGGAGCAGAGACTTACGTGAACGGGAAGAGAGTGACGTCTCCGATTGTTCTGCGATCTGGTAAGTAGAAGGAAAAAAAAAAGGCGTAAAACAAAGCTACTCTACTTAAAAGAGTAACCATAAAAAATGCATTAAGTGGTCGAGTCTGGAAATTAAAAAAGCCACCGAAGCATTTCAGTCATCTTCATAAACCACAGATGCCATTTAGTGTAAACAACCTGAGACGTTCAGCTTTTTCTTGAATGAGACATCTGAACTTTTCATGCTTTTTAAGGGAACCGCATCATCATGGGCAAGAGCCACGTGTTTCGCTTCAACGACCCGGAGCAGGCCCGTCTGGAGCGAGAGAGGACGCCGTGCGCCGAGACGCCGGTGGAGCCCGTCGACTGGGCCTTCGCTCAGAGGGAGCTGCTGGAGAAGCAAGGCATCGACATGAAGCAGGAGATGGAGCAGAGGTGGGCGTGGACAGACGTTAATTCCTACAGGGGTGGAGATTATGATGCTATCGGTTGTTTCTGAAGGTGTCTTTCGTATTTATTTGAATTGTTGTTGTCTGCACAGTTTAGTGACCTGAATTAAATCTTCCAGGCTTCAGGAGCTCGAGGATCAATACCGCAAAGAAAGAGAAGAAGCCAGTAACTTGCTTGAACAACAGAGACTGGTGAGTGAAAGCTGCATTTAATAACGTCACCTTATTTTTATATTCCTTTCTTTAGTCCTTAGTTTTTTCCTGATTGCTGCACACAGAGAGCTAAGATTCAGCGGAGTCAGAGTCCTTGTTTGTGTGTACTAACGTGACCAATAAAGTTGATTCTGATTCTAATAACACCAAATTAACTGACTGAATTAGTAACACCGACACATTCACACACTCCTGCGTTCTTTCAGGACTATGAGAGCAAACTGGAGGCCCTTCAGAGACAAGTGGACTCTCGGTACCTGGAGTCACCTGAGGAAGAGGAGGAGCCTGAGGAGGAAGGTGAGACTGTCACTTTGTTCTCTTACGGACCTATAAAACAATCATAATGCTTTTGTCTGGTGGAAATTTATTCCCATCCCAACTCTTTTGCCCTCCAGTGCCGTGGACGAAGCGAGAGACCGAGCTGGCGCTGTGGGCTTTCAGAAAGTGGCGTTTCTACCAGTTCACCTCCCTCAGAGATCTGCTGTGGGGCAACGCCATCTTCCTCAAAGAAGCTAATGCTATTAGTGTGGAGCTCAAGAAGAAGGTTAGATGTTATTGGCATCACTTCCTAAACTTTAGGTCTAATTTCTTTATTAATTCTCAGTAAACATAAAACAAACATTCCCTAAACAACACAACATGAGTCTAGTTTGTTCTGTGTGATGTGAAAGTTTAATTGTGGGGCTTCAATCTGCTGTTATAATACTGTCCCTCCATAAAATCAGAACACTTCTCCTGCATTAGTCACAATTAAAAATTTTCACAGAGTGCAAATTTAGCCTCATTTTAATGCAGTGCTGGTGCATGAAGGATCCGCTCCTCAGTCCAGACTGGAAATGCAGAATATAAAGTGTCTGCCAGTGGTTGCTGATCACTGTGAGTTTATTCATTCACATTTGCATCAGTGTGGGTGTCTCGAAAAATCGTTAATTGTCAGAAGATCACAGTGATTTAAGCAGCGAGCTGTTAGGATGCAAACTGGCTTCTCAGTTAGTAAAAGATATGATGACGTTTTAAGATGAACTTCTGCTCCTTCATGTGTCCCCAGTTTTTGATTTTAAGCCTCACTCTAAACTTTATGATGTACTACAATGAGAAGTTAAAACTATTATTTTAATGCTAAATATCGCAGCTATAAAATCCCCCAGTGTTTCCAGAGGCTAATAACTGAATTATATTTTAATAACAGTGGAATGTGATACTGCAGACATGATGGAGGAGAATATAAGCAGCCGTTTCAATCCTCGTATCATCATTAACTTGACAGGTGCAGTTCCAGTTCGTCCTGCTGACAGACACCCTCTACTCCCCTCTACCTCCCGACCTGCTGCCCCCCAGCGTGGCCAAAGAGCGCGAGAGGCGACCTTTCCCTCGAACGATAGTCGCCGTCGAAGTGCAGGATCAGAAGAACGGAGCTACACATTACTGGACTCTGGAGAAACTCAGGTACTGAGAGTTTGTGATTAAAATGTGCCTCGAAGCTCCTCTCACGGTCACGGTTCCTGTTGTTTATCAGTAAGATCATTTCAGCGTCCTTATCATCAAAGCTGATTTGATTAAAAGAACAAGAATCCAAACACAGTTCTCCTGGGTTTTATAAGTGGGTAGTATCAGTTTAATCGCCCGTGTAGCGACATCCAAGTTCTCGTGTCGCTGAGAGACTGAGCCTGGGTCTGTTTGTCTGACGTGCGGTTAAGTAATAATTCACGGAGATGCTTATAAATAAGTTTAGCCTTTTATTAAATGAAAACAGGATCATAACTCATATGAAAAAAAAACTCCAAACCAAAGTAATCAAAATAAAATAGCAATCAAAAATAGTATTATAGCGAAAAAGCGGTCAACAAAAAATACGGCGACCCAGCTCACCCACTCTCCCTCTTCCCCTCACAAAAGCACAGATGAAGTGGTGAATAGGTGAGCTTATACCCATCTACGGGAGCCGCTACCTCCCAAACAAATGTGTCCATCAAAAAGGATCACAATCAAAACAACAATAATCAATGTGCTCTTTATCCTGGCAACAAAAACACAGACTTACTCATGGCTCCTGCAGCCCGTCTTCTCATCTCAGCTGCTAGCTCTGCATCCTTCTTTGTGGCTACACATTCTGGCCTTTACAATAGTTTTCTCCTGTTTTTGGCGCCCCCTGCAGGCAGAGGCTGGATCTGATGAGGGAGATGTACGACCGAGCTGCAGAGCTGCCCAGCAGTGCTGTGGAGGACTGTGACCACGCCTTGACCGGAGGTGACCCCTTCTACGACCGGTTCCCCTGGTTCCGCCTGGTTGGCAGGTCGGTAAACGCCTTCAGTTTGCATCAACCAGAATTAAGTCCTTCTCCTTTATTGCACAATACAACTGGAAAGCCCTCATCCCTCTCACTCTCCTCCCCTCAGGGCTTTTGTGTACCTGAGTAACCTGCTGTATCCGGTGCCGCTGGTGCATCGCGTGGCCATCGTCAGTGAGAAGGGAGAGGTGAAAGGCTTCCTCAGGGTGGCTGTGCAGGCCATCTCAGGTAAACATAAACACGAGGTTTAGCCTTCTCGCTGTCAGAAGCTGCTAAATGTGGCGTTATAGCTTCTCTTTGGAGTTGTCTTGTATTTGGAAATGATTTTAACATTTTGGTGTAACATCATGACTTCTGTTTTGTGTTTGTTTAGCTGATGAGGAGGCTCCTGATTACGGCTCCGGTGTGAGACAGTCGGGCACCGCCAAGATCTCCTTTGAAGACAAACAGTTTGAGAAGGTGCTTAAGACTAGAGACAGCCAATAAAAGTCAGATGTAGATATTGAAAAAAGATGGTTGGAATAAGTTGCAGAATTTTCTTTAATGTTTATAGTGTCAACGAGGCAAAGTCTGATGTTGTTTTGTTTCAGTTCCAGACTGAGTCGTGTCCTAGCGGTCTGTCGCACTCCAACACCTCCCAGGAGGAGCTGAGGATTGTGGAGGGAGAAGGACAGAACTCTGAGATAGGAATCTCTGCAGACGAAGTCAACAACAACACCTGTGAGGGTGAGAGCAGATCTGCTCACACAATTTCCACATATTAGTTCGACCTTTGCAGGACTCGAGAACATGAATAGATTCCACAAGTTGACCGATCCAGTATGAGTGTAAATTTAAAGCTCTGTGTTTCTGCGTCTCCTCCTCCGTCCCATGTAGCCACACAGGAGCCTCCTCACAGCCCGGTGAAGAGTTTAGGTCTGGGCCTGGATCTTCCTCTGGATCTGTCTCCGGAGAAAGCTCTGTCCCACCTGAAGATCGGCAGCACGTTCACCTTCAGAGTCACCGTCTTGCAGGCGTCCAGCATCTCAGCAGAGTACGCCGACATCTTCTGCCAGTTCAAGTGAGTTTAAGCACGTTTTCACCAAAACGTTGTGAGATTATGTGAATGGATTAATGTGTCATCTTACCTTTACTGCCTCTGATTTTTCCCATCTTTGCCAACATTAAGTGCAAAACTGATTCTTCAAATGTGGCTTTACACTATTAACATTCCAAACACCAAACAGTTTCTGAGCTTTTTTTTTTTTGGTCCTGTCACATTTTTACCCACTGTGGATTTATTTTTCACTGTTTCTGGAAACAACACAACCATGACTACAAAGAGAAAGAGATCAAAGTTGTCTTTTGTGCAGTTTGTCAAAGCTGCAATGCCATAAATCATATTTAAAAAAAAAAAAAACAATAAACAAGAGTTGAATTTCTTTATTTATTTTGCAAAATTTGAAAAAATGATGCTACAAAACTAGAAAAGAGTATTTTTTTTTTAAATTTTATTTTGTGCTAAGGATGTTTTTTGGTCAATTGTTAAATGAGACATGTAGAATAAAGTGATATTGAGTAAATATTTTTTGATTTCATGCTTAGATTTGGTTAATTTCCCCAATGAAACAGATGAGTAGTTCACACACGGATGGAAAATCAGTTCACTGTTTGGAATTTTTTTTTTTAGTTTGAGCAGTTAACAGATAATTATATAACATATGTGGTGGTAAGGCAGATGTTTTTGGATTCATGTAATGTGCATGAAATGATTTCCATTTTTCCAGCTTCATTCACCGCCACGACGAAGCTTTCTCCACTGAGCCGCTGAAGAACACCGGCCGAGGACCTCCGCTGGGCTTCTACCACGTACAAAATGTAAGCAGTGGTTCAGTGCTGCTGTTGGCAAATATGGCTTGAAGTTCTTGTTGTAATGTAGAGTATCAACAGGCTGACAAAAACAGCTGTCTGAAGTTTGCGTCTGAGTTTTCACTTCTTCTCTCAGATCACAGTGGAGGTGACCAAGTCCTTCACAGAGTACATCAAGACTCAGCCCATCGTGTTTGAGGTGTTCGGACACTATCAGAAGCAGCCCTTCCCTCCGCTCTGCAAAGATTTAATCAGGTCAGCGAGACGTTCGACCTCTAATTTCCGCCGACTCTTTAATAATTATGATCTGATGCGTCTTTATGCAAATGAAGTTCTCACATAGTTCCACGTTTGGTTTCTTTCAGTCCGCTGAGACCCTCCAGGAGGCAGTTTCCTCGAGTCATGCCGTTATCCAAACCAGGTTAGCAACATTTAATATCAAGCACCATTAAATCATTCATGATGTTAATATCATTTGGTTGTGTAGAAAGACTGGTGTACCAAACCGTAACCTCTCTCAGCTCTTATGTGAAGAATTTGTAATTTATTTAACCTACTAATGAGAATTCATTTATAATAGAAAAATAAGGAATGCAGAACAAAGCTCTTCTCATTTATGTTAAACCGGCTGCTCATTCACTAATCTATCAATTATTTTCTTGATTAACCCTGTTGTGAAGCCTGAACCATGAAATAATTACCAGAAAATTAGATTTTTTCTGAAACTGGAGTATTTATTGAAACTTCTGACAAATTAAAAAATGTTTAGTTAAAAAAAAAATCAATTTGTATTCACAATTCAATAATAATTAATAATAATAATGTAGTAATTTGCATATATGAGCTTTAATTTGTGTCATTTTTTTGCTCCATCTGGCATTGTTGCTGCATGAATTGTGATCCATGGTGGATTATCTGCATGTGTCTGATTGTATACATCAGGTTTTTCATGACAAACAAAATATTGCATTGATCACATAGAGGTCTCAAAACCTCATGAATAAAATGTGAAATGTTTGGCTTTACAGGGTTAGCAGATGATTGTTTCATCTACAAATGAGACCATTTAGAGTTTCATGACGAGTAGTCAGAACTCATGCCCTCAAGTTGGACATAAAAACAGCAACATAAGGTGTTTCTACTTACTTTATGGTTAAAGGATGCTGTGTACCAGCTCCAAGCATAACAGAGACTCCCAACACAAACTCTATGTGAGCACAAAAGCAAAAAAAAAAAAAGGTTTCTTATGTGAAGTTCATCTGGTCATCAACATCTGGTGAAACAAGGATGCTCGGATCAACATCAGCCGGCCATTCAGTTAATAGGGGCACAAAATAGGGAAAAAAGATGCTAATAATAATAATAGTGAAACAATATTCTTGTATAGTCAGACCCCCTCTTCTGTAGGACAGGAGAGTCAAATGTCGTCTGAAATACGGCTTACAGTTAAACTCTAACTCACATCACTGTTTTCGATGATGCCCAGGACTTCGCAGTTCACTTAATGGCCACCAGCATCATTCATAACAGTTTTCTGAATGTCAACACTTCTATTTAACTTGACACCCATGACTCTGTCCTCTCTTTATCCTCCCAGTGCCGGCCACCAAGCTCAGCACTCTGACTCGCTCCACTGCAGGACCTTGTCACGCCAAATACGACCTCATGGTCTTCTTCGAGATCTGCGAGCTGGAAGCTAACGGAGAGTGAGTCCTGTCTGTTTGCATGTGTGTCGCTTACATACCATCACAGTTGTGTTATAAATACTAATCGACTGTTCTCTGTCTCCAGCTACATCCCAGCTGTTGTGGACCACAGAGGAGGGATGCCCTGCCACGGGACGTTCCTCCTGCATCAGGTCCACACATTTCCAACTGAAAGAATAAATATATTAGACGCTATTGTTCCCCTCGATTAAATATCTAAATCAAACTGAACACTTCTCTTTTCTGACTCCACAGGGCATTCAGAGGAGGATCACCGTCACTATTGCTCATGAAACCGGGAACGACATCGAGTGGAAAGAGGTGAAGGAGCTGGTGATCGGTGAGTAACGTCTTTTAGTGTCCAGAAATCTGAAATCAAAAGCCGGCTCCTGCAAAAAAGAACAGATCTCACCGTGACTTGTTTGACGTCAGGTCGCATTCGAAACACGCCGGAGGCCGACGAGACCATCATAGACCCCAACATCCTGTCTCTCAACATCCTGTCGTCTGGATACTTCTGGCCCAAACATGACGACAAGTATGAATTTGGACAGATTTTTGATTCTGTACATGATTTTTTTTTTAGTGTTTTCTCTATTTTTATTTGCTAATTTTATATGTTTCTGGCTTAATTTGCTATTAAACCCACATTGACAGACCAGATGCTTTTATTTAATTTTTTCCACATTGCTTCCACGTGTGTAACGTCGCTTCGAAGCTTTTTTCAGTTTGCACGAATCAGTTTGTTTTGCTGAGTTTAAAACTTTTAACCACTGCAGTTAAAAGTTTCTAATTCGAATCTTTTTTCTCTTTTGTTAATGGCAGCGTCTCGTTGGGAGTTGATCATAGGTATACTGACAATCATTTTGATTTAATCGTTTCAGTTGTTGTTCGTGGTAGCAAAATGTTCATTTGCTGGCAGGATTTTTATGAGATTTTTTTTTTTGGTTCCGTTAATATGAATAAATGCTTTTTTCTCTCTCTCTCTGTAGAACCTTCTACCGGTTCGAGGCAGCGTGGGACAGCTCCATGCACAACTCTCTGCTTCTGAACAGAGTCACTCCGTACGGGGAGAAGATCTACATCACCCTCTCTGCTTATCTGGAGGTAAGAGAAAAGAAATGTAATGATGCGTTTAATGTCAGGAGAGCGGGTGAAAAAACCCCCTCAAAATCAGCCACTTCGTTTGTCTCACATATGTGTAGTTGTAGCTTTATTTTGGGTTTCATTTAAATGTGAAATGTGCAGCCATGTTTGTAGTTCTTTTTTTCAGATTATCCCCATTAGACTTTAACCAAACAGACCGATCATCGTTAAGGATATATTTGGAAAACGATTAATCCGTCTGTAAAAACAAACTGATTCATTCATGTTTCGTATATTTTGTCTAGATGGAGAACTGCACTCAGCCGACGGTTATCACCAAAGACTTCTGCATGGTGTTTTACTCTCGTGACACCAAGCTGCCGGCGTCCCGCTCCATCAGAAACCTCTTCAGCACCGGCTGCCTCCGGCCCTCCGAGAGGTACACGTTTAGGGATTCTCTAAACTGCGATGTCTGAATGCAACGCTGTCTTCCTAAATGTAATACTTTTTTCTTTTTTGTTTAACTTGTTTCTCAAATTCACCTGTAAAATCTTTCTCCTTCTCAGCAACCGCGTAACAGGAGTCTATGAAATGACTCTGTGCCACGTGGCCGACAACGGAAGTCCAGGTGATTTAAAATAGCAAGAAAATCATCCTTGAAAAAAAAAACAAACAAAGATGTTTTTTACTTAAAGCATGGATTGTTTTGTTCCTCTTTCATCAGGCATGCAGCGTCGTCGCAGGCGTGTGCTGGACACCTCGGTGGCGTACGTCCGCGGGGAGGAGAACCTGGCCGGGTGGAGGCCTCGCAGCGACAGCCTCATTCTCGACCACCAGTGGGAGCTGGAGAAGCTCAGCTTACTGCAGGAGGTCAGTGCAGCGGACTGAGGGGGGCTGATAACGGAGATGACACCAAGAAAAACAAAACAGAGAAGGATTAAATTATAGATTCTTGTATTTGGCGTGAGTCTTAGCCTCGTAGAATTAACACATTTTGTTTCAGTTATATTCTGTACATGCTTTTTCTGAGGACAGCAATAACATTGTGACTTCAAGGCACCCAGATCTTGTGAAAACAGATTTAAACAAAGCACTCATGGTATGAAAGGAAAATCTTGCTTATTTTCCAAAATTTAATTTTTGTCTTCAGGTTAATAAAGATTAAAAAAAGGTTAACTTTATTGATCACTGTGCAGAAGCTGTAGTGAGTGGTGCACATTTTATATGGATGTTTTTTTGTACTTGGATTCACCTCTCAGGCTCCATACAGGCTGAATGAATTTATTTGTGAAGATTTTAGGGAAACATGCTGAGAAAGAAAACTGCTACACAATTTCTTCACATTTTTTCTTGACAATTCTAGTAAAAAGAAAACAATTCTGTAGTTAGAGTTAATATTCTTCCAAAAAAAATTTTTTTTCTTACTTTTTCTCATCTCATAATTTATTTACTATATTTCAAAATGATTTCAATGCAACTCTGTTTAGGTTGAATATATCTTTTTATTTTTATTGTTTTCATGTCCTCCTTACTAAATGCAGAAATTACATTTAGTTTACATATTTTACAGGAGTTTCTTGCAGAACAGGAAGGTTTTAACTTGTAAATCAGAAAAAAAATTCCAAAAAAGCAAGCAAGGAAGTGATCCATTCATTCATTTGCATTTGGAATTTTTCCTAAAGTATCAGCGAAGGAGACTTTTTATAGATCAGCTTTGTACGACTAAACATCTTTTCATCTTTGTTTTTGAGACCACGTCCAGTCAAGTTAAATTTGCTCCTGTTTTATTTTTGTTTTTAAGGTGGAGAAGACCAGGCACTACCTGCTGCTGAGGGAGAAGCTGGAGGCGACTCTGCAGGCGGGTCAGGATGCTCTCTACAAGAGCAGCGACATCAGCGACTTTGCAAAGAGTCCCGTCTTCAGCCACAGTCCCGGCGGCAGCCCGGCCCCCGACAGCCCCAACCAGAGGCAGAGGGAGCTGGCTGCTAAGGTGACTGCCGGTCTCCAGAACGTCCCCTCATTCCTACTTTGCTTCTGGTTTTGTTCTGGCTCTTTTGGCGTCGTCTAACAAACGAAACCCACTGCTGTTTTTCCCACTTTCCTCTCTCTAGTGTCTGCGTCTGCTGATGCACACCTTCAACAGGGAGTACAGCCAGGTGAGCAGCAGTGCCAGTGAGAGCAAGGTGAGCCCCAGCTTAGGCCCTCTAACCCGGCCCAATAATGATTCTGAACCTAATGTTTACAGCTTCACTAAATATTTAAGCCCCGCACTCCGCCTCTGCAGTCTGCTGTTGCATCCTTTCATGTTTCTTTCCATTGCTCAGTAGAGATTCTGGTCTTTTTTCTTTCTTTTCACTTTATTTATCCCCCCTAATTTAATCTAGCTCCATTTTCTTAACCTTCTGTTTTTACAACTACCCTCCCAGCAGACCTGGATTAAGTATTATTCACATTTTTTTCCCAAACCAACTGGATGAAATGTGCCAGATTATATATATATTTTTCAGAATAATACTGATTCAGGTCTTTTGATTAATTCTTCCAAATCCCACGTATCGATAAATGATCCCTCAGACTGATTCAGCATCTCCTCCCCTCTTTACCCGACCCCCATCCCTCCTCTTTAGAGACTGCGAGGCTTCCACCAACATGTTAAACTCTCCTGCATGTCCTCTTTAACCCGTTAATCAGCGAGGGGCTCTTAGGCAACATTACAGTGGTGGTTCTTCAGTACATTTGCTTAGAAAAACGACAAGAGTTTCTGATTGAGTTGTTCTCTGAATGCATGTCTGTGTCGTCCTTGCTTAATTGTTGCCGGTATGTTTTGTCTGTATCTGTATTCGTCCCTCTCGTCCCGTGTGTCCTCGTTATTCTCGTTTCCACGTGTGTGCGTGTGCGCGTACGTGTGCGTGGGTGTGTTTTAGCTTTCTGAGATGTCGGCGTCACTCATGAGAGACACGTCTTCTTCTGGACTGAGCACGCTCACTCCCTCGTCTACCTGCCCCTCACTGGTCGAGGGACATTATGACATCAGGTGAGCAAATGGATCCTAATCTTTGAACTGAGCACACCTTTTGATATATCTAACACCCCCAAGATGCTGTTTTCATTTATTTTTCTTACATTTTGGGTTCAGTCATTTGATGAGCATCATGTTTTTACAGAGAGAATCTTTAATTGCATTTAGCATCAATTGTAATTCATCTTAGATTCCACATTTCTTCTCATTTAATCCATAAATCCTCAAAATATATGCTATTTTTTTCATTCACAAAGATGCCCTTATATGTGTTTAATATGCACATAATAGAGCTTTTCATGAATTTGGTGTCAGTTGGTTACACCGTCATACAACAGACCTTATTTCCTTTAGTAGAAAATGACCGGACAGCATAAAACATTTCTAATTGGATGTAGGATTTTATTTCTAATATAATAATATTTACCTCGTTCACTGTGCTAGTCTGTGCCTGATTAAAATGTTTTCTGACCCATTGCTCAGATATCCTAAAAGGAGAGCTAAGAGAAGGCGACCAGGAGTTCTCTTTCAAAGCAGCAGTTCGTCTGGTCAGTTAAACCTTGTTCCGTTTCTGTCACATTGTGAATTAGTTTGTTTTTTATTGTCGTGCAGACACACTGAGCCCAGTTCAGGAGCATCCACACCGGATCTGGACCCGTACAGCCCAGTGGACAGAAAGAAAGCTCTCAGAGGATGCACCTTTGTTCCTGACATACAGGAGATCCGTGTCAGGTAGGACCACATGAAGCCACAGTGAATTACGTTAACATGGGGATGGGTGATATCGACAGTCACTGTTTGTTTTCAATAACCTTTATTTGGCGTTTTTTAAATTCAACCACTTTTCCTATTTATCAAGGTGCACAGGAGACTAATAATACAATAAAAAAACACACACACAAACAAATGTACACACAAATAAGGACCAAGTATTTAATGCTAAACGCAAAACCAGGATATGCAAGCCTTGTGAACAGTGTAAAGGTGCCGCATCATGCTGGGGTTTGACTCAAACTATAAACAGGTGACACGCTCACCATCAAGAGATATGATTGGCACCTTACGATCTTAGGAAGCGAGCATGCCCGAGGTTTGTTCATGCAACTGAACTTTTCATTATGTGCTTTCATGGCGGTTTTGTATTTGGTGCATTTAAGTAAAACTATCAAACACTCCAACAATCTATTGCTATCAATGAAATGTCTTATTGCTGATACATCGCCACCATTTTGTCACCCACTGATTTAATTTAGATGCGTAATTAAAAAAAAACAAGTTTGTCATGATTAACAAAACCCATGACATACACAACATATTGTTATGTAGTAAAGGTTGTGGACATCAGGTTCTGTTTTGCTGATACTTCCGTCACTGCAGTTCAGAAATATGCTGCAGATTGTTTTCCAAAATGCTCAACTATCACAATAATTTGATGTAAAAATGCGTATTTCTTTTCTCCTATGCAGTCCCATCGTGTCAAAGAAAGGCTACCTGCACTTCCTGGAGCCCCACACCAGCGGCTGGGTGAAGCGTTACGTGGTGGTGCGCAGACCCTACGTCTACTTGTACCGCAGCGAGAGGGACAGCGTGGAGCGAGCTGTGATCAACCTGTCGTCCGCAAAGGTGGAATACAGTGAAGACAAGCAGACTTTACTGCGGGTACGATCGAAGCCTCGGTTCAACGGTTAAACTGATTACAGAATGCACAATTAAACACTGAGCAGCAGCTAAAAGAATCTTAATTAACCTCTGAGCGTTTCGCGTCTCCAGACTCCCAACACGTTTGCTGTGTGCACCGAGCATCGTGGGATACTGCTGCAGGCCACCAACGACAAAGAGATGCATGACTGGCTGTACGCTTTCAACCCGCTGTTAGCCGGCACCATCAGGTGAGCGATGGAGAAACAAACATCCACAAACATTTCAGAAGTTTCCCTGAAAGAATCTAAAAATGTAAATGACTACAAAATAATCCTGCAAAGAATAAAATGCCACGTCATGTGAGATTGGTAGACTTCAGATTCATTGAGCTGAACTTAATTTATCAAATAATTAACAAGAACACAAGCAAAATGTGAAGAAATATACAGTAGTTTGTAGTTTGTTTGTTTTTTTGGGACTCCTTGAGTTTCTGCAGGTTGACAACCACAGATAGTCTTGTAGTTGGTGCCCAGCAGGTCAGCTGGATAACCAAAACTCTAACCAATCACTCATCATATGGGCAATAATATAGGCAGCATATAAATATATTTAAAAGGATCTTAGTCAGTCGCCGGTGAGGACACCCAGGATCTTTCTGCGTGGAGTTTGCATGTTCTCCCCGTGCAGCGTGGGTTCTGTCCGGGTTCTCCGGCTTCCTCCCACAAGGTCCAAAAACATGTTGAGGTTAATTGGTGATTCTAAATTGTCCGTAGGTGTGAATGTGAGTGTTCTTGGTTGTCTGTCAGCTGGGATAGACTCCAGCCTCCCCATGACCCTAGTGAGGACTAAGTGGTGTATAGATGATGGATGGATGGAGGATCTTAGTCAGTCCTCTAGAAATCAGCAGATATCTTCTGCACAATTAAGAAACCCTGAAGAAGTTTCTGGCCATTTCTCTGCTCCTTTTTGCTCACTGTGGCCTCAACTTTCACTGCAACATGTATTGAAACAGCACAACCGTGGCTAGAAGTAGAGAGAATTTAAAAATGTATGTATATATATATATATATGAGACACATTTTTTATGCATCAGTCATGAAAAAAGGAAAAATGAAACCTAAATTTCCTTTATGACTTATTGTACCAAAAAGAAAAAAAGAATCACAATGTCAAAAAAAAACATTTCTAACTGCTCATAAGTGTTACCAATACTGGGGAAAAAATGACGGCCTTACATGCTGTAGATATTTCACTGCTTATACTTTTATTTAGTTTTCACACTTGGTTTTTACAGAATCTACTTAGAGCAAGTGTTTTTAATGAGGTGTAGAATTAACTGATTTGAATAAATTATGACCATTTTAAGCTCTGATTTTGTAAAACTTTCCAACAGATGAATAATTAGCGCTGCTGGAAAGTTGGATGTCTGAAGTTTCTCTCTTTGGCTCCGATAAATGGTGTAATTTTGGCGATTTTGTACAAACGACGTTCCTTTCAAACCCGTTGTTAAGTTGTGGTGTGCAAAGGTTTAAGTGGCCCATAAAAATAAAGTTGTTAAACATAACTGCTTTACACACACATATATATTAATTTATGTTATTTCTCCATTTCATTAATTTTTCCCCTCTGCTCCCATCAGGTCAAAGCTCTCCAGGAGAAAGTCCGTCCAGTCGGTTCCAGCCGCTCAGAGGATGTGAGAGGTGAAACCAAGCCTGGCGGAAAAAACAACAACAACAAACAAACAAAACAATACAATCTAAAAGCTCAGCTCAACATCCTGCTCCTGCTGAACATATAACAAACTTATACATAGAACCATTTAAATATCCCTCCCTGTGATGGCCGCCCTCGTCCCGAAAAACCACTCGGTCGCTCAAAAAAAAAAAACCCCATCCTCTGTCTGTTTTTTGCAGTCACCACCTCGAACCCTGCATGGTGTGCTCCCCTCTGACCTTTAGCAGAACAAACTAACCACCTTAATCCGTTAATTAACTTACCTCTGCTGGGCATTGGGACGATTAGTTTTCATGTACATGTAGAAACCTACCCTGTAAAAAAATAAATCAAGATAGTATGTGGCCAGATCCCTCCTTCCTCTAGCGTAGTTGTAAACGAACATTAGCCATCGACCATTAAAAGGGGAGAATGAAAACATCAACCCGGATGTTTCTCTATGTAGAAGTGTGTTGAGTGCAGCGATGATAGCTCCGTATCCGTCACATGCATACTGTACATTACCTCAGTTTGGATCGGCTCGGTGCTCTGCAGCGTAGAGTATTTGTTTCACCGCAGAGGTTTCAAATAGCAAAGGGATAAATCGCTGTTGCTCATCATTTTACCGTCGAAGTAGCATGAGGAGGGATTTGTTAGGACAAAAGGATAAGCTGTTGTACCTGTGTCATTTTTTTATTTTTTTTTAACTGGCTCTGTGAAAACTGAGTTCGTTGGCTAGACTAAGGCAAAGTAATCCACGATCAGGAGAGATAACTCATGTCCTCGCCTTGTTCTGCTTTCTTTATTTCTCTTTTTTTTTTTACACAATCCCTTTTTAGGTACATCACCACAAAGGAAAATGTCGTTTTTATTGTTGCTATCGTAGGTTGTCTGCACTGTTATTTCTTTGTGACAGGAGCACTGACAGTTTTGTTTGCATGGCACTTTATTGTCTTTATTGAGTTGATGTCTCGCATCATGTACTCAACTGTTTTTAACCAAAGCTTTTTAATTTTCTCGTTTTAATCGTTTCAAATCGCTGTTCAACTGTGCAGTTAGCAGACAGTTGAGGAAAAATTGGGATTTTTAAATGAACGGTTTGACATTTTGGGACGTGTTTGGCCTCTTTTGTGCCGGAAGTTAGACGAGAAGGTTGATAATTCACCTTGATAAGCTCACGTTTGATCCATAAATATCCATGGATGTTATGTGTATTTCCTGTTCAGGCACATTGCCTCCCGGAATAAAGACACAAGTGTAAATGTACGGTATTAGTGAGCTGTAGAGGTGCTCGGAGGTGGATTTTTGTCACCTAGTTTGTCACCCAGCTTCATATTTATGGGGTTTGCTTGTATGAAAGTGGTGCCGATCAGTCCCTACGCTGGTGTGTGCAGAGTTTCCCTCCATCAGGGAACATTGGTTATTTATCTATAAAGCCTCTCCAATTCAACACTGCACACGCTGTATCAGCACGTGACAAATAAACAATCTTCTCTTCTAACTCCTGGCGAAAAAGCAAAGATGTGAATTTCCCGAAATGCCACGCTTTTCTTTTAAACAACTACCTAAACTCGTGTTTTCATGGCAAACCGGGAGGGACAACTGCACCGTGTGCGGTTCGTACTTTTTAATCAAACAAGCACTTATTCTGTCTGTTATGGGCCAGCAGAGTCGCTACACTAAATACGTTTACGATATAAGACTCCTCTTGTAGCTAAATAGAAAGGACAAAGTTGTGATTGACCATGGACCTGCAATCCGTCGAGGGCAGTTGCTTCGAGTGGACAAGAGCGTTGTCCATGCACCAGATAGTGCCTCCCTTTCTTCACCTCTTTTTTCTTCTCTCCCTCCATCATCTGCGTCTTCAGCATTGAAGTTAGTTACACGTGTCCAAGATTAAGCTTTTATGTAGAGTAACAGTAGATGCTATGGATCCTTTTTTCTTTTTTTTTTAATTTCGATGATCTTTGTCAATGTTTTGGAGAGTGAATATTATCGATGATCCTCTATAGTCTGTTGGTATAGCCTGTAAAAGTACAGTACAGCGTATATCTCATCATCATGGACTGTAAATGTTGCCTTTTAAAGCAATCCCCCCTCTTAGCTTTTGTACTGTAGCTGCTAGATATTTGACAGCCCGATGCTCGTGTCAGAAACCAGTCCGGTATGATTAGCTGGGTGTTGTTATGACTTTTGTGTCCAGGGATGGTTTTTAGTTGCTTTTATCAGCCTTCGTTGTACCAAGGTGGCCCTGAATGTTGCTTTGCAATCAATATTATCAGTAAATGGAAAACACTTTATCATGCTGGAATGAAAATAGTGGGTCCTACATCTGCTCAGATACATGTTATTATGAATTTTGCAAATAAAGCTTTTGTTTTTGTACATCTTACACCAAAGGCATGGTCGGCCAGCCAGTCTGCCTTTCCTATTTTCCCCTTATTTCTTTATGACTGGTTATGATCAGTTTTTTTGGAGCAAATCTGACTCACAGTCATTAAACAGAAAGGATTTAGGACTCTGTGTGCCACAGGCCAGCCAACCTGTTGAGCAGTACAGCCTAATACTGACAAAGTGCAGGACAGCTGACTCTGACCGGTCGTATTTTACGTTTTAAAACATATTATAGCCACTGCGGCTACTTTATTTATTTTTAAATGTCCGTAAGCAAAGAATAAATTAAGTGTTTTGGGTCATCTTGGTGCAATCGAATCTATTTAGAAAATCTTTTATTGATAAATCCTGTATGTTGTCTGCTGGCACAGAAGACAAATGGAAAGTTTTATTTATTAGCTTTGAAGGATAAGTTATGTTCTTAAACTATAATGCACTTACGCACAAAGCATCTTTATTTAATATGATTTTGTATTATGATGTTTTTAGAATATATATATAATGTGTGTTTTTAAAAAAAAGCATCATGGCCCTGTGCTGAAAGAAGAAGAAGAAGATCAGAGTCTGCCTTTTTATTTTTGCTTCAGCGGTCAAAACACCACCACTGCACCAAATTGCATTGACTTTTCAGTTTGCAACTGATGATGACTTGCAATGCTTCCAGCCCTATAATACTTCAAGGGTATCATGTTAAAAAAAACACTTTGTGAGACAGTTTTAGCGTGCTGGCCAATAATTGTTGAAAGGTACATGAGTGGATTATTTTATATTTGGCTGCTTTTTAACTGTCATAGCTCTGGATCGAAGCATGCAGGTCCACTTATCTTCTGCTGTGCCCCGCCCCTCTCTCCTGCCTTACCGCTTGCTAATGACAACAGCTTTCCACCCCTCAAGTGCTGCTTGTAAAGTATTGTCATTCATGATCCTTGTAATGATTAACTGGAAACCTTCCTCTTGGCTCTGTCTTGTATATAAATGGAGATTTGTGTGTTGGGTCTCATCACGCAGATGATATTAACTCTCTTTTCCTCTGTATACCATGATGAATAAGAATAATTGACCTGCTGCTTTGTCAAGTGTCTGCACGGCAAAGAGTGCCGACGAGGGATCGGTGTCGCGCATCTCATCTCGGCGTGGTTGAGGTGGCGGTGATCCCAGCGTCTGCAGTCTTGCTCGGAGCTGCTTGACAGAAGCAGAGCCGGGTCCCGGCCTGTGATGAAGTCTTAATCTCAGTGCTCACGTTTATCTTTTGAGTGTTCTGGAGTTCTTTCTCATGTCTGTGGACACATAACAAAAGTTGTCAAGAAAAAATAAATAAAAAAAACAAGGCAAATAAATAAATGAGTGTTGAAACTTATCAGTTCTTTTTTATTATTATTACTTTTATTACAGTCAGTGGAGTTTGCAGTGGTTTTTTATGCAATTTAAATCAAAATTTGTGTGTGTGGAGTTCCACAGGGATCAGATTCTGGTCCCCTGCTGTTAACTCAGTTATGCAAAGTCCTGCTGGGATGCATCATCCAGATGACACATACTTCTGGAGATCACAGCTACGTTGATAACCCATTATCATTAATATCAGCTTCACCTGGAGTTCTCTTAGGTTGATAATTAATAAAACATCTGTCTTACATTTGTCTGTACACATCTCACAACAAAACTTGCATTGCTGTTATTGCCACTACATATTTTTGTACCTACAATGTAGTAGACATTAAGAACAATGATGCAAAGGAATAACAACTCCTCCGAGACCTCTTATATTACATGACTAATCCTATTGTATATCCTGTAAGAGGCCTACACTGACTCATAACTGTTATCCCATGTCAAGCTGAAACTTCCCGAAACCATGGATCAGCCCGTAGTACCTCATTTTAGTCAGCTTCTCGATATGTGCTTTCAAGCTACCCAGACCACAATCTGATCAAGCATCCACAGGTTGTGTTACCACAAGTTACAACCCACAGGACTAAAGGTCTTCCTGCCAGTGTCCATAGGGCAACCCCCTACATATCCAGTGTCCAGAGCTGCTTGGGTGACACATGGCTATCTGTATCTACAGATCTAAAGCACATGGTGTTTCCTGGATGTCACGTTTCTTCGTGTTTTGTTTTGTTTTGTTTTGTTTGTTTTACAATATAATAAAGTGTTCTTGTGTTTTTGCTGTCGACCCCAACAGGACCGTGTTTTTGCAGACGGAGCAACCTAATGAATGAATACCAGATCACGGCGCTACTCTCATGTCTCTTGCATAACAGTTTGTACTTTTGCTCAGACTGAACACATGTGCGAGCCTGTGTGAGGCTGCGCGTGTTCCATTATTGATTATGTGCTCACCATGTGCTCTTCTGCAGCAAGGCCGGTCAGACTAATCCCCTGACACAGAGGCAGAAATACCGGACCAGACACAAAGGCCTTGGACTGAGTGAGGGGCCGCTGCCTCTCATCAGGCACCGAACAAAAAGTTTGGTAAGGTGCTGTAGGTCTTTTCAACGTAATGAATGTTGAATATTTAACCACGTGTTGGGGTTCTTTTTCCATAGCTGCCAGTCTATGTGCCCTGATCATGTATTAGCATTACTTTGTTGCACAAGACACTTCAATCTGAAGCTCTGTAAACGGTGTCGGACAACAAAATAAAAGATGGTGATCAGAAACCAGAGTTAAACCAAATGCATTGTGAAACTTACAAAACTGCTTGTTTTACAAAAGTATACACACTGATAATATTGTGCCGTTCCCCCTCGTGCAGCTTTGACCTATTGAGTTACAGAAATCAAATCTCTGGTGGTGTCTGATGGTGTCTGAGGTCTGTGAGTGAGGGCTGTTCCGGCTCAGATGCTTGACTGGATTGAAATCTGAGGAGGTTTGGAGGCCAGGTCAATGCTTTGGGCTCTGTGTCGTGTTCCTCAAGCAGTTTCGGAGCAGATTTTGAAGGGTCACAAGGCCACAGAGACAGACAGACAACCACGCACAGTCACGTTCACACCTATTGATAATTACTGCAAGGAGATAATCAACGTCATTCACGTCACCTGTCAGCGGTTTTGGTGTTGTGACATTTTAAAAGACACTTGTTATGTTGCCCTTCATGGTAGAAACATAAAAATCCGCTATCATTGGTGGCTCAACATAAAGTCTGCAAAACGCCAACCTTTAGCAAAACACCACAAAAAATAGGAATACAGTAAAAGTAAACCTACTAACATGTGGCCCAACAGAATTAGGAAAACATGCGTTCTGCAGATTACACTGTTGGCTTCATCAGGACGTGACCTTCAGCGAGCACTGGGGAAGTTTGCAGCCAAGTGTGAAACAGCTGGGATGAGAGTCAGCAGCTCTCAAGTCTAAGGTCATCGCTCTCTGCCAGAAACCAGGGGATTGTTCTCTCTGGTGTGAGCTTCTGCCCCCAGTGAAGGATTTTTAGATCTTGTTCACGAGTGATTGGAAAATGGAATGTGAGATGGACGGACTGCAGGTGTTGTTGGGAAGACGGAGCTGAACCAGAGGGTGAAACTTTTGATTTACCAATTGATCTACATTACAACCCTCACCGATAGTCATGAGCTCTGGGTAGCGAACTAAACAACAGAGTCACTGCTCCTTCGCATTGAAAAGAGCCAGTTGAGGTCATCAGATTAGGATGACTACCTGGTGGCTTTCTTTTAAGGGTTTTCTGGGCAAGTCCGACTGTAAGGAGACCCCAGGATAGACCCAGAACTTGCTGCAGGGATTACATATCTCATCTGGCCTGGGAGCAGCTTAAGAGCAAGTGGGAAACGATGCTGGAGCAAGGGACGTCCGAGAGGCCCTGCTTTGCCACCTGCCACCGTGACTTGAGCATGGATCGGTTAGTCTCAGTTAGCTAGGCAAGTATGAAGACCGGATTGGATGGCAGTAATCAATAAATCGCAACTTAAATCATAAATGAACAATCACAAATCCGCTGTGATGAAACAAGAACCTACAGACAGTGCACCAACATGGTAATGTGAGCAGAAAACACATCTGTCTACATGTGGCTGCTCACAGATGTGGCAAAAAAATGGTGGCTGTAGCAAAGTCAGGTAAACTGTCACTGCCATCAACTATTTGCCAGCAGAGGTTGCTATAGTGACAAAAAAAAAAAAAAAAGCAGCCCTTGGTGTCAGAAAAGACAAATCTCAAGGTGTCAGTGATGTGTCCTGGTACAAAGAGCAGCCATCAAGCAGCCATGCATAATGTACCAGTCATCTGGCACCACTGTAACATCGATCTGAGCAGCAGGCTGCAGCCGACTGTAAATTGTCTCCTCCATACATCACAGAGGTATCAATCTATACTTCCAGGTAATGGTCACTCTATCCCACTTCTTTAATTATGCACACTAAGAAGGACCCCCATCTGAGGTTTGGATCCAGGTGGTGCTGCTGCTCCTTAGTCTCTCCGTTTATTGGCTGCGAGCGTGAAGGGACGGACTTCGGCTGCTGGGCTTTCTGCACTATTATTTAATTTTTTGCACTGTGTTTTTTCCACCCCTCAGTTATAGTTTTTTATTGCAACCTGCCATCATTCGTCACATTTCTGGTGATTCCACGGATTTCAGGAACATATTTGTAAGTACTGTATGCATGTGCATTTTCATGAATGGAAGAAACAGCACTTATGCTATTTAAATCAAATTCTAATTTAGGATATTTTGAATATAGGGAACATATATTTGATAAGATAGAGATATGCTGCAAGAGATTAAGATTTATTACCTCAATAACAGCTACTTTTTTTTGTAATTCTATGATATTATATTTTAACAGGTGATTTTAAGTAATCTTTTGTGTTTATTTGCACTGATATGCAGCAAAAACATTGAACTGCAAATATATTGCAACCTTATAGTGTAAGGTGAACAAAGATAATGTAGTGTATATAAACACCAGTTACAGGTGAAATGTTCTTTTATTGGATTAGTTATTAATGAATGGAAATGCTAATGTCATTAAGTCTTTCTAAATTACAGTGATGTATTGTGTATGTGAAGCTTTTACAAGGTTACCACTGAAAAGGCATCCGCTTCTTAAAGTGCTTTTAACTGGCAGAAAAACACTGTAATTGTCTGTGTAGTATCAAGGCTATCGAATGGCATGAAGCTTGTGAAAAAATCCTGTGAATCAGGAAGGTTACCCGAAGCAGGATATCATGTCTCTCCACACTCCAACATGCTTTCTCCAGCACTCTGTGTGGGCTACGCTACATTCACCGACTGGTGTCCAGTTTCACCACTTCTTGTTTTAGTTCCAAGTACTACGAGCTGCGTCTTTACATTAACTGTTTGTGTGTGTGTGTGTGTGTGTGTGTGTGGCCATTAGGGAGGTCTCAGTCTTTTAGCAGATTACTTTCTCCGCCCGTGGGGTCTTCTATTGCTTGTTTTATGTGTTCTGTTTTTGTTCCTGTCATTTTCAGAAACAGGAGCTCCTGTGACACCGGAGTGTGAATGAGCAGAAGCAACATGGAGAACAATAAGGTGACCAGTCATCAGTACAGAGACTGAAATAAAAGTTTCACCTGAGCAGCGTCTCGCAAACATGTCGTGCAGTGCTGGGGGTCGTGCGTTACGAAATAAAGCGCTGGTGTAATCACATTACATTTGTCTGTAAACACAGTCATGTTTTACTGTTTCTAAACTCAGTTATCACAGTACAATTACAGTTTTGTTTTTTGATCAGTTTAACCCAGTGCTAGTGCCAGCTTGGCTGTCACAGATGATCAATTGTTTTTACCATGGCATTCTTCTGTGAAGGGCTCTTTGGGCTCATTGTTGGTCAACTTTGCAGTCGGCTTTGAAGTAAATATTTATTAAATCAATTAAAAAAAATACATTAACTATGTCTTCTTCATTAGGTTAGAGGTTTGTGCTGATATGCGGCCATATAAAGTGCCTAACAAATGTATTAGACAGCCGCCCAATGCAAGCTTTATGCCCTAAATTAACAGCATTGGTAATTACCAAATTCATTTTTCATGTTTCTGTAATAGAATAGAAAAGAACAGAAATACTTCATTAATCCCCAGGGGGGGGGAAATTTGATTGTTACAGCACAAAGATAAAGTTACCACCACCACAAATACAGATAAATAAGCAAAAACAAGCAATAAGAAATATAAAATGCAAAATGTACAATAAGTGTAACAATAAGTGTCAAGTAGAAAAGTCCTGTGTGGAGTGTAGTGCAAATAGTAATGTGATGTAATGGTTAAAACAGCAGTATGTGGAAGCTCTTTAACTAAAATTATATTTTTTATGCTAAAATAAAGTTATTATTGTTATCCATGAATTTTCAAATGTACTGTTTTACAAAAAAAATGAAAAAAATATTAAATTACATTATTATTTCTTAATTAAGATGTCAAATTATAGTTATTTACTTGCATTCCTGAACAGAAACATTAGCTTTAGTGGTTGAATGTTATGCTTAATTAATTTATGACCACTCAGAGAAGCCCAGTGGCTCAAATTTGAATATAAAAAGGTGAATTCAGTTTGAAATTCCTCATTCCTGTTCAAAATGGTAAAACACAGAGAGCTGAGTGTAAATTAAAGCACTTCATGATGCTGGATGGTCTAATAAATCTGTTAAACACTGTATGTACTTTAAGGTTATATTTGGAAATTATGTTACAGTGCATCTTGGTTGATGCTGCAGAGTAACACAAGAGTAATGTAACAAGTACTGTGACAAATTGCTTTAGACGGCGAATAAGGTAACGCATTTTAAAAACACAAATAAAGTGTAAATACATTACTGTTTTGAGTAATGGCGTCCAGAGGGAAACAAATATTGAATAAACCCTTTTCAGAACTTCTCAAACAAAGGTATACCTGAAAAAGTCTACATTCTACATGTCTGTTTTTTTCTTGTTTTTTGTCTTTATTCGAGAAAATAAAAGAAAGAGCTTTGATACCAGAGCCCCGGAGTAATTCACAGTAATCAATTGAACTGACTCGATATTGTAAAGTTGTTAAATAAAACGAGTGCAATAAGGAGTTATATAAAAAAAGAGGCTAAAAATAGTAGCGCCTTGGCTGATTTATAACAAAAGAAAGTCAATGTTCTGCTATACCGTTGACCTTTCTCCATAATAAACTGTTACGAAACACGAGTATATTCAATGCAATTAAAAGTGAAACACTGGAATCATGTTAATAATATATATAAATAAGAAAAGATTGTGAATAATCAAGCACCAGTGATGAGTAACTGAGACTCTAGCAACATTACAGTTATGATTTCAGACTCTCCAGCTCCCTACGCTTCTATTTTCAGTGTAATTTGTTTGCCAAAGGACTGAAACAACTGCATTGAATTACAGCATTCCGACTGTATTTTTCCAGATTTTCTGCACATCATTATCCCAGTAATATTGTTATCATGAATTCCTGTGTACTAAAAATCTAGGATGACGACAGCCCTTCAAGGCACCAAAATAAAAAAATTGTTCAACTTAAACTTGGGTAAGATTGATTTTGGTAAACTACTTCTAAAAACTTTGCTCATTGCTGCTGCTGCTGCTGTGTGTGTGTGTGTGTGTGTGTGTGTGTGTGTGTGTCCCCAGCAGCCAGTGAAGGAGGTGCTGCCCCTGCCTCGCCTCCCGCCGCTGTCTGCAGCCTCGTCCCCTCTGACTCCTGCTGCCATGTCAAAAAAATACACTGCAGGCTCCATCCAGCATGTGCAGGTGGCCTCTTCAGGTGACGACACTTGATTATGCATGTTAACACTTCTTCAGGAGTGTGAATACAATCTTATATATGTCGGCCATGTTATTTTATTTTTTTGCTTATTATATGATCATTATATTTGCTGTCTGCCTTTTTGAACATCATTTATATTAAGCTAAATCAGTGAAAGTGAACAACACAGTATTTCAAAGCCCATAATACTTTTTTTTGTTTTAAGTCAACCAATAGATCGTACCAGTTATTTTAGAAGTGAACGTTTGACCTTTTTACCCTTGTCATGTTTGTTTACAGTGGTGACATCGCTCAATCATCTGAAGCCTCCAGAGAGGGACCTCACGCTGATGTCTCAGATGAAGTCTATTAAGTCTCTGCGGCAGGCCGGCTTCACTGCAGTCTTCACTGGACAAACGGTGAGCTCGACTAGTCCGACCTTCAAGATAAACCGAGTGAAAACACTCCCAAGAAAGGTGACGGTAATGCCTTCAGGGTGAAAAAGGGTATAATTAAAAAGGTGTGATGCAAAAGCTGGACTGTATATGCTTCAAAATTGATCTGACAGTATTAAAGTTGTTTTACTGCAAGAAAATGCAAACAAGTTCAGCCTCACAGCTCATTTCGGTTCCAAAAAAGCAAAATCCTGTTACTACCACTGTTAATATGTCAAGCTCCTCAATCCAGGACTGTGTATATTCCATTTAGACAACGAGGGAGAGTCTTTTAATGTTTTAGCTGACTTGGTTTAAAAGTAAAAACCTGTAAAGTATTACTGGATTTCTCTTTCTTAGTTTTGAAGACATTACACCTGTCATCCAAGAGACTTCTTCATTTTTAACTGACTGATGTGGAGTCCCCAAAACACATGGCTAATGACCAGTTAATGAGGTGTGAATGGTTGTGAACCTTGAGACGTGACGGATGTTAACGGTAGCAAAAGTAGTAGTCAAAGTAAAACGGTGGGGAGAATTCGACCACTTACTCATCCAACGGCAACTTTGGATTGTTGGGATCTCTGTTCAAAATTCGTACCATCTGTACCATGCTATGTTAAGCGCTGTGAGATGACATATGTTGGAAATTTGCGCTCTATACATAAAATTAAATTCAATTAAACTGAAAAACTTTTTTAAATACTCCACTACAAGTACCCGACAACTAGTGCCATTGACCCCTCACTCTACTTGTGGCTTCCTTAACTCTTGTTTTTAACCCATGTCTCTTCTCTGTCCACAATGTGAGCATTGCTATCCTTAAAGGAGTGTTCCTCACCCTGTAGATGCAGGTGGACTGCTGAGTCGTGCCCTAGGTAGCTGGAGCTCCACTGTTGTGCCATGTGCTTGTGGAGCAGTTGTTAGTCTACCATTTATATAGGTCTGTGCACTACCCGCTGCATTACACTACATCGACATTGTTGCACAGCTTGTGTTTGGGTGTCTTAATCTTGGGGTGAACCAGTTTTTGTTTCAGTGTTGAGTGTTGCTGGCTGAACCGGACTCTCACAGCTGATGGGATTGGTTTCTTAGGTTTGGTGCGTATGAAAAAAGTCTGAAAACACGCTTCTGAGATGATCATTAGTACTCTGTATTTTCAAGGTGGAAATGCTCCACCATGGCATTGACTGCTTATTTCATTCGTGATTTATCTATCCAGCATATGAAACATCAAATGGACATGTTATCCAGGTTTTAAAAAAACAACATTTTCACTATTTGCACCTCATGGCTGCATACAGGACACCTCTCTCCATGCTCTTAAGACACTGTGTGTTTCTTACTACTTGCTGTACACAACTTTGGCATGTTGGGTAATCCAAAACTTTTCAGAACCGCCAGCTGTACTTAGTAATGGTTGCAAAGCCATGGTTGGACAGCCACCTTTACATAAAAGGGTTTGACAAAAGAGACAGTTCGGCGTCTGCTCAGGTCGTATGTGGGCAGAAGTTGTGCTGGGAATCATGTGCAGCTCATGAACAAATGAGAGCAACAATGCCAACAAAAGAGTGTTGTACACAATCCAGATAAGAGGTCTAATTGGTGTAAATAACTAAGAAAACCTACAGGGATCGATTAGGGGTGTGCAGGGTCTTTACACTGACTCTTATATTTTCGTTGTACATTGCTGCTTATTATGTTGTGACTTTTTGCTTCCTGGTGTTTGAGTTGTTGGACTTTCACTGGTAGTGTTCAACAGACTTCCAGTAACTCTAAAAAGCATCTGAAAAATTGCTCTGTGAGGGTTTTATTACGGCAACTTTACGTTAGCAGATGTGGTTCCAGACCCAGAGCTCAGCAGTGTCACTCTGTCTTCCATTATTGAACGGCGACAGAAGCTCGACAGCGAGGAGGAGCTGCTGGAGGAATTACCAATTGTCGACGTGATCCTGGCTGACATCGACTCTCTGGTGCCCACTCACGATGAAAGCGGTCGGCCCATCGCAGAGTGGAAGCGACAGGTGATGGTGCGACAGCTGCAGCTCAGGCTGCAGGACGAGGAGGAGCAGCGGAGACAGGTACTCATCATGGGTTCTGTTGTGCTGTATCCACAGACCACCTCAAAACAAATAAACTCTCTCCCCAAGATGCTGAACTGCTGCCCTTACAAAATCTGTTGTCTATCTACTAGGACATGGCTAACGGCTACACACCAGTGGACGGCTGGAAGTACTCACAAACCCACAACGCAGTCTTGGGGCCCTTCGGTGAGCTCCTAACAGAGGAGGATCTGGTTTACCTGCAGCACCAGATTGAGTCCGTTTCAATACAGAAACGCTGCCAGGCCTATGAGCTGGAGCTGACCAGGCTGACCGACGAGCTCAGGGCAATTTTGCCCAATCCCATTGTCAACATTTCCCTCAACAAGGAGGCTCTACAGCAGATGGACTCTGAAGGGAAAATGCCCCCGACCTTGCCAGTGTGGTGCACTCGAGTCTCGGAGATTGTTAGGAGCATGTCTCTGCTGGTGGCTAGCCTGACTCAAACCACAGAACCAGAGAGTGAGAGGAGGACAGTGGACGGCATGATGGAGGGGATGCAAGGGATAAAAGATGGTGCAGGAGTTGATTTAGGACAAGAATTCATGCAGCTGCGCCACGACACGGCCCATGTGGAGAGCTCCGGTGGCTGCAGGATACCGCACATCGGGATGGCGTCTGCTTTTAGCCATCGCTTGGAGAGCAACAGCTACAGCAGGGCACGGAGGGAGAGGGTGGAGAAGGAGATCCAGCAGTCTGGAGTGTCCGTAAAAATCCTCAGATCCAATTTTGAGGGTCAGATTGGGGGCATCTATCCATTTGCTGGGGTCATAACGGGAGGACAGATAGCGATTGGAGGAAACAACCACAATGCCAACACAGGCCTTAGCTGTGAGGTCAGCCAACGTGGTGCTCCCCAAAAACTCGTACCTGTGATAGAAACGACCAGCTTGAGGAAAGAGCGAATAGTGGTGCTGTTCCTGAGCCACTGGAAGAAATCTGCGTATGCTATTTCGATGAGAGCGGCGAGGCAGAGACAGGGACTGGTCGCAACGTCAGGAGCACTGCCCCAACAGAAAATCACCTCCATGTTTCGGTTCTGCCAACAACGAGGTGCTGTGGACAAAATGCTAAACTCCTGGAGGCATAAACTAGAACTGAAAGATAGTCAGAACTCGTGTCTGTCCTCCTCACTGCCTCAGGTGACGTACTCCCCCGAGCAGTTCCTGCCGGATGTGGACGGTGTTGCGATGAAGCACGACAGCTTGACCCTTGACCTCTTCATGCTGGGTTACTTTCACATCTTAGAGCAAGACCTGTCGCCCGAGGAGAGGAAGATGAGGCATCTGCTTTGCTTCGAAGTCTTCGACCACGTTGGCAGTTTCCCCTGGGAGAAGGTGCGGGACTTCCACAAGGCGGTTCTCCAGGAAATCCAGGCTGGGAGGCGACAGTGGAGCGACGGCTTTGAGGACATCAAAGTTCGCTTCTTTGGCGAATCAAAACCGTGCCGCTGCCCGTCGTCATCGTCATCACTGGTGCCAGATTCCAGATTAGTACCGAAGGTTATAGTTCAGAGTGCTACTCCGGATGAGGGCAGCGACTCAGACTTCTCCTGCTTCAACAACGAGGACATCTGCAAATACATCGACCGAAGTTTTGCCTTCTGGAAAGAGAAGGAGGCAGAGCTGTTTAATTTTCAGCATTAAGTTTTATGTTTAAATGTGGCATCTTTGCACAGAATGATGTTGACGTGTTTACTTTGGCAAACCGATAGGAGCGTAATAAAATTCTGTTGAGAATGCAATACTGATGTACTATTATTGCAAACAAAAAATGCTAAATAGACTTAGTTAGTTTGCCTTCTGCGCCCAGTCTTGCAGCTTGTGCAAACAGAGAAAGATGTCTCGGGTTTTATTTTCAATTAAAATCTTTCAAGGTATTTTTGACAGCGGGGCCATAGTTAGCATTTTATACAGTTGGATTTAATTGGCAAGATCACAGAATTCTTATAATCAGTTAGCACGCTGTTGCTACTTAAAGGTGCAATACGCTGATTTTACATGTTAAAGTTTCTTTGCTATGAGAAAGGAACAGTTTAAGTTTTGTTCAGTTCAACAGGATTGCTCTGAAGTGATATCCCTTAAGTTACTGTTTGTTGATCTGCATTACAAACGTGGGCATGTGGAGGATCTAGAGCAGGGGTGTCGAACTCTGGTCCTTGAGGGCCGCCATCCTGCAAGTTTTAGATGTTTCCCCTCTTCCAACACACCTGATTGAAATAATCAGCTCATCATCAAGCTCTGCAGAAGCCTGATAACGATCCTGATCATTTGAATCAGGTGTGTTGGAAGAAGGAAACATCTAAATCTTGCAGGATTGCGGCCCTCGAGGACCAGGATTCGACACCCCTGATCTAGAGAGTAGAAATCAGGATTTCTCTTCCCCTATTTTATTTTATCTTTGTAAATGTGCCTCTCTCATCTCATCCCCAAACTATCTATATGTGTGATATTAAATAGCTGGAATGGCCCTTTAAATGCTGACACATTCTAAGTGGGTGGATTTTTAAAAGAAGCTGAAGTGATTCCTCTGAATTTTGTAGGAAGATATTCGTGCTAATTCTTTTAAGGCATTCTGGTGGAGACAGTATTCAGACTCTTCAGTATCAAAATAACTGTACAAATACAACAAAAATATAAATTCAGCATCTAATATTTGATCTAATCCTATCCATTCTTTTTAACATTGAAAAATAAATATACGCAAGACTAAAAAGCTGAAAATCCTTCCAAAATTAAATGATGGTCTTCTTTTTTGTCAATCAGCTAATCTTTTAAATTACTAACTATTTCACTTTAGCATTTATATTTAGCCATTTATTTTAATTTCATTCTTTACATAGCAGCAGATTTTATGAAATTATTCTGACTGTAAACTATATTTTATATCCTTTTTTTATCTGTACAGAAATCAGCAAGTGTCAAATAAATGTAAAGTGCAATATTTAAATCTAAAATGTGATAATTAGAAATCAGCTGAGAAAATGTCAGTTGTAGCACAAATACAGTGAACAAATAAATACAATTTTTCTTTTACATAAACGCAGCAATCATGCATGTTTTAATTAGTTCACATGTAAGGCATGAAAGTTGAGTTTCAGGTCCAATAGAAAAGGTGAGGGATTGAAATAGGTGAGGTCGCGCAGGCGCACAAGCTCCCCAAATTGACAGGAGGATGCTGAGCTGCATTCCCATCATTCTGTGAGGAGAGGAGGATCCCCCTGCGCAGCCACGACGAAGGAGACGCCGAGCGATAAGAACATATAGAAATAATCCAAGTTGAGCTTTTTATCTGCCACCATGTCAGCTGGAGGAGATTTGGGGAACCCCCTGAGGAAATTTAAACTCGTATTTTTGGGCGAGCAGAGCGGTGAGTCAGTGCTTGGGGAGGTTTTTTGGGTTGTCCCTGTATCAAACATGCGTATATGTTGAAGGCCATGTATGTAATCCGTGTTGATTTGGAAAGTTTAGAGTGAATCTAAGAGACTATGCCGGCTCGCTTTGGTTTTTCTATCTGACGCCCATGTTGCTCAAGAAAATTTGATTAACCGAGAAGGAGGAGGAAAAAAAAAAAAAGAGCGAGAAAAAACGCATGCGTAAAAATGAAACCCTTAACTGTAATCGTTGCGATCGCTTCAAATACAAACACCGATTGTAATAAAGATGCTTGAGGATGATTTCGTTGTCGCAAATTGTCATAATTCGCATCCCAGAAGACGCTATGAATTGGGATGTTTTGATGTGCTGCAGTGACCGACAAAAATACGCTCAGCCTTTTTTTTTTTCGCGTTTATTCTCACTCACGTCGCTTATTTGTGGCACGAAACATCCTCTGTTCTCTCACACGACGCTGTTTGATATTTCCTCCCGGCACTCGTGTTTTTTCTGTTTTTTTGTTTTTTTTGGAGGAGATAATAAACAGTCCCCCATGTGTCAGTTCGGGACACACCCTAGGCTGCTCGATGTCTGTAGCATCTCCAAAAGCTCGCAGTCTCCGGTTCGGTGCTATAAATAATCAAATAAATGAAGATAAAGAAAGAGAAGGAAAAAAAAAACCTGGGCCCTGACAGCGTCACAGCGTTATACTATTTATTCAATAATCCATCTATTCAGGGTGGGAACGGCTGCGTATGTGCTTTGATGTGATGGCACAAATTGAGGAGGAGCTGATCGATAAGGGTTTTAGCGCTGTAAAGCTGCCTGGATACGTGTTCAGACACCAGATATGTGGAGGAGTCCCAGAAAAGACAAACAGCAAAGAGGAGAATAATAACGCACATAAATAGGCCCTGATATGACAGCAGCCTGACTGGTGTCTTGCATTGTGATGTGTGTGTGTATTGCATGTCTATGAGTGTGTGTCGACTAAAAGCCTCCCTGTGTGTGTTTGTGTGGCCTGCACTGCAATGTTGCTGTCCACGGTGCTGAACAGAGGCCTGCTGTGGCCACTGCCCAACGCCGCCTTCAAAACTACTGCTGTCTGCATGAGAGCGGGGCCCTGCTCGGAGGATCCTGTCCTCACCCCGCCGTAGATCTGATGTAAAATGGAGCTAAAGATGGTGCCGGGAGGATGTAAATAAAAATGGACATCACCTTGATGCTCCGAGAAGCCTCCGTCCGGCTCACGGAGGCTGCTGAATATCTGTGTTGTGCATCTGTCTAGCAAAGAGTCACGTCTTTCTTGGTGATGTTTGGTCAAAACATGTTTTCTGAGCTGTCATTCAGTGGCTTTTTTACTCATGGCATCCTTCTTAAACATGCTTTTTAGAATAAAAGCGAATAGAGCAGAAACAGTTACTCAAAGCTGTTTATTTTACTGATGTTTATTCGTATATAGGCGACTATTAGTGTGGACCAGTGTCACAAATACAAAAAAACTCACAGAAATTCACACAAAATAGACAAGATACAAAATGTAGGAATGAATATAAACACAAATGGACACAAAACACCACACAAAATATACACAGAAAACAACCAAGATATGAAACTTAATGACAACATACACAGAAATCGGCACAAAACACAATAGTAAACGAGAAAATAAAACAAAAAAACAATAAAACTCGACAAGAAAATATCCATAGAATAGCAAAGATAATGAACCTAATCAGACAACAAACACAAAATAGCACAAAACACAAGATACAATAATAAAAAAACATGCAAACCAGCACAAGACAAACAAACTCAGGAGGATAACACACACTTATTATAGCCAAGATACAGAACTCAATAAGGCAATACACAGAAATTGGCACAAAACACAACACTCAACAAGAAAATACCCCAAAAAACAGCAGCAGACACAAAAACTCAACAAAAACATATACATAAAATAGCCAAAATATGAAACCGAATTAGAAAATACACACAAAATAGCACAAAACACAAGATACAATGATGAAATACATGCAAGTCAGCACAAGACACAAAAGCTCAGGAGGCAAACACACACTTATAACAGCCAAGATGCAAAATTTAACAAGACAATACACAGTATTTGGCACAAAACTTAACATTCAACAAGAAAATACACACAAAAAGAACAGCACACGACACAAAAGTTAATAAGAAAATACACAATAAACAGCCAAGATACTGATCACAAAATATAAACGGGCACAAAACACAACACTCAACAAGAAAATACTGCACAACAACACAAATCAATCGTGCAATGATGATAAAAGCAGAACTGATTAACTTTTCAAATCAATACATGAAGCAGGAATGTCAAATATTGTCAATATTACTACTCTATTTTCAATAATTATGGACTAAACATTATTAAAAACACTTATTGTTTCTTGTAAAGCATTTAATTCATGAGGAACATTTACAAAACTATTTAAGATAAATTCACGCACCACTTTTCCCCCCTTAATAACAAAACATGTGGAAAATCAAATGAGCTTTTTTATTTTACGATATTTATACTGTCCTAGAAGGGGAACATTTTGATGGAAGGAAAAAGTTTTTCAGAGAACAATGATCACTCATGTTACCATTCACGAAAAGAAAACTGTGAGTCTGTTTTATGGAATTATCAGGCAAATGTTTGTCCCAGTGATTTAATTTAAAGATTTAATTTTACTGTTTTCCACTCGTTTCCATCTAATGCTTCAGTTCTGTGGATGGTTTCATTACTTCTTGTTGTTTGATGGTAACCGTGGCCGAGGTTAAACGTTGACTCCTGCTGGCTGCCATTTTGTCTCACCGAGGAAACATATTTTCAGTAAACAATGTTAATAGAAGTCGCTTATTGATGAGAAAAACTAACATCCGTGTTCTCTGTTTCAGTGGGGAAAACATCTCTCATCACTAGATTCATGTATGACAGTTTCGACAACACATATCAGGTGAGCACATCCAGAATATACGTGTATTCATTTATTATGAAGAACTGATTGACGACAGCACTGGACAGTGACGGTGGAGCACTTCTTCTTCTTGTATTAGCTCTATTTCCAGTTTTCTTTTTGGTCAGATTCGTGAAGAATGTCCCCATTAACCTCCTTGCAATGTTCCAATTTGGAAGAATGAGGGAACTAATCAGTGGAGCTCTACGATAAGTTAAGACCTCGGTTTAATAGAGATAGATTAACAGCTGAATATTATTACAGCGAGGGCTTTTTCGGGCCAAAAACATTCGCTTGATGTACAAACTACAATCAGTCTTGCTAAATTAAGTTTGCATGAATTACGCCCTAATTTGAATGCTGTTAATTATCCAAGTATGATC